TCGGTGCCCTCGTCCCTGTCGCAGTCGCTGGAGCTGGAGTCGGGGGTGTCGGCCGGGACGCCCTCGCTGCCCCGCTCCCTGGGCTCCGACGCCGAGGAGCTGGCGCAGCTGCGGCCCAGGATGGACTTCCGGCTCTGCCCGTCCCCGGGGTGAGGACCCCTCCTTTACCCCCATCTCCACTCCTTTTATCCCCTCCTCCACCCCTTCTTCCCCCTCCTCCACCTCCACCCCCTCCTGCACCCCTTTTACCCCCTCCTTCACTCCCTCTTACCCCCTCCTCCACCCCTACCCCCTCCTCCTCTACCCCCCTCTTCCCCCTCCTCCACCCCCACCCCCTCTTATCTCCTCCTCCACCCCCTCTTATCCCCTTCTCCACCCCACCCCTCTTCTACCCCCTACCCCACCCCCTTTTACCCCCTCTTCCACCCCCCACTCCCTCTTACCCTCTCCTCCACCCCACCCCCTTTACCCCTCCTCCACCCCCTCCCCCATCCCGGTAACAGCCCGAGGGGTGAGGGGTGCGCTCTCCCGGCCCGAGCCTCCGCCCTCAGCCAGAAGCCTGCACCCCGTCCAGGGCGGCTGGGCGGCCCCGTCCGGCTCGCTGTTACCCCTCAGACCCCGGCGCCCCTGTCTCTCGGGCGGAGGCCTCTGAGGAGGAGCCTCTGAGGAGGAGCCTCTGAGGAGGAGCCGCTCTCATTAGCGCGAAGCTCCCGCCCGTTTGTCACCAATGGACGCACACGGGCTTGTGGGGGGGCTGGTGTCCCCACTGGTGACCGGAGACAGGGATGGACCTGGGCCAGGGCCAGGGGCTGACTTGGTTCCTGTTCTAATTTTGGGAAAAATTCGTAAGAGCCACAAATAACTCCGCCACCCAAACCATCCCTTGAGCTGCGGGCGGCTCCCAGGAAGTGCCCCTGCCCCGAGGCCGGCCAGGAGCCAGGCGAGGGGGGCTGGAAAGGCAGGCAGGGAGGGGGGCTGTGCCGGGTACCCCAGCGGGCTGGCGCTGGGAGGGGTGAGTGTGGTCCTGCCGTCTCGGCAGGAGGATCTCCGCGGAGGTTCTGGGGGGGCGTGCTCCTTAAGTTCAAGCGCCGACGAAATTTGCTTCGCCAGGAAGGACAGTTGACACTCTTTGTCAGAGTCTGTCTGTCGGCAGCAGCAAACTTTAAGGTCACTTATTGCCACTTTCCCTCTATTCCTACATTGCCCTTTTAACATCTGTCTGCACAGTTACCTCACACGTTTGCAAGCTCTGGGCTGAATTGCTTCATTGGACTTCTGTATCTCGGTCCATAACTTTGTTTAATATTTGTGTGTGTGTGTGTGTGTGTGTGTGTGTGTGTGTGTGTGTGTGTATTATTGATTTCAGAGCGAGAGGAAGAGAGAAACATCAGTGATGAGAGAGAGCCATTGACTAGCTGCCTCTTGCATGACCCACACTGGGGATGGAGCCTGCAGCCCAGGCATGGGCCCCGACTGGGAATGGAACCGTGGTCTCCTGGCTCAGTCACCCCTGCAGGAAAGCCCGCGCAGAGTGCTGCCCCTCCCTCACTGTGCCCGCTCCACGCCGTTGCCTTTGGCGCCCGCACCTTGTCCCCCCCCCCCCAGGACAGTCCTCTTCAGCACCGTCCGCAAGCCCTGGGCTGACGTCATCCCCTGCAGCTACGAGATGCAGCACTCGCTCCGGGACCTGGTGCCGCTCAAGGCCTTCCTGCTGGCGGGGACCACGGTCACCATCGTGGAGGAGAAGGTGGGGCCCCGGGAGGCCCGGGCCCTCCCCGTGCGTTTTCTCTCCGGGGGTCTGCCGTCCAGCTCCCCCGTTTCCGGCCCCAGCTCGCGCCCTGCCGTCCCCCAGATCCTCTCCTGGCCCGTGGCGCCCCCTCCCGTCGACTTTCCCACGGCTGGCAAGGGGAAAGGGGAGAAGAAGAAAGAGAAAGCGGAGAAAGACAAGAAGGGGAAAGACAAGGCCGCCCAAGGGGAGAAGGAGAGGAAGGTACCGCGGGCCCCGGGCAGGGGCTGTGGGCGCCGGGCACCTCCGTGCCGGGCCCTGTCACCCCCCAGCCTCTCCCCCAGGATCAGAAGGGGCCCAGGAAGAAGAGAGGGCTTTCCAAGGAGCTTCGCCAGGACCCTCCCATCCTGCGGGTGCTGGGCAGCGGCTTGGTGGTCCTGGAGCCCCTGCTGGCTGGGGAGTCCCTCGTGTCCACCCTGTGCAAGTTCGGGGTGATCCGCACCTTGGAATCCGATAGGCTGACGTTCCTCAGGGTATGGGAGGCCCCGCCACACCCTCCCCACAGAAATGGTGCTGGGCCGGCGAGGGCCGTGGGGCCAGGTCGTGGGGCAGGTGGGGCCCCCTCCTTCCTGGGAGACCCTGCCCTGCCTCGGGGACCGGGAGAGGCCTGGCAGGGGGAGCCGCCCACAGACGCACTGGAATCTGCATCCACCCCTTTCCCAGCATCCCCCACTCTGTGAGCGTCTTATTTGGTGGTTCTTCCCTCAGGATTCAAAGAATAAGAAAGCTAAGAAAGGTAAGAGCCAACGGCGGTGATCGAGGGCAGGAGGATCTGTGTTCCCCCACACAGCTGGGCAGCTCATAAGCAACAGGCATTTCTCTCTCGCAGGTGCGGAGCCGAGGAAGGCCAAGAACAAGATGCCAGTCTTGTCAGGTAAGGGCCTCTCCCTGGTTACCAGCCAGGGCCTCCTCGCGTGTCCTCACCTGGTGGGTGGATTTCCCCAAGGAAAAAATTCACCTAAAAAAAGTATAATGCAAGTGCACTTGTGCATGGATTAGGACCGTGGTCGGCAAACTGCGGCTCTCGAGCCACATGTGGCTCTTTAGCCCCTTGAGTGTGGCTCTTCCACAAAAGACCACGGCCTGAGTATATTTTGAAGAAGTGGCGTTAGAAGAAGTTTAAGTTTTAAAAATCTGGCTCTCCAAAGAAATTTCAATCGTACTGTTGATATTTGGCTCCGTTGGCGAATGGGTTTGCCAACCACTGGATTAGGAGATTGAATATTATTAAGATGTTGGATTTCTCAAATTGATCTATAGAGGAGTCGATGCCATTTCAATCATGATTTTAGAGGAATTTAAAAAAACAGAAATCAGCAATCTGATTCTAAAATGCATATGAAAATGCAAAGGACATAGGGTCACAGAACAACGTTGAAAAAGCACAAAGAGCCGAAACCGGTTTGGCAGTGGATAGAGCATCAGCCTGTGGACTGAAGGGTCCCGGGTTTGATTCCAGTCACGGACATGTACCTTGGTTGTGAGCACATCCCCAGTGAGGGGTGTGCAGGATGCAGCTGATCGATGTTTCTAACTATCTCTCTCCCTTTCTCTCTGTAAAAAAATCAATTATATATATATATATATATATATATATATATATATATATATATATATATTTTTTTTTTTTTTTTTTAAAGAAAAAGCCCAAAGAAAAAATAAGTAAAATACATCATGGAGGGGGGGAAGGGGTAGAAAAAGCACAAGAGGATTTATACTGGGGGCTTCAGGACCATACCATTATTGGCTTGTGAGTGGTGACAGAGCTGTGGGGTTAAGTTGATCTTGAAATTATCTTTGTTTACTTTTTTGCAAACCCCTTTTCCGCCTGGCTTAGCTGAGACAGACAGTGGCGTCCCAAGGCTGCCCTGTGGTCCTCGGGGAGGTGGGAGGTGCGTGAGGAAGCCCAGCCTCACATGGGCATGGACCTGGAAAGGCAGCGTGTGTAGGCTTTCGGTCGGTTGCAGACATCCTTCTCTGATATGACACCCAGGGTGCCCATCGTAGGTTTGTGAGGGTTAAGTTCAAGGTGAAGGCGGGGTCGGGAAGGAATGCCTTCACGACCAAGGGCAGTAAGACCTGTGGGCGCCCCTGCATGCTGCACGGCTCTTGCCCACGCACAGACCCCACCACCAGACTCTGGGTTTTTGTGAAAACTGGTCCACTGAGCTATGCAGATCTTCCAAGTGTGGCATTTCACACAACTTCAGAAGCAGCCCGTTCTTGACTGTCAGCGCCCCAGCCAGGAGAGCAGTCCTGAGGGTGCTTGGCGGCGGGTACGAGGCTCCGAAGTCCGGTGTCTGTGACAGCTCAGGTGTTACAGCTCCATCAGAACGCTCCCAGCTGTCCCCGAAGCGCAGGTTCACTGCTTTCACCGTTTGAGAAAGTGTCCGAATAGCCGGTCTCCTCAGTGTCTTCTCAAGGGAAGCGCGACTTCCTCGAGTTCCTTGTTGGGAGTCTGAGCCCGAGCCGGGCTCCGGGGGCCGCGCCGGGGGCGGTTCGCGTTTGGGGCCGCGAGGGGCCCGGCCGCCGGCGCCCGCGGACCCCGTGCCGCCTCGTCCTCAGGCCTGGAGAACGACTACCACCCCGAGCCGCTGTCGGTGGAGGTGCAGATCCAGATCCTCCAGTGCCGCTCGGCCGAGGAGGCGCTGCGGACCCTCGTCGTGTAGCCGCATTAAAGGAGCTTCTGGCACCGCAGCCCCGCGTCTGTGTGGCCGCGCGTCGGGGCGCCGGGCGCTGCGGGAGCGGGGCGGCCTCTCCCGCCCCCAGGGACGCCCGGGCCCTGGAGACCCCCCGGTGGGCGGGGCCTCCATTAAGCCCCGCCCCAGGGGGCGTGGTCAACACAAAAGCGCCCGGGCCGGGCCCGCCCACCGCCCGAGCGGAGCGAGGTGCGCGCGGCTGATGCTCCGCTCCCGCTCCCGCTCCCGCTCCCGCTCCGCGGCGCGGGCTGCTCGCTGACCTCCTCGCCGGCGCCGGACCGGCCGGCGGCTCAGGTAGGTCCGTGCGGGGCGGGGCGTGCGGCCGGGGCGCCCGGAGCCCCGCTGCGGGGAAGGTGCCTGTGCGCCGAGGGCGCCGCCGCGCTCCGCTCAGCCCGCGGGCTCGGTCCGTGCCCGGCGGCCCCGCAGCGGCCCCGCGGAGACGCGCGGGGAGGAGCGAACCAGCTTGGCTCTGTCCCGCCGTGGCGCGTCCGGTTAGCTGTCATCCCAGGGACAACTACAACCCCCTGGGGCCAGCACCCGCCGAGAGGGGGTCGCGCACCGCAGGCCGGGGAGTTTTCGGTGGGAGGGGGCCTCAGCCGGCAGCTCGGCGAGGGGTGCCCAGGTGTGTGTGTTTGGGGGGGGGGGGGGCGGGGAGGGAGCAGAAGCTGCCGGTCACTGCGGTGCGGGCTTGTGGGCTTGTTGCTGAGCAGTGGAGGCCGCCGAGGGTTTGGCCGGTGCAGGGGGTGGGCAGAGGGCCATAGGTCCCCCGCGCAGTCCAGCCCTGGCTACTGAGACTCGCAGGACAAACCAAGCCGCTTGCTTGCTTTGCAGCCGCTCCGTAATTGGCACCACCACCCGCCCGGCCCCTCACTCAGCCTGCCGGCCGCACCTGAGACCCATGTCCCACCTGAAACCCGTTTCCACCTGAAACCCGTCCAGCCCTCCCGTCCCATAGCCTCACCCGCCCTGGCCACGGCTGCGTCCTGGTCTCACTAATGAGTTTCCATCTGGTGTCCTGTTTCCACTCGCTCTTCCCGGATCCATTATCCAGCGGCAGCTGCAGTGAACTTCACACCTTGTCAATCCTTTTACCGCCTCCGTGGGTCCTCGGGTGGCCCTCCGGGTGCCCACAGGAACGCCGGAGCCCTCACGCAGCCCTTACACTGCGGCCTCCTCAGCTGCCTCCCTCACCTCTGCCCGCCCCCCCCCATCCAGCCGCTGCCCTCCTGCCTCAGGGCTCCTCTGCCCGGTGCGCGCGCTCCAGGTCTCTATGGGGTTTGGATGCTATTCCATCCAGTTCTTGCTCAAATGCCCTTTACCAAGGTGGGCTTTCCAAAATCGGTAATTTCAATGGCCTTCCCGGCCCCTGGCTCCCATGACTCTGTGTCACGTCTCCTGTCTGCTCATACTGGTTTTCAGGGTCTGGGAGAGGGCTCGGACCCTGCCTGCCTTGCCTGTCAGCCTGCCTAGCAGCCGGAGAGATGCTTCTGTGGGGTGGCAGCGGCAGGGACAGTAGGCTGAGGCTAACGTGGGTAGACCAGGAGCCTGTCAGACCAGGAAAAGTGGCAAGAGTGGCGGAGGGAGGGCTTTGAGGGCTGGCTTTGCTACTCTGGACCTCGGGCAGTGCCTCTGTGGGTTAGCATTTCTTGGCCTTTTTGCATTGCTGGGAACCCGAGCCAACCAGATCTGGAAGGGCTACGAGCCTGGCACCAGTCTCCAGCTTCCTACTTGCTTCCGTGTTCTTCCCGTGCCTGGGTTTTGTCCCTAAAACCCGGTTTGACTACCCGAGAGCCCAGGCGTCTCAGCAGATTGAGGGGGTGCTCAGTGGTGGCTCCACCTGCTGCTCTGCTGGGGCTGGGACACCAGCACAGGGCCTGCCACCTACAGTGCAGACTTGGAAATGGTTTGACCCCAGATTGTCATGTTTGGTCCTTAGAACGATTTTAACCTGAAGCCAAACTCGCTCTGTGCGTGTCACTAAAGCATGTGAGGTGCTGGAGTTTCCTGGCAAACACGGAAACTGCACATGAGCCTGTCCTCAAGGGGCTGCGAGTCGCTCTGGGGGAAAGGTGGCCTCAGAGCCCGCCGCTGACAGAAGGCAGGCAGGGCTGGCATAGCAGGTGAGCTGCCTGTCCTCGGGTGGGGGAGGGACTCGGAAAGATTAAACAGCTGTCCCCGGGCCAGCAGGGTGGTGGCTAACTTGCTGGTGGGACCGGCGAGAAGGTGGAGGCTGAGGCTGGGCCGGCCGGCTCACAGGCTCTCTCCTTGCAGGCCCTGCCATGTTCCGCAGGCTGGGCTGGCTGGTCCTGTACAGCCTGGCTGTGCTGCTGCCCAGCTGCCTGCTCTTCCTCAAGAAGGAGGCCAAGCCGGCAGGGGCCCCCACAGCCCGCCAGCCCTTCTGGGCTCCCCCGGGGCCCCGCCGGAGCCACTGTCCACCCAACCGCACGGTGGCCAACGCCTCCCTGTCCCTGCCTAGCCGGCACCGCCTCTTCCTGACCTATCGCCACTGCCGCAACTTCTCCATTCTGCTGGAACCGTCAGGCTGTGCCGAGGACGTCTTTCTGCTCCTGGCCATCAAGTCGCAGCCGGGCCACGTGGAGCGGCGCGCGGCCATCCGCAGCACGTGGGGCCGGGTGGGCGCCTGGGCGCGGGGCCGGCAGCTGAAGCTGGTGTTCCTCCTCGGGCTGGCGGGGCCGGCGCCCCCCGCCCAGCTGCTGGCCTACGAGAGCCGGGAGTTTGACGACATCCTGCAGTGGGACTTCACGGAGGACTTCTTCAACCTGACGCTCAAGGAGCTGCACCTGCAGCGCTGGGTGGCGGCCACCTGTCCCCAGGCCCGCTTCGTGCTGAAGGGAGACGACGATGTCTTTGTCCACGTGCCCAACGTCCTGGAGTTCCTGGAGGGCTGGGACCCGGCCCAGGACCTCTTGGTGGGAGATGTCATCCGCCAGGCTCTGCCCAACAGGAACACCAAGGTCAAGTACTTCATCCCTCCCTCCATGTACAGGGCCCGCCACTACCCGCCCTACGCGGGGGGCGGAGGGTACGTCATGTCCAGGGCCACCGTGCGGCGCCTCCGCGCGGCCGTGGAGGCGGCCGAGCTCTTCCCCATCGACGACGTCTTTGTGGGCATGTGCCTGCGGCGCCTGGGGCTCAGCCCCCTGCACCACGCTGGCTTCAAGACCTTTGGAATCCGGCGGCCCCTGAACCCCCTGGACCCCTGCCTGTTCAGAGGGCTCCTCCTGGTGCACCGGCTCAGCCCCCTGGAGATGTGGACCATGTGGGCACTGGTCACAGACGAGAGGCTCAAGTGCGCTGCCGGCCCCTTGTCCCGGCTCTAAGGGCCGGGCCGAACGGACCGAGTGTAGGTTTTCCTATCATAGAAACTGAGAAACGAAACCTGACCCAGGATGGTCTACAGGAAATGCTTTGTTTTTGTAGCCCCTCCTACACTTTTCTAACTTTGATTAAAAACTCTGAAACCTGGCTAATTTGGACAGACACGTGTTGAATGGTTCCCAAAGCAAAGCAAATGGGGGAGGGGGGAAGGGGAGGTTTCTGGAGCCGCTTAGCATTCTGCTGGGGGAGGAGGGTGTGAAAGTGGGAGGCTGCAGAGGACCCCAGAAGATAACACTTTTTCATTTTTAAATGCAAAAAAAATTATTCTCCTTCAGATACAGTAGAGAAACTCGAAGGAAAGGAGGACACAGGAAGCAGGTGTGGAGTAAGTCCTGTTGAAAGTACCAGGTAAACACTCTGCATTCAGTCCCTTAAGAATAATGGAGGACTGCTGGCTGCTTGGCCTGGGCTGTCCTTCCCGGGCCAGGGGCCAGGTCAGAGAAGGCATCAGAAACACTTAAAAAGAAATCTTACAAAGAGGACAGGCTCCCCTCTCCCCCAAAACTCACATCCCTATGGAGGGAGCAAATACTAACTCCTATTTGAATAAGTTTGAAATGAGGTTAAAACAGCTACTGAACTTGTGGGCGTGACAGAAAGGACTGTCTGGCCAGGTTGGTGAGATGCTCTGGGCAGGAAGTAGAACAATGGTGGGTGGGGGAGAGGGCAGCTGTGCTGAGTGGGGTACAACGGTAAACAGGTTGCGGTGCCCCAGACTAAGAACCAGGTCCAGTACGAGCCTGAGACCAGGGGTCAGGGGTCAGGCACTCTCAGCTCACAAATGCCTCTGGCCTGATGGGCCAGGGCAGGGCCTGTGCTCCTCTCGCTGCAGAGAAAGCTGTGCCAGCCCCGGGCTGAGTGGGCAGACGTGGGCGGCGGCTCAGGCCCTCAATCCTCACGCAGGTAGGCCTCCTGCTCCGGCTCAGCCCGGTCATCCACCTCCTGTGTTTTCTGACGGAGCTCTTCCGTCTGTGCTTCTGCCAACTTGGTTTCTGCTTTCTGGGAGAGCTGGCGCACTTCCTGCACCTGCGACTTCACCAGCTGGATGTGATTCCTGGCGGTTATGGAGGCCTGATCTGCTCCTGCCAAGAGATGGGACAATTAAGCTGAGCAGCCAACAGGGCAGGTGCAAGTGGACGCAGAAAGCGGGGTTCCATGGCTGTTACCTGAGCCCCTGTCCTCCCTGCCAGCCTTCTGTCTGCAGAGCAGAACACTCTAATTCCACAGTCAGGTGTGCATTTTACTTTTTATTGTCAAAGTCCTAGCATATTTCTCCATCTATGTGCATGTATCATAATTATTACATGCAATCCCCACAATTTTTATAGCTACATAGCTCTTAAAATAGGTGCTTTATTAATTTAAATACACAAATACTGATTTCTTTTTGATAAATTAAGAGACCACTAATAAAATTGGTCATATACATATGGAATGCTTAGAAAAATATATAAGTTTATATAATAGTACAAAAGGTATTTATTGAATGTCTTGCAATTTTGTTTAGAAATGTTCTTGAGCTCTCATTTCTTTTACCTGTTGCTAGTTAATCACCAGATAGGCATATTTACCCATTATCTATTGGATGGTTTTCTATCTTACTGCATTAATGAAAACCTTTGGTACAATGCTGAGAGGTAGTGGTTAATAGCAGGCATCCATCTCTCATTTCTGACCTTCATGGAAATGCTTTTCATATTTCACTGTAAGTAGGATCAGCCTTTATCATTTTTTAAAATGTATTTTATTAATTTTTTAGAGAGAGGAAGAGAGAGGGATAGTTAGAAACATCGATGAGAGAGAATCATCCATCAGCTGCCTCTTGCACAGCCCCTACTGGGGATGTGTGCCTGCAACCAAGGTACATGCCCTTGACTGGAATCAAACCTGGGACCTTTCAGTCCACAGGCCAACACTTTATCCACTGAGCCAAACCGGTTTCGGCCAGCCTTTTATCATTTAAGAAAATTCTATTCATAATTGTAGATATAAATCAAATGGGTACCACATTTTACTGAAGGCTTTTGGGGCATACATTGATAGGATTACATGGGTGGCTTTTTAAATACCTTAACTGTACATGAACTCAAGCAGTGAATTATGCTGGCAGTTTTTTGCAGTGCTGGATTATCACTGTATTGTGAGGGTGAATGGCTATGCTTGGTTTACATCTGTATTTGTGACATTGAACTATATTTTTGCTTTGGTGCTGGTCTAGTCGTCTTAGATCAGGCCTGTGCTGGCTTTATACATTACAACGGGAGGTTTTTCATCATCTATGACTGACATGCTTTCTGTGACAGGAAGTGTTCCTAGACGAGTAGATAAAACTCTCCACACAACAGCCTGGGCTTAGTGTGTACTTTTGGGACACAGAATCTTTTAATACTATTTTAACTTGTATAGTGATTGGTCTTTTTTTTGGACTCTTTACTTCAGGGGCCAATTTGGGATTCTCATACAACGTAAAAAAAAAAAAAAAAAAAAAAAAAAAACCTTCAAAACAATAATAGCTTTCTGATGTTGCTTTTGCTAAAAAGCCACAGGTGCCAAATCTTATTTTTAAATCCTTTTCAAGAAACCAAATTTTACCTTCTTGACTACTTTTTTTTTAAGATTCTTATACATTTTATTTCTTTTATTCTTACAATATGTGGATTTACTTTTTTTCTAAGTTCTAGGTAACTTAGTACTTCTGATATAGTGAACTTTATCTGTTATTCATGCTGCTGTTCTTTGTATTTTTGACACACACACACACACACACACGTCAATTTCTCTATAAAGCCAATTAGTTTACAACTCACGGGTCTACTCTATACTGCATTTATCATCATAGTTCTAAATATTTTTAATTTTCCATTTTGCGTTTTGGTGGGGAAGGAGTGTGAAGGAATTTGCTGAGTCTTTGTCACCTGGCACAAAATCAGTTTTTGTACATGTTCTATTTGTTTAAAAATGTGTGTGGAGAGCAAACAAAATTTTCTTTTCAGTATATATATTTGGGTAAGCTTTGAAAACTCATTTTAGTCCAACCCTTTTAGCTTTAACTGTTTTGGTCTTGACCAGTGAGTTTGAGATGCGTATGAGGCTCAATACCAAGCACCTCATGATTGTTTTCTTCTCTATGAATTGTTCTGTTCCTTTTTTTTTTTTTTTTAATATATTTTATTTATTTTTTACAGAGAGGAAGAGAGAGGGATAGAGAGTTAGAAACATTGATGAGAGAGAATCATCGATCAGCTGCTTCTTGCACACCCCCTACTGGGGATGTGCCCGCAACCAAGGTACATGCCCTTGACAGGAATCGAACCTGGGACCCGTCAGTCCGCAGGCCGACGCTCTATCCACTGAGCCAAACCGGTTTCGGCTGTTCTGTCCCTTATGCTTTGTCCTAAATCCTTTTTCTGACTTTGCTCTGCCGGCGTTTTTGGGTAACACTTTTTGTTTATGGTTCACTTTTTCTAACTTTCAACTTCCTATGCCATTTTGTTTAGGTGCCTCTGTAAACAGTTATAGCCAACATTCTTTCTAACAATCTAAAAGGATCATTTAGTAATGGTAAATTTAATCTGTTCTTATTGTGATTACTGATGTTTGCTGCTGTTCCTGTTTTCCTTTGCCTTTTCTAATAGGTTTCACTTCTCAACTGCCCTGGTTTTGTCCCTTCCCCCATTCTCTGCCGTATTTAGCCGTGTCTAGAGTTAGCCAATGTCCCTCTTCTTCCCAAAAAAGGTAAGAAGGCTTAGCACGCTTTTACTCCCCCAAATTTTAAAAAATTTGTTCAATACTCAGAACTTCTGACACATTTTACTCAATACTCAGAACTTCTGACACATTTTACTAAATTTTATTCATTTTTCTTGTATTCCAGTTGCTAATTTTTCTTCATAGTTTTTCGAGAAAACATGTGCTTGGTAAACTTTGAGTCTTTATATGCCTAAAAATATCTATATGTTCACATTTTGATGACATTTGTCTGGATAGGATATAAAATTCCAGGTTATTCCATTTGTCACCTCGCTTCTGGGGTTGCTGATAAGACTGTCTGACTATACTTTCTTTGTAAGTACATCTGTGTTTTCCTTACACTTTTTAAAACTTTTACATTCTGAATCTGTTCAGAACCTTTGTAAGCCCTTTCGATCAGTTCTGGGAAATGCCTATTTTTTCAGAGAATGTTACTTCCTCCCGTTTCCTCTGCTAGGTCTCAGCCTGCCTGGGTGAATGGTCTGGCAGTCCGCGCAATGCCTCAGCCAGCCTCCACCTCTACTGCCACCACCACGCCAGACCTGTCTTCAGAATCTGATTCCTCGGGTTTTAGTTAACTAGGAGGTCTTTTTTGTACCTTCCAAAAACTTGGCACTAAAGACCCAAGTCTGATATCCTGAAATAGAAAAAGGCGTGTTTTAACATGCCTGCATCTTAATAAGAGCTGGTCCTATAATTTGTAGGCTACCTTTTGGGACCCCGGACAAGTTAGGTTTCCCTCAAAATACTTTTAAAAAAATATATATACTTTTATTGATTTCAGAGAGGGAGAGGGAGAATGAGAACTGAACGGTGACCCTCTGGTTCAGAGGTCGATGCTCAAACACTGAGCCACACCGGTTAGGCCGCAGCATTCTGGGCGAGTGACAGCCCCGTTCTTCACCTGGAAGCGGGAATGATGACAACAGGTTCTACTTTAAGGGAACTGTGGGTGTTAAAAGTATCTGTAAAATGCTTATCACAAAGTCTGAAATAGATAAACACTTCTTATTCATAAATTATCTGGATTATAAAATGTTTAAAAACTATTTGAAGGCAGTCAATTTTTCCAGGTGGCACTAGTTGTACCATTTTATGTTCTAGATGTTGACAATCTAGCTTCTACTGGCTTGGTCTCCAGGGGTGTTAAAATGGGGACCTTTTCTCACCAAGTTAGAGCACAGTGGGCTTTAGGCATCTATTCCAAATCCCTCCTTTTACCTCCAGAAGAGAACTCCAAAGGCACCTCCACAGTGAAAACCTACCGGTGTGATACGCAGCTTCCGCCGCCATCTCTGAGAGACTGACTGCGGTCATCCAGGTATTCTCCAGCCTCAGGTACTCTTGCTGCTTTGAAGACATCTGTAAATAAACAAAGTGCTTCAGATAACAGGAAGAAGTTAAGCACATTTAAAAGGGCTTATTCAAAACGGTAGATTTAGAGAACAGTGACTGGTTAGACACCACAGGAGGCAGGAGCTGGCATACAGAAATGCCCGACTCCTTGCTTACCTCAACTCTGGCTCCTATGATCACCTGCCACACTTCATCTTCCTCCTGTGAATTCATTTTCCCCAGTAAACTTGTATATTGTCGGTACAGAGAAACTAAGGTGTAAACGGCCTACAAATAGAAAACACAAGTCTTGAGCATCTGAAGCAGGATTAGTGAACCCGCACCTGCGTGTTGAAGTCCCATCACAGCAGACTGGCCTTATGGTGTGGGAAGCAGAGGTGGGTATTAGTCCAGGGCGGGAGCTTGTGAGTAACGCAGACACAGAGAGCACAATGCAGAGGGGAACTGAGAAGGCTCAGAAAACTACTAGAAAATAAAGATAGAGTTTTCAATGATTGTGATTACTCATATACTCTATTAGCTCACAACGGTGGTTTCCAAACTGCCCTCACAGAGAGGCCCCTGGTGCTGCTGCTGGTAGACTTTGGGTCCTTTCACCCCTAACTGAACCAAATCATCTTGGTTCCTGTCTTATCAATTGCGCTGCTATATTTAAGGTTTTTCTTTTAAAAACCAGTGCTTTAGATCAGGGCAAGAGTAAATATTTTAGGCTTTGTGGGGCCCTATAGCCTGTTGCAACTGTTAACTCATAAAAGCAGGCACCAGATGGCTCAGTCTGTGAGCCAGGTTGCTAACACTGGTCTAGATGAGCGAGGCTTACCTTGGTATACTCTGTGATGGCTTCAATCAGCGCATAGGTGGTCTGAGAGAGAAAGGTGGAGGTGCTATCTGTCACCAGAGACACAGCCCTCCTCATTAGTGCGTCGTTACTGAGAGAATGAGGCTCTGATTTCTGAAAGACACAAACATTTTCACTCAACTTCCAAAGCAGGAGCTGAGGGGTCCCAGCCAGCCAGGTGGAAATGGAATTCTCAGACTGCACCTGCCCTGTGCTGCTGTGTCAGCAACTGCTGCTTAAGCTTTATGTTGGCTATTTAAGACAATAAGTAGAAGAAATTCCACAGCTTGCTTTCTATCTACTTTTATTCTTTAGTCCCTGCTGCAAACAGCACAGTTTCTTTACATAAAAGGCTAGTAATTATAACCAACAAATCTCATGAAGGTATGATTCATTCATTACCACAGTGCTAGAGGCTTGGGATATAAAAATATATATTCTTTGCCCTCAAAGATTTCAGAGAAGGAGGGGAAGGGCTGGAGCTTACAGAGAACTTGAAAAAGGAATGCAATCAAGACCATGGGAGCAATCACTTCCGTGTTGAATGAGAGCAGCTACAAAAGGCTTCAGAGTTGAGGATTAAGGGGGGAAGAAAGTAAGTGGGCAACTTTGAGCAGAATGAGCCCTTTGACCTCAGCTATTGTGTTAAAAAAGCCAATGTAACCACCTGACGCTGCCTTTTCTTCCTCAGCAGAGCCTGACTGTTCTACATCTAACAAGGAACCTCCCTCCATCATCTAGTGTCTTGTTCTTGCTAAAGGGTGTAAATACATAGTGTTGCCTGTTGAAAGCAATAGTCAATAAATTTCTCTGATACAGGAGCAAATCAAGTATTTACCTTATCTGTACTTCATTCATTCAAATAAGTATTATGTACCATACACCGAGGGGCTAGAAAGGAATGACAGAATCTGTGCTTATGAGAAGCTAATTTTGATCTAGTCTGATAACTTATGTCTTGACAATGCCCTACATTTTATAGTGCACTGTCACCAGTTCCTCAAACAGTCCAGATAGTTCCACTTCTTTTTTAATAGAAAATGGAAACTCAGAGTAGTTATATAATTTCACCAAAAAGACCTCACCTAAATCTTCCCATGGGCTGTGCTGATGGACTCAGGAGAGAGCCAAATGGACTATCATAAAATATAAAAATAAACAGTAAGTGGTCAGGAAAGGAGACTTGGAGGAGGAATGGCCGTAAGGAGCGGTGGATTTGGGCCTGAAGATATGGATTATGTGAGGCGTCTGGCTAGAAGACACAATGAGAGAGTCCATGCGGGTAGGGTGTTCAGGAACTGGGCGGGAGTCTCACACGATGCAGAGCTGCCGCAGGTGCTGAACAAAACGCACTTCCGGCAAGAGAGCAACTAGAGGTTCCTCTTACGTGACCCAGACTGAGGGAATGGGCTTCAGACTAGTACACAAACTGAGAAAGACAAGCCCAAACATGTCCTCATTGTGACTGAAAACGGTCTGCTGTTCAAGTGAAGGTTTCCGGGTTAAAGATTCATCAGTGTGCAGCGACAGAAGTTAAAGTGGAGGCACAAAAAGGTGAGGGCTCATCAGTGAGCCTCAGAGGATGCTGAAAATACTTGTAGTAAATGGAGTTAATCTTAGGGGATAAACACACTTTTAAGTATCAGGAATATTTTGCTAAAGTGGAATCTGCTGGTTTCCTGTTTAGTTCTTTCTGAGATTATAACCAGTGATTGTTAAAAATAAGGTACCCACCTTTCATATCAACTGACTACTAAATATCTCAGACCATCAATTCTTTATTGCTTCCTCCAAAAACCCATGGCACTCCATTCTTTCAGTCACTCAAGGCCTTTTATTTTTTATTTTTTTAATATATTTTATTGATTTTTTACAGAGAGGAAGAGAGAGGGATAGAGTTAGAAACATCAATGAGAGAGAATCATCAGCTGCCTCTTGCACACCCCCTACTGGGGATGTGCCTGCAACCAAGGCACATGCCTCTGACCAGAATTGAACCCGGGACCTTTCAGTCCTCAGACCGATGCTCTATCCACTGAGCCAGACTGGTTTCGGCCATTCAGGCCTTTTAAAAGCATCTAGGTTACCTACTCCACATCTCACCCATCAGTAAGCCCTAATCTCCCACCTCCACTGCTGCCCACCTAGATCACGTGCACTGTCATCTCGTGCCTAGATGCCTCTTGGTCTTCCTAGTTTCACATGCACCTTGAAAAATTATGTCAGGCAACATAATACTACATATGGAAAACCCTAAGCCTCCTACCAAAAATTATTAGAATGACTTCAATAAAGTTTCAGGATACAGACTCCATATACAGAAATCTGTTATTTCTATACACCAATAATAAATGATCAGAAAGAGAAATTAAGAAAACTGTTCATTCAAAATTGCATGAAAAATATAAGATACCTAGGAATAAATTTAACCAAAGAGATGAAAGTCCTATACTCTATAAACTGTCACTGAACAAGATACAAATAAATGGGAGAATTAACATCATTATGATGTCCTCACTACCAAAAGTGACAGATTCAATGCAATCCCTATTAAAATGCCAATGGCATTCTTCTCAAATTAGACCACCTATTCCTAAAATTCATATGGAACTACAACAAAAAACACCGAATAACCAAGGAAATCTTGAGAAAGTGGGAGCTATTATGTTCCCTGATATCAAACTATACTATAAAGCGACAATAATCACACAATATGGTACTGGCATTAAAAAAAAAAAAAAAAGAACAATGAAATAGAGTCCAGAAATAAAACCTCACTTATATGGTCAATCTATGACAAAGGCAGCAAGAATATACAGTGGGGGTAAAGACAATCACTTCAGTAAGTAGTGTTGGCAAAACTGGACAAATAAAAATAGATTCTTTCTTACACCATATACAAAAACAAACTCAAAATAGATAAAAAACTTAAATGTTAGACCTGAAACCATTAAACTCCTAAAACGAAAAACCCAGGCAATAAACTCTTTGACTATTGCTCTTAGCAATATATTTTTGAAAATATCTCCTCAAGCCAGGGTAACAAGAGAGAAAATAAATGGTAATATATCAAGAAGTCTTGCAAAGGAAACCATCAACAAAGTGAAAAGTAACCTGCTGAATGGGAGAAGATATTTGCAAATGATACATCTAATAAAGGGTTAATATCTAAAATATATAAAGAACTCATACAACATCCCCCCCCCAAAAAAAAATTTAAAACATGTCAGGACCTGAACAGATATTTTCCCCAAGATACCCAACACACAGGAAAAGATGTTCAACATCACTAATCATCACAGAAATGCAAATTGAAACCACAATGATCACCTCACATCTGTCAGAATGGCTGTTACCTATTATCAACAAATCAACAGGAGCTGACCAGGATGTGGAGAAAAGGCAACCCTCGTGCACTGTTAGTGGGATTGTACATTAGAAGAGCTGCTATGGAAAATGATACGGAGTCCCCCTAAAAAATTAAAAATAGAACTGCCGCCGAAACTGGTTTGGCTCAGTGGATAGCGTCAGCCTGCGGACTGAGGGGTCCTAGGTTCGATTCCGGTCAAGGGCATGTACATTGGTTACGGGCACCTCCCCAGTGGGGGATACGGGGGAGGCAGCTGGTCGATGTTTCTCATCGATGGTTCTAGCTCTCTGTCCCTCTCTCTTCCTCTCTGTAAAAAATCAATCATATATATTAAAAAAAATAGAACTGCCATACAATCCAGTAATTCCACTTCTGGGCATTTATGTGAAAACAAAATCACTAATTAGAAGATGTAGCCCTGGTGGGGTTGGCTCAGTGGATAGAGCCTAGGTAGCAAGCTAGAGGGTGCGTGGAGGCAGCCAATCAATGATTCTCTCATCCTTGATGTTTCTCTCTTTCTCCCCCGCTCCCTTCCTCTCTGAAAGCAATAAAAATATATTTTTAAAAAAAAGATGTATGCATTCTATGTTCATTTACAATAGCCAAGATACAGAAGCAACGTAGGTGTCCAGTGATAGATGAAGATGTGGTATATATGTGTCCGTAGAGACACATACACAATGGAATATAAAAGAATGAAATCCTGCCATTTGCAACAACAAGGATGGACCTTGAGGGTATTATGCTTCTACCTTTGCACTTGAGTTCCTTCTGCCTGGAAAATCTTCCCCAAAATATTATATGGCCACCCTCCCCTCGCAGATCATTCTGGTTTCTACTTCACCACATCATCAGAGTGGACTTCCTAGACCACCTTATCTAACCCATAACAACTCTGTGCAGCACTTCCTATTCATTCACCACGTTTGTTTTCTGCACAGCACTCATCACCTGGCTTTAAAAAAATTTTTTTTATTGCCTTGAGAGAGAGGAGAAAAAAAGAGGGCTTGAGAGAAAAGTAAAATAGAATGTGCCCTGACTAGGAAATCAAACCTATGACACGCAACCAATTGAGCCACACCATCCAGGGCCACCTGCCATTTTATATCTGTCCATTTCCTCCCCTTTCCTCTCTCTAGTATGTAAGCTCTAAGAGAGCAGGGACTGTTTTGTTCGGTAAAGGTACACAAAAAACGCTCAACACATTTTTGTTAAATGAAAGACTATTTCGGTGATACACTGTAATATATTTATTTCTCTCTTCCCTCCTTATACAATTTGACAACTTCGGATACCGTTCCTACAAAAAGAGGCAAGCCAAATGGGAATATCAATGTTTGGTCAACTCTGAAAAGATGCTGGCACAGTCGAGAGTACACCGTCGTGTGTGTGTGTGTGTGTGTGTGTGTGTGTGTGTGTGTGTGTGTGTGTGTGTAACTATGAGAGCTTTCGTGTGAGGACATGCTGCCGAAGGGCACGTCGTGCCTTACCTGCGCGATGGGGACCGCACACAGGGTCACACCGACTCCCACGCCCACCGCCTTGTGCCATGGTCTTATCAGCTCCGAGAAACAGCGCCTCCTGAAGCTGGCCGCGACAGGCACACTCCGTCTGTATCTAGACACAGAGGCCTCATTTATTTTTTACATGTGTGTGTTTATTTCGGAGAGGAAGGGAGAGAAACATCAGTGATGAGAGAGGATCATTGATGGGCTGCCTCCTGCACATCCCCCGCTGGGGATTGAGCTGCAAGCCGGGCCTGAGCCCTGACCCGGAGTCTGACTTCCTGGTTCAGGGGTCAAGGTTAACCACTGAAGAACACCAGCTGGGCCAGAGGTCACACCCACCGGCCTGCAGAAGTGCCCGCATTCACAGGGGGTGGAACTCCAACTGCGGCTTCGCAGGAACCTACGGGCAGGTGCGGGGCCGGCCTTCCCGGCGGCGGGGAAGCCGGGAACCGGCTCGTCTCCCCCCCCCCCCCCCCCCGCCCCGTCCGGCCCCGACCGCCCCGCTGCCCAGCCCCGCGAACTCCCGCCGGGCGGCAATGCGAGCCCAAAGGCGGCGCCGGATCCAACAGGTGCCAGGTGTGGTCGTTTAAACTTTTTAAACTAATTTCCGCGGGCAGAGTGCGCACGGCCTCCCGCCCGTGTCCGATAGCCCTCGCCCACCACTCCTGGGCGGCGGTGCTGCCCACCCCCGCCCCTCCGGCCGCAGGGAGCACTGCCCGCCGGCCGGGGCTTCGGGAGCAGCGGGAGCTCGCGGGCATCCCGGCCGCCCCGGAACACAGCGGGAGGCCGGGGGCCCCGCGTCCCGCGGGAGGGATAACGGAAAAGCCGCCGGTGAGGGGAGAGCCCGCCCCGCCTCGGACCAGAGAGGGGGGCGGGCCGGTAAGGGAAGGGCAAGCCCGCAAGGCCGGCGCAGCGGCCCCGCCGAGCGCTCCCCGCGTCGCCTCTTCGTCTCCCGTCCCGCCCCGCCCGCCCCCACACCCACTCCGCGGCGGTACCTGAAGAAGGAGGATACGCTCCGCGACAGCCAACTCCTCAGAGCCGCCATCCCGCGGCCGGCGGATCCCAGACGCACACGCCGGAAGTGACGAAACTTCGTGAGCGGGGGGGCGGGGCGCGGCGGCCTGGCCCCATGACCACGCCCCAGTCCGAGAGAGCAGTCGTGATTGGGCAGGCGGGGACGAAGGGGGCGGGGACTAGGGAAACGGCTGTAACGGCCGCGCCCCGTACCCAACCGCCGGAGCTTCCGCGCGGCGCGGGCCGGACCCTGGCCGGAGGGCGCGGGCCGGGCGGGGCGGAGCGGGCCGTGGTGACGGGTGGCTGGAGCCCGGCCCGGGAGGGAGGAGGCCGGGAGGGGCGGGGCGGGCGCCGCGAGGAGGCGCTGTCACTTCAGCACCAGGAAGTAGGTGGTCCAGCCGGCCAGCAGCAGCGCGCCCAGGAGCACCGTGTAGCTGAGCAGCACGAAGGCCAGCAGCTCCCGCAGCAGCTGCAGCACGTGGATGGTGGACGAGGCCGGCATCGCCCCGCGCCGGTGGCCGAAGACCTGCGGGGCACGGGCAGCCGGGACACCCTGAGCACTCAGACGGTTTCTCCCGCGGCCAGCCTCCACCGGACACAAGGCGGCTGCTGAGCCCGGCTCTTCTCTAGGCGCCTTGGACGCGGGTGGCTGGGGGGTGGGGGGTCCCACCCTCCGAAGAGAAAAGGCCTCCCTCAGGCTAAGGAAGCCCAAAGCGCTGATTGTGGCCCTCACCACCATCGGATGCCGCTCTTTTAAACCAAAAGTCACCCCTGGCTCTTGGGCTCCCTGGCTGGATCTGGGCTTGGACGGCAGGCAGAGCAGCCTGGCTGCTCCCAGCTCTGGCTGCTGCATTCGTCTCCCTCCCCAGCCGCTCCTCCCATCCACCTCCTGCATTTTTAATATTGCGAGTGCTGCTAATGGGCTGATGGAGTCAAGCTTTTTTTCCATCTGCTGCTCCAGCAGGAAAGAGAAGAGACCACCTGGGGTGGGAAAGACCTCCCTGCAGCCCCTCTGCCATCCCCTGGCCCCAGCGCTTGTCAGTAGCAGATCTGAGGGTCTTTGCTTTGTGGTCCAGCATGCTAGCCCTCTGGCCGGCCAGGATTGCAGGAGTGCCAGGAGGTGGCTCTCAGTTTGATTCTGGGCTTATCTCCTTCCCCATCTGCTCCAGCCCTGCTGCTCTTTCACCCCAGATGGAATCACATGGTGACCATCACCAACCAGCTCTCTACCCCCACCGCTGCCCTGCCCAGGAACTCCCCTCAGAGCCCCACTCACTCCCTCTCCCCATTTCACTCACTCAGCCAAGTTTTCAGGACTCCGCCTCGGCAGCTCAGAGCTTTCTCTCTGACCTGGTGTCCGATGGTAGCCTGTGTGCACTCCGGCGATCCTGGCAGAGCTGCAGGATTCTCAGGCAGCAGCTGCACTCACCAACTAGGTGTGGTCTAGAGACCAATCACAGCCTCCATGTGGTCCCTGAGCTCCCAGGGAGCTGTGCACATGCGTGATCCCAGGCCAGGCGGGGATAGTAACCCTGCCCACCCTCTCTGCCCGTCACCACCCTGCCCACAGCTCCCAGGTGCCTGCAAAGCTCCTGACTTAGATGGGCCAAGCCAGTGGCACACCAGGGAGTACTGCATGCCCCTTCTTGTCTGCTTTTCTGAACACTCCAACCCCTTTTCTAACTCTCACAAGGAGAGCGATCCCATCCTATTCTCAGCGTCAAAGAACCACCGCACAAACGACACTCACTGAGACAGCCAACTAAGCAAAAGCGTCTTAAAAAAACCTGCCCCTGTGAGCATGCCTGTGTGTGAGAACTGGGCACTGAGAGCCAAGAGCTGAGTGCTTGGTTCCAAGTCACAGAGCTGAGCAGGTTAGAGACTCATCGTACAGTCACCTTCCCAAGGTGCCCACTTCCAAGTCCAAGTCCTCCAAGAGAGAGGCTCCAAGAGCCAGTTCCGAATGCACAAATACAGAGCGGCCCTGTCTCCTGGTGTTCAGAGTGAAAGAAAATAAACCTGCTGCTGCTGGTTATTTTGCTTTTTGTACTAGTTTGTAGTTACCGTTTCTTTGACCTTAAAAAAAAAAAAAAAAAGCAGGCAGTGCACACTCCAATCCTTTTGTCAACATCATCAGTCAGAAGCAAATGGCTCTTTAATTTGATCAGGATCTCTTATTATCAAATCATTGCCCTGGCCGCAGCTCAGCTAAAAACCAGAGCAGACTATTACCAAGTGCTCAGGAAGTCAGCAAGCAGTAATTGCTCCCCGAGAGAATTGGTCATCTGAAGGGCTCGGGGCCCTGTGTAGTCTCAGGGAAGAAAGTCTAACTAATTATACCTTCATCCCACACCAAAGTAACAGTAAACACCTGATTCCGGTCCTCGACAGCTCACACCCTTCAGATGATGTCTTGAGGCAGCTCTATGTTCTAGCCTCTAGTCACCACCCAATTTTGGGTATTTTATAGCAACGGAGTACGGAGAGCGGCTACAGTGTTTGGACGGGTTCAAGCCTCAGACTAAGGAGAAGGCACAGTTCCTCTCGTGACAAAGCCACATGCAAGTCCCAGCGTGGAGGGCAGAGCCCGCCCAGTACCATTAATTACAGCTGTGGTCCCACATGGCTGAGTAATGTGGGCTTGACAGAGCTGAGGTGCATGTAATTGAGATGAGAACATTAACAACTTGACCACACCCTTACTTCACCTCGTGGACTCTGGCTATAAAATAAAGACACGGCTTGCAGGCTGTCCCTCCGTCAGAGAAGCAGCATCCCACCGAGACCCAGCTTTCATTCTCTTGTCTTATCTTTTCTAAATCCTTCACCGCCCCGCCTCAGGTTCATCCTTGGCCGTGCCGGCTCGGCACACGGGTGAACTGAAACTAAGAAACACGACGTGGCTTGAAGTTCGTATGCATTCGTTTAGAAATACAAGAATCGGAGGATTTTTACATTACTGTTGTTTGCTTCCACTGTCTGACAAACAGGCATCCTCTGTTTTCTGTACATGCCATCATTCAACCCCATGGCAACGTAATTCATCAGGCCTGGGCCTAACCCACGGTCTGTTCATGATTCATGGTCTGAGGTGCCACGTTTCTACACCTGCCACCTCTAGCACAACCCTGCAGACAGTTCTCTCTGCTATTTCTTCTTGAATTCAGCGCTGCTGACTACAAACACTTCCTCCTGGTGACAGACAGGTCTTGAACATGCGACTGAGAACAACAGACAAACAGGCACATCATGATCAATCGTAATTCATTTCCAGGGAGGGAAGAGCTATAATAGAATGGACTGGGACTCACATGGGATCCTCCCTTCCCAGTTCTCTCCAAGAATTCAATGTGCTGTTTTTAATCCACCTCCCACTCCCCTTTTAAACAATTTTATTGATTTCAGAGGAGAGGGAGAGGGAGGTAGAAACATCGATGAGAATCATCAATTAATTGGCTGCCTCCTGCACTCCCCGCACTGGGGATTGAGCCCGTAACCCAGGCATCTGTCCCAACCAGGAATTGAACTGTGACCTCTGGTTCACCACACCAGACAGACTAATCCTTATAACCATTACACTCTTGCTCCACAGTTAACTACAATACAAATACTCATTTCTCTGTTGGCAAAAACTCCAAAGTGTATAGTAAGACCCAGAACAGTGCCTATGTAGACTTCTTTATCTATGCAGACTCCTGGTGTAGCAGAATTATCTGCCCAAGGAGACAAAAGTCCAGACGTGATGTAAACAATCTTCCTGCTCCAGGACTAAGTGTACCATTCACATACCCTTTCTCAGTAAGGCCACACTCCTTTGAGACAAAGACTGCTTTAAGTATTAAATGAACTAAAAGCGTATAATATATAATTATCCACCCTTTCTATTTGCATACAAATGAAGCAATTGATGTTTTTAAGTCTTCTGCGGAATGCATTTGTAGGAGCTGACCTAACTATGCTCTGAGTGGGCAAGTCGAGAGCTACGAGTGAATGCAGACACATGAGACACAACCGAGTATCTGTTCACGGGACAAAGACCCCAGCCAAGGAGACTCGACTGGACTTGGATCCCAGGAGGCAAAAACGCTGAGGGACAAAGGTGTGTTTCACTGAGGCAGCCCGGGCTGACCACTGCTGGGGCTCGAAGGTATAAACTAATCTCCCTGGGATAACAAGGACCTGAGAAAGGATTTCTAACCCGGGAATCAATTTCTTAATGAAATTAAGACCATTTCCACATACTGAATGCCAATTAAATTAAACCCAGGACAAGCAAATCTTTTAATTTGTTGTTGTTGTTAATCCTCACCCGACGATAGTTTTTCCATTGAATTTCAGAGCGGGAGGGAGGAAAGGAAGGAGAGAGGAAAAGAGAAGAAGAGAGACATATTGGTTGTTTATCACATGAGCCCCAACCGAGGCTGGAGATCGAACATGCAACCCAGGTATGTGCCCTTGACCGGGAATTGAACCCTCAATCCTTTGGTGCACAGACCGACACTCTAACCACTGAACAACACTTTCCTCTTTTACTGTCATTTTTACCTGCTTGGTCCCATCTGTGCAGCTGTGTAGATTATCCATCCCCACCTCCTTAATACACTTCTTCCACAGGCCTCTGATGGAGATACTGAGCTGAGACCACAGAAAACTGGGATGTCTTTATCTGGGTTGTCTTCTTTCTTCAGAAAGGAACACAAAAGAGCAGCGGAAGGGAGAAAACAGCATCATTCAAGAGGCTGACCCCAAAGCCAGTTTTGTATTCCTGGGTTTGTTATGCCTCCGTGGGGCTGTACTTCCTTCCAGCAACTTCCTCAAAGGGGCAGTTTGTTCTGCAGTTTGCTTGTTCAATCGGGTTTGAGCGCCCTACACAAGCTTTTCCATCAGAGACTCCATCCACGTGGCCCCGTTCATTAGTTTCGTGGTGGCAATGACATATTCCGTGCCTCCATCTTCCAACTGGGAGAGAAAGCGCAGGGCAGCGACTTCGGCAAAGGTAACGCCCCCGAGGAAGAATATCAGGGTGACTCGGTTTTCCCCTGGTTGGCCTAAAATTGAAAGGTTTCAGAATTAAGTTATATGTTATTGGAGCTTCTCCTCCCACCTCTTAAAAACTGCATAGCTGGTGTGGCTCATTGGTTGAGCATCAGACCATGCGCCAAGAGGCTACCGGTTCCAGTCCCAGTCAGGGCACGTGCCCTGGTTGGTTGTGGGCTCGATCCGAAGTAGGGGGCGTGCAGGAGGCAGCCAATCAATGTTGACGTCTCTCTCTCACTAGTGTTTCCATCTCTCCCTCTCCCTTCCTCCCTCTCTAAAAAACAATAAAAACATTTAAAAAACAAAACTGCATCATTCATAAGAAGAAAAAAAAAAGTCAAATGTGTCTTGGTCTGACAGTTCATTTGAAATTCAGACACACAATTTTGCTCTCAAATGTTTTTTCTAACTACTGAGATCCCCAACTCCGGAGCTGAAAGCTGCTACCCCCGAGGGAATAATGGGTTCCCCTGCTTACAATATACATTAACAACTAACAAAAAGAGGTATATTGGACTCTGACTCCCAAGGACTTTACAAATGTATTCTACAAAGCAACTGCATAATCCATGGAAACCACACTAACGGCACATGACCATCTGTAGAGCGGGCTGCAGACTCACGTTTCTTTTGCAATCCCGTGGGCAATGGCTGCCTTTCTTCAAAGTGGGGCCCTGGGAGGATGCGCAGGACTTCCTCAATGCTCCGCCAGCCAGGCCGGGAGAGCAGCTGGGCCAGCCGCACGCTCAGAGGGGCGTAGCCACTGTACACGTAGGATATGTCCGTGGGACTCTGTGGCAAATAAAGGGGGAAAAGCCTGTGGGTACAGAGACTCAGAGCCACCTAACGGGCCTTTCGGATAACCCCAAGTTATTTGATTTGTCTTTGAAGGCAAAGCCACAAATCACCCCCACATCGTGGCTTTTCAAAAGCTGACTTCCGACTCACATTTTGAAAAGCCATGCAGGGCATCTCCACGGACCCGAGATGAAAACTGTTACTTCGTTTGGCAAGAAACTTTTTGGAGGGCAACCTGGCACTCTAGCTGGGTAACAATGTGCATAACCTTTGAACCCAGAAATTCTACTTTTAGGCGTTTATCCTGCAGAAGGGCTGGCACACCGGGGGAGACCAAAGCACCAACAGTAACTGCAACACCATCTGCACCAGGAAAAGACTGGGAACAACCTGAATTACTAGCAATAGAAACCTATTAAATTATAAAGATGGCATATCAGTGAAACCACCTCATAACAAGTACAAAGAACTTTAAAAAAACAAGGCAGGCCCGGCTGGTGTGGCTCAGGGGCTGAGCGTCAGCCTATGAACCAGGAGGTCACAGTTCTATTCCTGGTCAGGGCACAGGCCTGCACTGCAGGGTTGCGGTCTGGATCCCCAGTAGGGGGTGTGCAGGAGGCAGCCAATCAATGATTCTTTCTCATCGTTGATATTTCTATCCCCCTTCTTCTCTGAAATAAAAAAAATATATTAAAAAATATGTTACCTTTTGAGAGCAATTATTATGGCAGTTTGGTTGGTTTAATGGTAAATACTAGTATATTGTGCGGGTAAATTTGATTAAGGTCAAGATTTTTTAAAAGCATATGAATTCAGAAACCTGTGGACATAAAGTATATATCTTGTATGACTTTTTCTGACTAAATTATAAAATTATGTTTTTTTCTTTCTCCATGTTAAGCAAAGGAATGTCTTTAAAACACAGGGCCTTATTTAGGAATGCCACATTGGCCTTTGGGGCTGTTCTACTTTCCTATTAGAATGAGAGTTCTCTTTGACCATGACTCTCTGCTTCAATAATAACTGCAGGTTTAAGTGTGGGTTTCTCTCTGTTCTTATCTCTGCCATCAGAAATGTTCTTGTCCCCAAAGCTGTGGCTGCAACCTCTAGAAATATAACCACCAACTTCCCATTCCCAGCTGCCATTTTGTTCCTTTTCTTTTTCTTTTTTTTAATATATTTTATTGATTTTTTTATAGAGAGGAAGGAAGAGGGATAGAGAGCTAGAAACATCGATGAGAGAGAATCATTGATCAGCCGCCTCTTGCAGACCCCCACTGGGGATGTGCCCGCAACCAAAGTACATGCCCTTGACCAGAATCGAACCTGGGACTTTTCAGTCCGCAGGCCGACGCTCTATCCACTGAGCCAAACCGGTTTCGGCGTGTTCCTTTCCTTAGTGAAGGAGTTGTGTCAATACATGAGCTGGAAAGTTGGCTTGTACCTCGTTTGTGTTTGTTTTCTCGGGGTTTCTCCTCTGGACTCAGACCATGAAGCCATGGCCCATAAGGAGTTTCCTTTCCTCTTTACTGATTCCCTCTTCTCATTATGTGACTCACCGAACACAGCATTCTATCTCGAAGGGTCTCAGAGAAATCCAGTTATTATTTTGCCTTGATGCAGATTAGCTTATAAATCCTTCGGCAATGATGAATATGCTTAGTTTTAGGCTCTCCTGAGAAACGCTGTTTGCCACTTCTCTTCACAAATGGTTACTGTATTTTTAATGTCTGTTTCACATGATAAAAGACATACTGTATTTAATTCTAGTGAAAAATGTTGGGAATGTGGTAAAGGGTGGATTTTGATTTAGTTTTGTTATGAATTTATAGATATTATTTTATTAGGGAACTTTTTGCTTCTCAGGGACATCAAGAAATGCTTATTTCTAATTATTGCAAGTTACTATAACTATTGTAATTGTTATGTTATAGGAAAACCTTTATTTAAATGTAAGTGCTAAAGCATTGATTCTAATTAAAATGTAAGCAAAGACAGAAAAATAAATAGAGGCAGATCACAGGACGACCTTCAAGAGACAGTGGACATGAGTGGGGTGGGAGCAGCGGGTCAGAACGGTGAAGAGAGCCAAACCATTTACATTGTACAACAGAAATGAAGTCTCTTTATAGCAAATGGAGAAAAACAATCCAATTTTCTGCTGACAGAGGAGACAGTCTAATTATTAGCCTTTGTTGCAGAGGCAGCCTAATGAAAAACCAAGAGAGAATACAAGAGAAAGAAGTTTAGGAAGAGTAGAATCAACCATACATTAAAACAAAGTGCACCTGCTTTGGAGGTCAATGGTACAGAGTATGCACCATTTATGTGAAAGTGTTTGTATAGTCACAGAATCTTTCTGGAAGGGTTCAAAATCGGGTTAGGGTTACAACAGCTGCCTTTGAGGGGAAACTGGGGTCAGATGTGGAAGGAACCTAACCTCACTGTCTGCCTGAGCTGACGTTTCACCGCAGCTGGGTCCCTCCCAGATCCTCTCTGCCCCCCTTGGCTCTGAGCCTGAGGCAGACTGCAGGCTCTGCACCACGGCTCGCCGAGTCCCCTGTTTGGGCTGGGCCAATGGGAGGCACAGATAAGCAGGCAGAGTGGGCAGCAGTGAGGTCAGGGTTTTTGCACGCCGGCTTCCTCTGTGGCTGGGGCGAGCTTTATCCCTCCACCAGAGGCCTGTCACCCCTCGTCTTGTCAGACGGCCTCTCCAGTCAGCTCTCTGTCCACGACTGGCACAGGTTTCCGGAACAGCTCGCTCTCCTTGCCCTCAGGCCTCGCCTGGTAAGCGCTGCCCACTGCACTGCCTCTCACCGCCCCCGCCCCATCTTTCTGACACTCTCCTCTACCCAGTGTGAGAGCGCCCATTTCCTGCTGGGATTCTGACAGCTGTAACACACAAATGCATTCCTTTTTCACATTAGAACATGCTGTCGCATGGGCTGTTACCCGGTCACTGACTAAACTGGTGTGAGAAGGGGCCTTACTTGCTCGTTGACGTCATCCATCCAGAGGCGCAGGGTTTTCCGGATGGTCGGGTAATTGTTCCTGCCCCCGATCTGCGGTTTCAGCAGGCCAGCCTTCTCCAGGTTGTGTAAGGTCAAAATGTGCTCGTAGCCATACGTCTGCAAGACAAGTCATTCGGCCTGGAGGTCAGATCAGGAAAGGGCTTTGGGGACTTTCACAAAAGAGCGCCGCCGATAAATCTTGTTCTGTTCTCCAGGGCACGCCACTGAGGTGCAGGCCATGACGGACTGTGGCCCGGGGAAAGGACTGCCCTGAAACTGCCGGTCCCTCACAATCAGTCCGGCCCGTTAGTTTCAGAGGGATTTAACGTATTCAGAGTCAAAATGTATGGGCCCAACTGAATGAGCAGATTTTGGAAGTCTTTGTTTTTGTATGTTTTTTAAATTGTTTCTCCGTTGGCAAATTAGTAATTTAAAAATATACTGACCTAGCCTGGCTCACCTGGCTCAGTGTATGAACCAGGAGGTCACGGTTTGATTCCCAGTCAGGGCACACGCCTGGGTTGCGAGCTTTATCCCCACTGTGAGGAGTGCATGAGGCAACCGATAAATGATTCTCTCATCACTGATGTTCCTATGTCTCTCCCTTCCTCTCTGAACTCAATAAGTATAATATATTAAATACACACACATGCACACGCGCGCACACTGACCTGGAGAATTTCTCTTTTGTAATAATCCAGAACCTTTTGTTTGAGTCCACTATTGCACACCGACTGGAGGCAAACAAGTCTTAACACCTTGATCAGCGAATGCTTCTGGGCAATACAGTCCTCAATGTAACCATTGACCTGGAACAAAGTACAGACAGACCCATACCATCACCTGGTGTGGGGACCTCAGACCTTGATAGATACTTTTATTTTTAAAAATCAAACAAAGGCCAAAACCGGTTTGGCTCAATGGATAGAGCGTCGGCTTGGGGACTGAAGGGTCCCAGGTTCGATTCCGGTCAAGGGCATGTACCTTGGTTGCAGGCACATCCCCAGTAGGGGGTGTGCAAGAGGCAGCTGATCGATGACTCTCATTGATGTTTCTAACTCTATCTCTCTCCCTTCCTCTCTGTACAAAATCAATAAGATATATTAAAAAAAAAATCAAACAAAGGAGATGTGTGGGAGAATGTCCCCCTCCCCTCCCATCCCCTAAGGCCCCTCCAGCCCCTGGCACCCCCCCAAATCTCCCCCCTCACCTTCCCCCCGTCACCAGGAGCACGGGGCCCGTGAGGACATGTTCAACAACCCAGATGCCCGTCTGGGCTCGTCTGTCTCTACGGACGATGTCCTGAGAGGGATGGGTGGCCTAGTCTATCCCAGTGAAGTGGCAATTTATCAGCAACAGGAATGTTTTTAGGTGGAAGTTTTCATAAAATGAACCATTTTAATTTACTAATAGAGGTGACTATGTAAGGAAATATATGGCCAATTCTCTCTGAAATCTAGCATCTCAATTTGCCCAGTACAGCCCTTAAAGCTCCGATTTCGGGGCTGGATCTCGCCTTCCCTGCATCACAGGAAGTGCTCTCCACAGAGTAGCGTTAAATACCTGTTACTGATAAAAGCTGTATTTTCATTTTGCATTTGCTCTTAAAAATACTTAAGCGAGACATTGGAGTCAAAGCCATTGCTTTTGTAGCTATGGCCTTATGTTTGATACAGTATTTACTATTTGTTAGACAGTTTAATTGTTCACGAACCTTATCAGTGTCTATTCCAGACATAAACTCCTGCTCCACTGTCAACTTATCAAAGAAGTCTTCAGAAGCTAAAAAGTAATTAGGAGATTTGATTAACTTAGAAATCAAATAAATGTCCATTTATCTGAGTGATGTGCTTTTATGAACAGAGCATGATTAAGAAGCAAGACATGCAAAAGCAGGCAGGCCACAGGCTGAAACAGCCTCCTGGCGAAAACCTTCTAAAGGTATGGAAACCCTACGACCCTGCATTCCTAAGTTCCATCTAGAGAGAGCGGCCCGAGCCCCTTTGCTATCCTCAAAACTCGAGAATGTTGCCTCGGTTTCAGTGAAAGCTAGTTTCCCCAGAGTATTGCATCATCAGACTCAACCCAGTGCCACCTGATTTCTACCCAACACTGTGCTACAGCTAAGACTCAAAGTGTACTTCACAGTACAGGGCACTGACCGGTCTCCTAGGCAGCTTTTACAGCCTGGGTTTTAAAGAACAAGCTTGTCTTTGGTTTAATATACACCCTCTGAACTCTTTCAAAACACTCACTGTATGCTATATACCAATTCTGTGGAAAGTTTTCAAGGGAAAAACAAACAGGAACATCCCATTGTTCTAATCAAGTAATCCTTAACAACAGGCAAAAATTAACTGCCTCGTATTATGGTGGCAAACTCATGGAAAACTTTTGCTCCCTCTTATTGGTATCCCCATGATATTATTTTAATAACCAAAAGGAATGTGCTCTCCACGAATGGCACGCTTTTAACTGTGAACATGTGCGCGCTTACTTAACACAGTCAGAGGCGCCGTGGTCGGGGCGAGGCGGCCCAGGCGAACCCCAGCCCTGGGTACTCACTGGTGACATCTTTGATGAGCTCTGCGATGGAGGTGTGGTTCGCCAGCGAGCCGCGGGCGGCCTGCATGTGGGGCAGCTGGGAGACGAACTGCTTGATCTCCCCCACCGTCTTGGCGTTGTGCCTCTCCTGGAGGGGCAGAGCCGCGAGGAAGGAAGAGACTCACCGTCGAGAGCTGTGCTTTGTTTTGCTTAGTTTTTAGTTTAATGTGGCAAAAAGATAGGGGTGAAAATGAATCAGGCCAAACCCAGCTCCAACATCACATGGAAAACCAGAAAGGGTCCGTTCTCCGTGCCTGTTCACTGCGCTGGTGCTTCTGTCCCGAGCAACTGTCTGTGGTTTCCTCTTCCCAGCTGCCAGCTCATGCTGGGAACAGTATTTTGTGGGAGCTGAGTGTATGTGGGGGGACGGTATGGGTAAACCACAGGCATTTTGCAGTAAAACACTAAAGGAAAGCACTATGTTAAGAGGGGAACATAAACAAGCAAGTTCCTTCTATAACAGGAAGGAAAGAGCCATCCTTCTTACTGAGCCTTAATTTTGAATAATGTCCTAGAACTAAGTGAACCTCGCTTAGTGATGAGAAAATATTGTGTTTTTTTTAAAAACTGAGTAGTCATTTAAACCAAAAGTAACTTCAGAAACATGAAAATCAGATAAATGGATGTAATTCCTGAGAAAGATGAAATCTGGAAATCCATACTCAGTGGAAAGTTAGCTTTCAAAAGTTCTCCAAATTCATGTCTCTAACGCCCACGTACTCCGTGTACATCACACTGATTCCCAAGGTTCAAAACCAACCAAACCCAGAGTGCCGCAGGGTCCAGGCAGGAGCCGCGGGAGCCGATAATGAAGCTGCCGATTTCAAAGCTCCCGCCGCTGGGGTTTCGCTCTCATTATCACTCATGTGTCTACGGGGGCCTCTGCCACCAGCACGTTGGCCAAGCTTGGGAGTTTTCACCCCAAATTGCAAGTTCTATTACAGAGGATCTTTTATTTATAGTGCAGCTGGCTTCCTCTTAAGTGGGGCAGGAAATAATGAAAAAGGAGGGAAAACAAGTGTTTATGGCAAAAACCTGTAAACTGTAAACACTGCCTGCCCCTCCCAATAAGGGGAAAGTGACCAGAATCCTTTCCTCCGGGGGAGAAGTTTGAAAGGGGCAGTCCGGCGGGGGACAGCCACACCCGCTCACCTCAAACGCAGCCGAGATCACCTTGGCTTTCTTGCTGAGCACGGAGCCCACGGCGTTGAAGTTCTTGTCGCGGATCTCGGCGTACAGCTCCTCCGCGGAGTTCAGCTGCAGCTTCTTGGCTTCCGTGGGAAGATCCTTGCCGCCGTCGCCCTGCTTCTTGGGCGCGAATTTCTCTGGAGGTAACTTCACGTAACCTGGCAGCAGGGGTGGGAACAAGCCTGTGCACCTCCTGGGAGAACCAGGCGCAGAGCAGAATTGTCCCAAAAGGACACGGAAGCCGCCTTGACTGAAAATGGTGCGCAGCACTGAGGTTTTGACTTTTCCATGAGCGAAGTAGACTCAGATCATAAGGAAATCAGTCAGAATTATTAAGGATTTTATCCAGCTTAAAATGCTGATAGAAACAAACAGCACGTGGGCCAAAAACAAACACGTTGGTGACCTCTGACCTAAGGTTCTGTCAAGCCTAAACTCTTGCAGGCCGTCCGTCTTCCCTCGTGTCCCCAACCGCCCGTATGAGCCTTCCCCCTAGAGTGACGTTCCCCGCTACGTTCTCTGCGTTAGCAAGCTGGTCGCCTGTCACTGCCCGCTTTGATGCTGCTGCCTGCCCCTCCCAGCACCACCCTGGACACTCTCCCCTTTCCAAACCCACCCAGGCCCCCTCTCCCAGCTTCCCACACGCTGCAGTGCCGCCTGGATTAACCCCAGGCCTCTGTGCACCGGGCACAAACACGATCGCTTGGACCCTGTTTACTTCTCGTGTCTAAAAGTCAAAAGCAGTATTTTTGTATTTTCAATTATTCTCTGAGTTATATGCAAAGAAAGCACTTTCAAAAAAAAAATGACTGTTATCTTGGCCAAATGTCCTATTAGTAAAAATAGATGGCACTTTACTTACTGTTCTGGATGCCGTAAATTTCATCGATGAGTCCTTCGTACGTCAGCTGAGTGGCCAGGGGTGTTAATAAGTCCACATTTCGATCGAGCAGTAAGAGATTATCAAAAACAGGAAATACGGAATTCTGGCTTCCTGTGAACTCTCTCTTCATCCTGATCATCATGTTGGCCACTTGCTGGAAATAAAATATTGGATCAGGCAGACCCTCCTGGGAATGAGCCGATTTTAAAATTTGGCTAAAAACAGAAAGACAATCAGGAAAGTAAAAAAAAGAGAAACACTGTGGAATGTGAGATAGATAAGAAATTAGAAGTTATAGAAAGCACTTGCTGCTGGCCACCCATCCCAACACTCACTCTGGCCAATGGCGACCGGTATTTCTCAATGGGGCACAAAATCAGGGACAGTCTCTCTGTGTTATTCCTGGCGACTGTGTTCTATAAAGTCATGTGAATAGGAATCAGCGAGTACTGAGCCACAGCTCCTGGCAGAAACGGGGGGTGAGGTTCCTGCGGGCTCTGGTCATATGTCCATAACTGGTCACATGTCCATAACTGGTCAACATGTAACCTTGTTTAATATGCTGCTGTTTAAAGTCTCTTTAAGATATATTGTTGAGCCCAACCAGTATGTCTCAGTGGCTAAGCATCTATCGATACTATGAACCAAGAGCTCATGGTTCAATTCCCAGCCAGGGCATATGCCAGGGTTGTGGGCTCGATTGCCAGTGTGGGGCCTGCAGGAGGCAGCTGATTAATGATTCTCTCTCATCATGGATGTTTCTCTTTCTCCCTCTCCCTTTCTCTCTAAAATCAATAAAAAAAAAAAATACATAAAAAAAAAAAAAGATATATTGTTGATTCACTGACAGTGAGCCCAACAGCCCAACGGCACCCACACCCGAATGAAGCCAGCCTCACCTGTTTTCTCAGGAGGCCTGTCACAGCCTTTCTGAGCTCAGGGACACTGCCACCCTTTCACTCCGCAAGAGAACCGTTTTAATAGCAAACCACCAATAAGAAGCACAAAGATGCAAAAGATGTGGCAGTAAGCAGTGTGTGGGCCCATTTAGGGGCAGAAAGGACACTTTACAGCAGGAGCTGAAACAGGAGGGCAGAGCAGCACTCTGTTCAACCTCAGCTGCCAACACGCGTGCTGGGCAGCTCAAATGGTTTGCTGTTTCGGGCATGTCCTCAGAACACTGAATATCACTTTGGGGGTTGTGAGTAAGTTTTAGCAAGTAGGCGAGTCCCCAAATAGAAAGGATTAGCGGGATTGGTTTATAAATGGCTTCCCGCTCCCTTCCCCCTCCTTCCCCACCAGAAACACGGCGTTTCTCACCCGGGCGCACTCTCCTTTCCCGAAGATCTGCGGGATGGTCCCGTACAGAGCCTGCAGCGTCATCAGCCCCTTGGCCGCGTGGTAGAGGCAGGTCTGGTCGCTCTCCAGGTAGCACTCCTGCGGGGAGAAATGGAAGGTCACTGTCAGGCACGGTTGGGTACCCACCGTCTGGCACCGGGATTCCACTTTGCCGGGGAAGTAGGAGATGGGACCCGAGTCCCTTTTACAAAGCTGCTGTTTGGCACTCCAGGCCACAGGGCCAACAGCTCAGCTCTCAGGGTACAGCTGTGGAAGCAATTCTCCGGGGGCAGAACCTTCTGGAAGAAAAGGGCTCACCAGGCATGCCAACTCTTAGTTTATCAGCTCTTGAATAACTTACTGATTAATAAAGGCTTCCACGGGTTCTCCCATTCGCCATGGGGAATATAAGCTTTGGTAGGATATTTTGGGAGGGCCACATGCTAATACTCATAAATGTGCACATTCGTTGAACCCCAAAGCCCCAGAGGAGCACACAACAGAATACTTGCAGTTTTTACAAACACGAGGCAGGTTTTCACATGTACCGACAACAAATGACGGTCGTGAACATCGTGAGAGAGGAAAAGGAATGGTCGAACCATCTTTAAAGTATGATATAATTCTCAGAAAACATATTTTACTTTATAAACATACAAAGTGCATTTTGTAAAATATACTTATTGTTTAATATTTGTTTGCTGAGAAGTGAGAAAGGGAAGCGATGCGTTCTGACACTGGAAGGAAGCGCCCAGGATTTGGACTCGGGGTGCCTTGACTTGATCCCCGTTGTCACTGCCCAGCTCATCGCTAACCAACATGACAACCTCTCTGGGCCTCGATGTATTCTTGGTAGAATGGAGCACATTCCACATAGCACAAGGACTAAAGGAGAAAAATGCTTCTAAAGACAGCTTTATATTTAGCACCTAAAATGTGCTTAGTTAATGCCGGGACCGGTTTGGCTCAATGGATAGAGCGCCGGCTTGGGGACTGAAGGGTCCCGGGTTCGATTCCGGTCAAGGGCATGTGCCTTGGTTGCGGGCACATCCCCAGTGGGGGGAGTGCAAGAGGCAAGCTGATCGAAGACTCTCTCTCATCGATGTTTCTAACTCTATCTCTCTCCCTTCCTCTCTGTACAAAATCAATAAAATATATTTTTAAAATGTGCTTAGTTAAGGTTAACTTTTATTATAAATTTGGATTTTTTACAACCATCATTTAATGGTTCGCTGCACTACCACCAAGGTACCTCTAGTCTCCAAAGCCAGGAGGGAGGGGACAGGGATGACGAGGGGTTAAGGAAGAGACAGTGGAAGGTTCTTCCAAGTCTCGTGCATCTCACCATTTCACTGAATATGACAGGCCGAAGTCAAGAATGTGTACAGCCCTAGCTGGTTTGGCTCAATAGAGCATCAGCCTGCAGACTGAAGGGTCCTGGGTTCGATTCCAGCCAAGGGCACATTCCCGGGTTGTAGGCTTGGTCCCTGGTGGGGGAGGGGAGGGCGTTCAGGAGACAGCTGGTCAATGATTCTCTCTCATCATCAACATTTCTATTTCTCTCTCCCTTCCTCTCTGAAATCAACAAAAATATATATTAAAAAAAAAAGAATGTGAGAAGATAGACTTTTTGTAAAAATTATTAAAAAGTCCCAAGTAGCATGTGGAGGTATTATTGATATGAGAAAATGCTAAGTAACTGATTTACTATCTGAAAAGGGATTTACTATTGGGGAAATTGAGGGAAGAAGAGACTGAACATAAACTGCACCTATGGATGAGGACAATGGGGGATGGGGGGGGGACGGAAGGGGGGGTGGGAACCTGGTGGAGGGGGGAAGAAATGAGGAACCTTTGTAATAATATGAACAATAAAGATTGATTAAAAAAAAAAAAAAAAAAAAAAGTCCCAAGTAGAACATAGCTAAGGTGAAAATTCAAGAAAAAAACATCAGGGCCGAAACCGGTTTGGCTCAGCGGTAGAGCGTTGGTCTGCGGACTGAAAGGTCCCGGGTTCGATTCCGGTCAAGGGCATGTATATTGGTTGCGCGCACATCCCCGGTGCGGGGTGTGCAGGAGGCGGCTGGTCAATGTTTCTCTCTCATCGATGTTTCTGGCTCTCTACCTCTCCCTTCCTCTCTGTAAAAAATCAATAAAATATATTTTAAAAATAATAATAATAAAAATAATTCTACGTTTTAAAAAAGATATGAGTTAACAACAGGTATAGAACTTTTTGCTCTAATATTACTGGCAGTGGGAAGACTGTATTGACATCCCAACTCTATTCTGCATGTGCGAAATTCCCCGTGGCATTTCAATCCAGGAGCATGTTTTGGGAGAGCCAAATGCTAACACCCATTAACATTTAAGTGCACATTTTTGACCTTGCAAAGTTAGTTTTTAAGTTAGTTTTTACACAGTAGATATTACGTACACTAATTTTTACATATACAAACAACTTAAGATCACAATAGACTGAGCAGTGTTACTGAGCATCAAACTGGACAGAACTGGAATACCCACATTTTGTACAATAGAATGATGGAGATGATCATCACATCCTGCAAGCATGGAAAGCTCTAGAGTTCCTCCTTATGCTGAGAAATGCTCGCAGTTTAACAGTTACATAAATAGCCCAGCCAGTGTGGCTCAGTGGTTAAGCATTAACTCATGAACCAAGAGATCACCAGTTTGATTCCCCATCAGGGAACATGCCTGGCTTGTGGGCTCAATTCCCAATAGGGGGCATCCAGGAGGTAGCTAATGTATAATGTTTCTCTCTCATCAATGTTTCTATCTCTCTATTCCCCTCCCTTCCTCTCTCTCTAAGAATCAATAAAAGCATATATATATATATATATATATATATATATATATACATTTTTAAAAATATATTTTATTGATTTTTTACAGAGAGGAAGAGAGAGAGAGAGTTATAAACATCGATGAGAGAGAATTGATCAGCTGCCTCTTGCACACCCTCTACAGGCGATATGCCCGCAACCAAGGTACATGCCCTTGACCAGAATCGAACCTGGGACCTTTCAGTCCGAAGGCTGACGCTCTATCCACTGAGCCAAACCGGTTTTGGCTAAAAGCATATTTTTAAAAATCACATAAATAAGTAAAATGCAACTCCATCAGAAATCAGGGTTGAATTTAATATTAGGTAGAACTCTTGCTTGTTTTCTAAAATGAATCTTTAATGAACACACAAAGCCCAGGGCTCACCGTTCTCAGCAGGAAATAATTCTGCCCTTTTGGCAAATCCCGGATTACATAACCAGGAGCTCGCGCCTCTGTACAGGTTTTGTCATGCCAGGACACGTTTCCTAGCTGCTGCCAATTCACATTAATTACACGTGTGAATTAATTATGATGGTACCGTTATAGATATGTGACAAAGCAAACACAGCAAAATGTTAATTCCAGAATCTAGGTGATGGATATGTTTGAAATTTGGGGAGGAAAAAAGAATCCAGTTCTGGCCGGTGCGGCTCAGTTGGTTGAGCATCATCAGATGCACTGTAAGGTTGTGGTTTCGATTTGCGGTCAGGGCATGTACCCAGGTTGTGGGTTCAATCCCAGGTCAGGGTGTGTACAGGAAGCAATCCATTGATGTCTCTCTCTCACATCGATGTTTCTCTCTCTTTTTCTTCCTCTCCCTTCCTCTCTCTCTAAAATTAATAAAAACAATTTTTTAAAAATGTAACTACTTTATCATTGGAAATGTCTACCTAGTAAAAAGTTATTATAATTAAAGTTAAAAGCCAAGCCACAGACTGGGAGAAGATACTAGCAGCTTTTATTTTTTTTATTTTTTATTTTTTTATTATTATTATTATTATTTTTTATATTTTATTGATATTTTACAGAGAGGAAGGGAGAGAGATAGAGAGCTAGAAACGTCGATGAGAGAAAAACATCGACCAGCTGCCTCTTGCACACCCCCTACCGGGGATGTGCCCGCAACCAACGTACATGCCCCTGACCGGAATCGAACCCGGGACCTTTTAGTCCGCAGACCGACACTCTACCACTGAGCCAAACCGGTTTCAGCACTAGCAGCTTTTATAACCCACAATGATAAGTACCCAAAATAAATAAAGAATTCTTCAAAAGAAAAAAATGGGCAAAGAAAAATAAACACACAATTTGCTAAAAAGAAAAATCTTTTAAAAAATATATATATATATTTTATTGATTTTTTACAGAGAGGAAGAGAGAGGGATAGAAAGCTAGAAACAACAATCAGCTGCCTCTTGCACGCCCCCTACTGGGGATGTGCCCACAACCAAGATACATGCCCTTGACCGGAATCAAACCCAGGACCTTTCAGTCCACAGGCTGATGCTCTATCCACTGAGCCAAACCGGTTTCGCTAAAAAGAAAAATCTTAAACATTAATATCCCTATGGAAAAGCTCAGCTTCCAGTAACAAGGAAATGCAAGTTAAAACAATAGCCTGGACACTGTCATACTTATAAGTTTGGCAAGAGTTTAAGTCTGACACTAAGAAAGAAAATACCAGACTTACTTTGAAGGCTCCCTCTGATTCCATGGATAAGAGATCCCCGTCAAAGGGAATGAGATCCAAGCTATACTCCTCCCTGTGAATGAAGGAGCCCAACACACCCAGATCCTTCAGCCGCTGTTCACACAGTAAGCTACGTCGTGGCACAAACAAAATGTGGAAATCTCTTGCTGGGCCACGTCTGTCTTCACTGCAAGAGAAGTAACGTTTGTTAGTTTATGAGCTCTTTAAGGTCACAAACTATTTTATTTATATTATCCTCAGAGCCTGGTCCTACGCCTGGTACACAGCAGGCACTAAATAAATGCTGGCTAGATAAACATACCAATATTTGACTTTCAGACCCATATTGTTACAGTTGCTCTCTTTTTTTTTCCTCCCCTCCCCGAAGGGAAAGCAACATCGATTCACTACCACAACTTTGTAATGCATTTGCTAGCATCCTCTTAAACTAATTATAGGGCACTAAAGCTTTCAGGTTTATTGAAACAGGATATGTGTGTCTTCCTGAAAACAAATGGCTCTTTAAACCAAACCAATGCAGATACAGAGTATTACATTAAAAGGAAAGATCATTCTTGATCCCCTCTGCACTCTCCTTCACAGTGAACTTCCCAAAATAGCCCACTTGCTTTTAAGGTTTTAGGGGCCACACCAATCAATTGTAGAGTGCAGACTGGGCTGGGACAACTTCCTCTATATAGCGATGCTGTATTAAATTTTAATCAGATCTTACTTATTCTGCTTATGAGATTCAAGTACACTATATTCAGTATACTGAAGAACAACCGTTAGAGGTTTTTCTTTTTTCTTTTTAATTAGAGTCCCTTATACTAATACAGGCCCACATATTTAGCTGTCCTATAAAAGAATGGGGTTATGCGATGACACCCCACCCCCAAAACTGTTTGGACAACTTTACAAGTGCCCCATCCCCCCTTATCCTTTCATGCCGGCCCCAGTTTTCAAAAGACCACTTTCCAATGCACTGGCAAGAGAGTGGGGCTGCAATGAGGAGCTCAGAACATTAAGACCACCTGGAGGACCCACCCCTTTTGAATCAAACACAAGCTATGAGAAATACCTGAGCACATTTTCAGCAATTATATCCATCAATTCTAGCCTGGGTCTGACAAAAAAAATAATATTCTTGACATCAGCTGCCGGCAAACGACTTCCTTTAAGGGTGAACATTTTTTCCACTTCATGTTCCTAGGGAAACATACACAAAAGGTTAACAACAAAAAAACCTGTCTTTACCTGTCATATCCAGACTCAGACATCCTATCCTCCTAGCCAAATGCTCTTAGTACTTAATTGCCCAAATTTAGATTCCCCAAAGCCAGATGTATAAAGCACCAGGTTTCAGGTCGAAGTCACTGTTATTGTATCTGAATTCAAATGACTCTCCCATGATTACGTATCAAAGACACCAGGTAATGGTCATATAATACAATGTTAGTAATTTCCCTAGAATTAGAATCAGTGTAGCATCACAGGTCAAAGGATCAAAATGTTAGCCAAGAATTAGTATCCGTGTTTACAAAGACCAAACAGCTTTATAAGCCAGTTGTTCAGGAGAAAATGTAAAATTCCATTATTACTGTGAAAAGGCATAATTATTAATCCCTCAACAAAACCAGAATAGCTCCTTTACCTTCAGTAGTGAATATTGTGCAATCAGGCCAAATGGTCCTGTGAGGTATTCATCCCAAACTATTGCCTACAAGAGGGGAGAAACATTCTCTTATTATGGTTACTATCAGGTATGTCAACAGTATCAACAGAAAATAAATAGCAGTCATACATAGTAGGACTCTTGGCTTCAAACTTTGAATTAAAAAAATTTTTTCAAGTATTTTTATTGATTTGAGAGAGGAAGGGAGATGAAGAGACAGAAACATCAATGATGACAATCATTGATGGGCTGCCTCCTGCACACCCCCCACTGGGGTTCTAGCCCACAACCCAGTCATATGTCCTTGACTGGAATCAAACCCACCCGGGATCAAATGTGGGACCCTTCCATCCACAGGCCAATGCTCTATGCACTGAACCAAACCGGGTAGGGCTCTGAATTAAAAATTTTAATAGACTCTGACCACATTCATAACCTGCAGGCCTAAAGAAAAACAGCAAGGGCAAGGGATGGTAGTGGTGGTCACAGGAAAATTAAGACTTCATCACTACCCTCAACAGAAAGGAACTGTAGTGTGTTATGTACCTGTGTCATGGTATTACTGGATAAAACCATATGAAAACTGCAAATAGTATTTTACATATAAATATCATAATCCGATTACATAAAAATTAAAACCTCTGGCCCTAACCGGCTTGGCTCAGTGGATAGTGTCGGTCTGCAGACTGAAAGGCCGCAGGTTCGATCCCAGTCAAGGGCATGTACCTTGGTTTCAGGCACATCCCCAGTAGGAGGTGTGCAGGAGGGAGCTGATCAATGTTTCTCTTTCCTCAATAATTCAAACTCTATCCCTCTCCCTTCCTCTCTGTAAAAAAGCAATAGAATACATTAAAAAAAAAATTAAAACCTCTGATGTAGGTATATTACAAATCTTATTTTGACAGAAGACGCCAGTTTAAAAGGCTCAGAAAATTTAAGTAACATGTTCAAGGCCACATAGTGACCTTGCATCCTATATAATAAAGAGCTAATATGGTAATTAGACCGGATGGTGGAGCGACCTTCCCCAACGAGGAGGTAGGGGCCAGGCCACCTGAGAGTCGTCAAGCCCCTTGTAGGAATAATATAATAAAAGGAAGTCAGAACTCCAACTTGGGACTTGACCCCACAGGTCATTGCTCTGGGCCCCTGGAGCATTTATTCTGCTAACCTCCAGGATCATTTCTTCTCCTTTTAACTGACACTCTTATTGAGATAATGGTAGGTAACTTTCGGTTGTAAGAAGTTCTCCAGACCCAGTTTCCCAATGGTAACATGTTGCAAAAACTATAATCCAATATTATATCCAGGGTATTGACAGTGATCCAATCTGTGACCTTCTTCAGATTTGAGCATCATTTCTGGAGCTTGAACTGGGGATCTAAGGCTTAGCCTGTTTTCTCCTCTCAGTGGCTGCTAGCACCCACTCCTTGGCTTTCTCTTCTTTATAAGACGGATTTCTGAGTGTCCGCAGTTCTCCTTTTCTGGTCAGTTTCACTGCCAGTTATTTAGGGGGAGGGACGAGCTGAGAGATTCTAGGGGGAGAGGTCCTAGTATCACTTAAAAGTCCGTGATCTACAGTTTCGGATTCCACTGCGAACTGGGTGCTAGCAGGAAACGCCTAACAGGAAGGTCCAGGGAAAACCTCAGTTAACAACTTCTCTCTTCTGCACGAGCAGCAGGTGACACAGTGTTGGTGCTTCAGGGACTTTCCAAATTGGGATTTGCTTCGACACCTATGATCCTTGTAATGCAAGGCGTCATCACCCCACCCGCCCCGGCGTCTGCAGAGCACCGGGCATAAGCTGGTCCACAGGCACTGAGACCACACGGTGGCTGCCTCTGCTACCACACAACCCCGCGACGCCACGCGGAGTCCGGGCCGTCCGCCCCGGGGCCCACCGCCTGCTCGCCTCCGGGGAAGCTCCAGCTACCTCGGGCGATGGGAGCCTGGGCGGCGGACCGGATGAGAGCCAGGCCGGACGGGGCTGCAGGGCGCCGTGGCCACCGCCCGCCCCTCACCTTGCTTCCCGCGCACTTGTCCAGGAATTCGCGCAGCTCCCGACGCACCGCCTCGCGCAGCACGTTCAGGTTCACTCGCCCATAGGACAGGTGCGCCGCCATCTTGTCCCACCACCCCCCTTTCTCGCCTCATCCAAACGCGCCCCCTCAGTCACTCCAGAGGTCCATAGGCGGAGTCACGTGGCGGCGCGTCCACGTGACCACGCTAGCGTTTGCACGCAAACCCGGAAACCCGAACTGGCCTGGCCGGCGCCTGCGGCTCCCCCAGGCCCTAGCGCCGCCGGCTTCTTCTACCGACACCGTCTCCGTGTTGAAGCCGCCCGGCGCTGACAGTTGAATTTTAAAGGCGGAGACTGGATCCTGTTCGTTCCGTTGAAGTTTTAGAAATCGCCACTTTCATCTTAGCAGCGAGCGTACTCGCTGTAAAATGGTCATTTGAAGCTAAACGTGAATGAGAATATTTTCAATTAGAGCGATTAAAAGGTCCTTCTCTTTGCTCTTTTGGTTTGTGGGCTAAAATTTAGGAAAATGGCCGGGATCCGAAGGAACCTGAGGGTCTTGTCTGTTTGGCTCTTCTTAGACTTTTCTTAGGAAATACTGTCCGATGTAGAATCCAGGTCCCAGCACTTGCTTCATCAGTAAAATTCGCATATTACCTTATCAGTTGTGGAAATCACGGGTGCACCTCATTCATACAAAAGCCTATCAAGGCCCTGGCCAGTGTGCCCAGTGGTTCACCTCAGCCCTGCACACCCAAGGATCACCTGTTTAATGTCTGGTCAAGGGCACATGCCCAGGTAGCAGGTTCAGTCACCGTTGGGGGTACATATGGGATGTATGGGATCAATGTTTCTTCCTCAGATGTTTTGCTCTCAAATCAATAAAAACATTTTTAAAAAGAATATACCAAATTCTTAAAGCTGTATATCAGCAAGACTGCAGTAGAAATTGATATTTGGATCTATAGTGTTTGCTCATTTGAAGAAAAACTATTATGATAAAAGAAACTTAAAATATCAGTACCACCGGCAAAAAGAATAATCATTTATTAAAGTAGAAATAGAGCATTGGCCTGTGGACTAGAGTCCTTGGTTCAATTCCCACCAAGGGCACATGCCAGGTTGTGGGCTCAATCACCAGTAGAGGGCATACAGGAGACAGCCAGTCAATGATTCTCATTTATCATTGAAGTTTCTCCCTCTTACCCTTAGAGACAGCCTGAACGGATCTGGAGAGCATCATGCTAAGTGAAATAAGTCACTCAGAGAAATACAAGAATCACATGATCTCACTCATATGTGGACTCTAACTTACAAAATAAACTGATGAACACAGTGGATCCAGAGACATGGAAGCATGGAACAGAGTGCAGAACTTCAGAGGGAAGGCGAGGGGGAGAGCAAGGAGGGAGAGGGAGGATGAGTGAGTGGGAGGTAAAAAATTAAGGACTTTATATACATGGCCCATGGACACAGGGGAGATGAGAGTGGAGGTGGGGTGAATTGGAGGAGGTCAATGCGGGGAAAAAGAGGGACATATGTAATACTTTCAACAATAATTATTTTTTTTAAATGGTATTCTTTAACTAAAAAAAAAAAATAAATAGGTTCAGAACATTTTTTGCTCAAATTTTAATACTGCTTTACATATTGTTTGTGAAACAATTCTCATTATGTTTATAACCAGAAATTCAATTGATTACAGATTTTTCACTTGTCAAACACAGTTAATAATCTTGAGGGGAAAATACATCAAAGGCATATATACAATTATAGAAGTTCTTATTATACATGTAGCATGGAGATACCTTTATTACTTTTTACATCTTCTAAAAGACATTCAATTCAAATCAAGATAAATAGTTTAATAAAACTGGTTGATAAACTTCTGGTGGCTGAGGTCCTTCATTTAATTTTTTGTGATAAGAAAATCCAAAATTATTAATATTGAACTTCTCATCATACATTCATCTAAAAAGACAGTAAATACAACTTGTAAAGATTGTGGGTTGGTTAATGTAAGTGTTGTATAGCAGCTTATTATCTAATTAATTGACTGCTGGGGATATCTGCTAGAGAAGGAAAAATATTGTATTTATATCTGATAAACAAAATGAAAACAAAAATAAAAAATAGCTCCAAAGCTGTGTGATGCTATTTCTGGCCTAGCCCATTATGTCCTGATAAACATTCTAAGTTTTGTTCTTTTTTATAAAGGTAAAAATCTGAAAAGAAGGACATAATTGTGTATTCTTTTTCCCAAAATAAAGATTTTTTTAAAAATATATACATATTATAGCTGAAATTATGCAAAACCAACAAACAAAACGCCACAGTAGAATAAGTGGGTGCAGCATATCGATGATCAAATGTCCCACAGTAGTTTGGGGGCTTCCCCCCCTTACCTGTTTCATGATTTATCATCACACCTAAGTGTTACCAAGCCTGAAGCAGAGGCACTACTGACATCAGGTAGTGCAAAGGTCTCAGATATTTCTTTGACTAAAAATAAAATGCTCTATATGAGTAGATGAAAATGCAAAATGGCACATTTTTTTTCAACTCATTCCAGTGTCAAAGCTTAACCAAAACATCTCACTATACAAAAACGCAGCCTGGGAAGATTTTAGTGCAAATATGAGAATGGCATAATTTAAAGTTACTTAAATAAGGTACTGGAGGGTGGGGATTGTTCTTGGAGGTTTCCCTCGGGACAATAGATGTAACGACCTCTGGTGCAACGTCCTGCTGAAGCTTAAAAATCAAGACGACAAAAATAAGAGGTGAAAACTCACCTCCTAAGCATTTATTATTCTAATGTCTACGGGGAAACTAAAAAGGCGATTTGTTGGAAGATCAAAATATTTTCTTAGGTTTGTTGGTGGGGGTCAAAAATATCGTGAGCTGTCCGGAAGTCTGCACACACAATGCTGGTGTTCGGTTGCCCAGATGCTGGTGCGTCCGCGAGAGCACAGGCCCGGAGGTGAGGCTTCGTCAGAAGGTCTCGTCGTCGTTGCAGTTGGTGGCCCAGTGCCCGAACATCTCACAGATCTCACAGTACGGGCGCTCCTCGCTCCGGCTGCCGTGGTGCGTGGAGTGCGGTGGGTCCTCGGACATTTGCGCCTGGGTGGGACAGTCCTCTGTGTCATGGAGATCGAAGCAGTCACATATGTCACAGAAGAGGCGAGGTTTCTTCTTGGACTGTTTCTCCTGGTCGTCACTGCAAAGGTTCATGGGCATGATTAGAAACTCATATTCACCAATGCCACCCCGATAGACTTAATAATGAGAAACATCGATCAGCTGCCTCCTGTACACCTCCTGTCAGAGATGTGCCTGCAACCAAGGTACATGCCCTTGACCGGAATCAAACCCGGAACCTTTCAGTCCACAGGCTGATGCTTATCCACCGAGCCAAACAGGTTAGGGCTCAGTGTGTCCTTTAGCGTCACTGTTTACTTATTTATTTTTTGTTTGTAAGATCTGTCCAGTGAAGTCAGCAGGGTGTTAAAGTCCCCTACTCTGGTTGTATTGTTATTGATCTCTCCTTAAAGACCTCCAGAAGTTTTTAAAAATATATTTTAGATGTTCCTATATTGGGTGCATATGTATATGTTTACCAAGTTTATATTTTCTTGTTGGATCAATTCCTTTAGTATTATTTATTGTCTCTTGTGATGGTCTTCATTTAAGTCTATTTTCTCAGCTTTTTTTCTTTTCCATTTGCATGGAAAAAATTTTTTCATGCCTTCCCTCTCATCCTGTGTGTGTGTCTTTTGCTCTGAGGTGGGCCTCTTGTAGACAGCATAAAGTTGGGTCATATTTTTGTTTCCATTCAGTTACTCTATTACTTTTGATTGGAGCATTTAATCCATTTATATTTAATATAATTGATAGGTACTTATTCATTGCCATTTTAATTCTGTATGCCTAGGTTTCTCTATTTCTTCTTACCATTACAGCAGTCCCTTTCACATTTCTTGTAATGCTGACTTGGTGGTAATGTACTCCCTTTAGCCTTTTTTTTAATATTATTGTCTGGGAAGCTCTTTAGTTGACCGTCTATTTTGAATATTGCTGGATATCGTAATCTTGGTTTTAGTTGCTTTCCATTACCTTGAGTACTCCCTTCTATCTAGTAGAATGTCTGATGATTAATCAGGTGTTAGTCTTATGGGAGCTCCTTTGTAGGTAACAGTTTGCTTTTCTCTTGCTGCCTTTTAAGAGTCTCTCTTTTGGCCCTAGCCGGTTTGGCTCAGTGGATAGAGAATTGCCTGCAAACTGAAAGGTCCCAGATTTTATTCCATTCAAGAGCACATGCCTGGGTTGTGGGCTTGATTCCCAGTGGGAGACTTATAGGAGGCAACCGATTCATGATTCTCTCTCATCATGGATGTTTCTATTTCTCTCTCCCTCTCTGAAATCAATAAAAATATATATTTTTAAAGTTGTTTCTTCTTCTTCTTCTTCTTCTTCTTCTTCTTCTTCTTCTTCTTCTTCAATTTTTGGCATTTTAATTATGATCTATCTGGGTGCGGGCCTGTTTAGGTTCTTCTTGCTTAAGGTTCTCCGTGTCTCCTGATCCTGTATGACTTTAACCCCTCCTACCAGTCACTATGCTATCTCCACTTTCCATCCTCAGTTATCAAGGTTCTCTCAAGCGAGTCTTCCATTGATTACTCAGGAAGTCTTTCTGTATTTTAGTTGTAATTCCAGTTTGGTGCTGGGAGCGTGTCCTTGCAGCATCTACTTACTCCACCGCCATATTTAATCTCCCATGTTATTTTTTCTCTATGTTTCTATCTCTCTCCCTTCCTCTCTCTCTAAAAATCAATAAATTTTTTTTTTAAATTTAAAGCAAATAAATGTTTACATCAAAGCCATTTATAGTGTGTATGTATCACTGTCTGCCAATCAGCCAAAGGTAGCTGTCTCTCCAACCCACTGAAGAACCAAACTCTAAAAGCACAGTTTATTTAGACGGAACTGAACAGTATTGTCTCATATGAAATACCTGTCGTAATTGTTTAGGTCATCACCATTCCCGTTAAGGGCCGCTTCTGACATCATTTCCACCTTCAGTTTGAGGTCTTGGTTCTTCCTCTGAAGGTCCACTATGACTGAATTTAGGAAGTCAATCTAAAAGAAGAAATACGTATGAAGTGTCTGAAATGTGTCCATCAAGAAGTCACAGACATAGACTCATGCTATGGCTGCGAGTGTGCTGGACGTCACAGGGGGGGCCAGTGGTGCTGTTACTGAACCTAAACCTTGTATACTGATACACAAACATACACACACAACACTTTACAAAAAGCACAATAAGAGAGTTGTCTCATGACATTGTAGAACCAATCCACAACTTATCATCTTTTGAAAACGTACAGGGACATCCTCACGCACTCACTGATGGGTTGTGATAGGATGGTAAATAAGACTTCAGAGGAAAATGGAGCAGTTTTAAAGAGAAGGCTCAAGCTCCATTTCCACCGAGGAGACCCTCAGGCATATGCTCAGGTACAGAGTGGAGCTCAGGTACCCCAATTGGAAAGAGCAACTGTGCCAGGATTCACTGGGCAGTGGAATAACGAGATGACCAGCAGGAGGAAACACCCTTGTCCTAACATTTGCTTTCAAACCAAGGGCACTTTTCTTGAAAAACAAAAAGTTTCTTTCCTCTCCTACAAATAATAAAAAGATCTCTTATTTCTAAATAGCTGATGGAAAAAAAAATCTCACTTTATAATTTAAAAAATGTGTATGAGTGTATATACATACACAAGTAATTCAATCTTTAAAGAAGTAGTTGTCCTCTTTCTCTTGCTGGGGCATGATATGAAAGAAGCTAGCAATCAGTAGCAATCAGTAGCTTTGTGGTTCTCTGCAGAACATCCCTGCCAACACTGGAGGCAGAACCCCTGAATCTATTCTCACTTCTGAAACTGCATTTTCTAAGACTTTATCATATTAGGAGCTCCATTTCGGGAAGAAGAAAACAGCACAACATGGATTTAATACAGTGGGAAAACACACACACACACACACACACGTGCTCGCAAATTAGGAAACATAGAACAAACCATTTGCTGGTTGGAAGAAAGTGTTGGCAGCAGCAGGTGAAACAAATGGAAGCAGAAAGGAAAGGGAGAGAAAGAAAAAACACTGTTAAGTGGATGCTTATTACGCATAGACACTAAGCAGACACTAAGCTAACTGGGTAAGTTAGTAGTATGCTGAATCCTTTCATGTCTCTTAAAGGAGATGTCAGACAAATCAAAACTCCCCGAGCTTTTATTTAAAAATGACAGATGGCTGTGTACCCGTGATTTGTGCGCAGGATAAAAATACCCCAAGATATATTAAAACTGAAGATGGATGCTTATTGTCTGTCCCATTATATTTCCAAATAGAGGATACGTTGTTTCCATACAATCCCACATTTAAAATGATGGTTGTTTTGTTAATTTTGGATTTAGGAGACATTTTCCGAGAACCCTATCTTTGTAAAATAGAGGTAAGCAAGGAACTTTTTGGCAAAGCAATTCTACTTCTAGAAGCAGATAGTATATCTACAAAATGACAGATGTCCAAGACAGTTTCAGCATCGTTTACAACACACTTAGAAGATCAGAAACCTCCCAAATGGCATGTCAACGGGCAGAGAACCAATTCCATTAAGTTACATCCACATAACGGAACACTATCCAGCTATAAAAGGGAAGTACAGAGGTGGAAAGGGCTGCTGACTCTCCAGGGGGAGGTGCTTGTGGAAGTCACTCTGACACACTGAGGCTGGCTCCCCTGGGCCTGCTGGAAGAGGGGGCATTGCTTAGGAGCGGGGCTAGGCTCTTCGGGGTGAGGGTCTGCTCTTGGGGACTGGCTACAGCTGTTCTAGTCTGGGCTCAGCTCTTCAGGCCTAGACTCCTCCCTTTGGGACTGGCTTTGGCTCTTTGGAGCGAGGCATCGCCTCTGGACCATCTTTGGCTATTCAGGACTAGGCTGAGGTCTCAGGGGCTAGGCTGGCTCTTTGGAACTAGGGCAGCCCTTTGGGACTAGGTTGGGCTATTAGGCCTTGGCTGGGTCTTCCAGGCTAGTCCATAAAAATCAAATTGACCCAGGCCGTGGGGAAGCCCTGGTCTCTACAAGATTGCCTTACAGGAAAGGACCCTTAAACGAGCACACTTGGCCTGGGAACCAGAGGTGAAAAGGGCTGCTGACTCAAGGGAGAGGTGCTTATGAAAATCACTCTGACACACTGAGGCTGGCCAGCTGGAAGAACAGGTATTGCTTAGGGGCTAGGCTTGGCTTTTTGGGGCAAGGTTCTGCCAAAAATGGAAGTACAGATCAGTTTATGTAATATGCCACCATGTACGTTAAAAGGGAAAGGAAAAAGACTGTATTAGTCTTGGCTTATAGTTACTTTTTTTAAATCTCTGAAAAAGACTTTTTAAAAAGATGCCAATAAGTGTGGTTACCTGACTGGAGAGCTAGGAACTGACCAAAGAGAAAGGATTGGAGGGAGATGAGTTGCTGAACATATTTTTAATATTGCTTAATGTTTAGATCATATGAATGCACTACCTGTTCAAGAGATTAAATGACTTTTTAAAATCACCAGTAAGCAAACCAAAGGAAGGAGTATTACCTGACTCTCCTGGGCTCTTTCGTCCTCTTCTGCCTGAGTATCAGTATTACCTTATATGGGGAAGAAAAAATGGAGGGGATGTTTAAAAAGCCACCATCTTTTTTCCTTGTGATTGCATTGAAAATCATTCTCTGTGGAATTCCCAGATGTGCCTCTCAGTACACGCTCACGAGTTCCTGTCCCAGGGCCGGGCCCCTGAGGGACCTGCCCCGGTGCTGGCCCCACCCCTCCGGTGTTCTCTCTTGGGTTTGGCTCACTGCTGGCAAGAATGGCCGTCACGTCCACCTGAATTCAGAGGAGCGAGGGGCCACCTCTGCACCCTCACTGTGTACCTTCAGAACCCACGGCTGTCCTGGACAGCAGCCAGCATCTGCCAAACCCACACCACCCGTGGGACCTGGGTGGTGCCGAGCCCTCTCGTTAAAGGGTGGGAGAGCCAAGGATGAGAGGGAACGTAGGGGGGCAGCCCATCTTGACCAGAAACGGCTCCTTTGCAGGGAGCAGTGGGGGGGAGGGAGCACGCCACAGTCATCATGTCACCTGAGGAGCTGCTGAGCTGCCTCTTGTTTTCTTTGAGTTGAAGCTCCAAGTTCTTCACCTTGAGCTCAAGCTTCACCTTATCAGACTCAAGAGACTGGACAACTGAATGCAAGGACTTGGCAGAGGCGTTTTCTCCCCTGAGCACCGTGACCTGTAACACAGCGGAGCAGCTTAGGCGTGGGAACAGGACGGGGTGGCGTGAACGTTCGCCCTGGCAGGTACTCTACCTCGTTCCTCAGCTTCTCCAGCTCGGCATCCTTCTCTGTGAGTAAGGCACTGGTAATGCTGATGGACTTCTGTAAGGAGGCTTTTTCTTCATCTGCGTCTTTTATTAACTGGGATTCTCTAAAAGACCAAAGAGTTAAAAATTCCAGAAATCAACCGAGTGATCAGTGTATGACTGTCCTACAAGCAGCACACAATTAACCTGAGTTAATGTAAAGAAAAAAGTGCATCACAGGGGGCTTTTAGAGGGAGAAGGCTTTTACGCTTCCAAATTTTACTTACTGTGAGGGGAGCAAAAGTTCACTATGCACAGACATGCTTGAATCTGCCTATCATTGTAGCCATTTGAATTTAAAGAAACAGTAACTTTGGAAGACTTATGATTATAAATAATAATAATAAGACTGTTGCACCCCAAAAAAATTCTTCTAAATATCGAACCCCAGCTGAATTCTATTACTTCTTGAATAAACTACTACCAAGCAATACCAACAACTAAAATACACACATGCAAAGCGATTATACAATGTCATGCAGAGCAGTTTTATGCTGGAAGTATCAATTGGTTCTCACTAATTTCAGTAACTTTTAGCAAGTTCCAGGAATGAGTTTTTGGGATCTAATAGGCCAAACAGTAGCAAATAGTACCACTATTCAGGCTGAAGGAGTCTCACTCTTCCTCCATGGAACCTGAAGAGGACATGAAATTGCTTGTGGAAATGACAGGTAATTACATAAAGGCCAGAACAGACATGTTAAAACGGAGCTCCGGGGATGGAATGCACGCTGGGAGGAGGAGACGTTGGGAGGAAGGAGGGCCAGCACTGGTTTCTGTCCTCAGCCCAGCATGACTGTGGTCAGCGGAGGTGGGGGGACCAGGACTGGGATGAAAGGGAAACGCCTGTCGTGGAGAGTGTGGGAAAAAAAAGGGAAAGATGAAGGGAAGACCAGGAAGGTGGGGGCAAGACACAATAGACACAGCCCGGAGGGGCCGGCTACTGTGTGTTTGTGTGTGCGCACATTTAGATTTTTGGGAGTCCCACGGTCATAGTCACGAGGGAGGAGGTCAGACTGAGCACAGTCACAGATTGGGAGAAACTAACTCCTTAGTGACAAGTGAATGCAGTGTGATTTGTAGGCTGGACCCGGGAGGAGAAAAAGGCTGTGTGTGGGAAAGCTGAGTAAGGTCAGCAGTCTAGCTGAGAGTGTGCGCAGTGTCACTTTGCAGGTTTTGGTCAATGTACCAGGGGATGGATGATGGACCAGGGGAGGGGGATTGGAGACACACGTGGGAGCACTTGGAACTATCCTGACAACTCTTCTGTGAATCTCTAATTTTAAAAAGTAAAAATAAATAAATAAATAAAATAATTGTATGTAGTGTGAAACAAGAGGAAAAAGACCTTGTATCACAATAATAGTTTGGAAAAAAGACAAAACTGAAGAGAATTTTTCTTAGCTAGCCCTCAGGTCACATACAACCTGGACATGTCACTCATGGAGCTAATCCTCAGTGAGAACTCATAACTTAGGCAACAAGCCAAGTTAGTCCCGGTTGGGCTGGAAGTAACGGTGTGAGCGTGGAGCATGTCATGGTTCAGTCTGTTGCAGAGCCAACAGGAAGGATCGAAAACTGAGGCCCAGGTTAGCAATGGAAGAATGTACATGTCTGGTTAGTGAGACCCAAGATATCCGGCACACGAATTACAGAATTCTCATGATTTATGGTAGATTCTACACAAAGATAAAAATACTGTGTATTTATCTCATTGTGTGGCTGACACTCATACTCCGGAATGGTAAGTAGTAAGAAAAGAATTTGAGACTTACAAACATTCCTGGAATTCAATATCCGAGCACTATCTGTACACTGAAATGGGGTGAGCAGCAATGACGCTGAAATACTGAGTGGCACCTTGCTAGGAAATAGGATCTTGCTCGGGTTAAAACAAAATAGCGATTTTAACGGAAGGAACGTACGAATCCTTCTTCCCGCTGAAAAGTAAGTATCTGATGCAATCCAAAGATTCAATAAAGCTCAAGCTCCTTAAGCCTCTAGCAAAATGACTCGTTGGCTTGCTCTATAGTAACATCTATTTCTAGAGCATCACTTGTTAGAAAACCAACTCAAATCTGAACATTATTTGAAATGTTTTTACTCGGGGGAAAGGTGAGGATTTGGGGTTACTGAACAGATGTGGATTCTTCCATCATAGGAACTCCCGTTAGCAAAGATGTCACCGATTCTTGGTGTTGGGGACCACCAGCCGGCGGGAGGAGGAAGGCAAAGCATCTTTATCTGCTCATCCTCACATCACACAGCCTCTGAGCAAGGCCGCTTCAGGAGCGGGCAAGCAGAACGCTCATTCCTTGTACAGTTATCAAAAGATGCATGGGTGAAGAAGGGACCTAACTCGTGACAAACAGCTATTAGCAGCTCACCTTTGGGGCAGGTCCTCACTGTTGGCTTCCTACACTATTTCTAAGCCCCAATCCCACTGTGTAGACGAGAGAGGCTGGGTTAAACCATTTAGCTAACATCACGGACCTCTGCGTCACAAATCACACCGGCAGACGGGGCAGGAGGGCCCGTGTTCCCCGAAGCCATGCTGACTGGCCTGACTCGGTGTTACTCAAAATGTCAAATAGGGAAGATAAGCAGAATAGGAAGGAAGGGCCAGAGGGGTCGGAAATCTTTCCTCCAAGGGAACATACTAGATAGATTCTTTCCTTACTACTTGCACAGGAAATAAGTTCTAGCAGTAAAGCGAATACCTTAAAGTGTAACTGAGCAAGCTTTAAAAATGCAAGATAACAAGAACCAAATATTAGAAACATGAAGAGAAATGCAAATCAGTCGGGAGAAGTTTGCACTGCAATTCTTTGCTTAAAAAAAAAAAAGATAATGTGTGTGTGTGTGTGTGCGTGTGTACGTATATTGCTGAGAATATCTTACAAAACAAAAGCAAGACACAGAGGAACAAAGGCAGCCAAAAAATATATATATACAACAATTTGGTTTACTATAAAAATATATGAAATTTATTTATTATAATGTGGATAGACTTTCTTTAGTCTTACCATGAAAGACACACAGATATAGCAAAGGAAGCAAGAGTGGGAAGGGAAAAGAGAGGAGTGAAGTGAGCATTGGTAAGCAGCGAAAGCTCAGAGACAGTCAGACAGTCAGCCACCCACAGTGAGCAGCACGGGACTCTGCAGAATTTGTCGAAGGAACTATCTACCAGTTTCCAACCCTGACGGCAATCTGGCATTTACACTGACAGAACTGATTCTGACTCCAACAAATCCACGTCTAGGATTTTGGCTCTCAAGTCCTCCTTTGACATGGAAAAGCCCAGAGGGAGGGAGGGAAGCCAAACAGGCTCTCTAATCTGCTTGCAGACCTCAGGGGTCAGAAGACCCACCTCGCCCCTTGGTCGGTTATGCCAAGTCAAGGTCAGCTCTGCCGTTATCTCTCAGACATCTTGGAACCTGTTTTGAAGGAGGTCTGCCTAACGCGGAAACCAGTTTTCCGAAGAAATGATTACATTTAAAAAATATTTATATATATATATATATATATATATATATATATATATATATATATATATATTTTTTTTTTTTTTTTTTTATTAATTTCAGAGAGAAAGAAACATCAATGATGAGAATCATTGATCAGCTTCCTCCTACACTTCCCACCCCTGACTAGGGATCAAGCCCACAGCCTGGGCATGTTCCCTGACTGAGAATTGAACCATGACCTCCTGGTTTATAGCTTGATGCTCATCCACTGAGCCATGCTGGCTGGGAAATGATTACATTCTTTTTTAAAAAATATTTTTTACTGATTTTTCACAGAGAGGAAGGGGAGGGATAGAGAGTTAGAAACATCGATCAGCTGCCTCCTGCACACCCCCCACTAGGGATGTGCCCGCAACCAAGGTACATGCCCTTGACAAGAATCGAACCTGGGATCTTTCAGTCCACAGGCCAACGCTCTATCCACTGAGCCAAACTGGTCTTGGCGATTACATTCTTAAGAGGAAAATCTTGACTACATATTGCTTGCAATTCAATGTTTAGATACTAATAAACTAGCAATAGAGAAGGGTGTTACTACTTTCTTTTTTAAAAATTTATCTTTATTATTGAAAGTATTACAGATGTCCCCTTTTTGTTACTAATTTCTTCATGAAAAGGAGCGTCATCCTACAGTCAGGAGTAAGTAACTGCTCTTCAATACAATGACTTCAGTGTAATGAAGGCAAGTCTATGCTTTCTTATTATGTCTATTCAACGGTCACTTCCAAATTAAACTGTTAACTAAGATCTCAATTCGTATTTCAACAACTACATCTCAAATAACTTTATGATTTAAGTACTTTCCAGACTTTTAAAGTAAGAGCAGATAAGAACAGATCAAATTCTTTTTAGTACTCCATGCTAAATTTATTTAACTAGTATGTTACACATAGACCCATATACAAATTCTTTATCAAACTGACTTTAGAAGGTGTTTAGGGGCCCAAATTATTAGCTCAAACATATACTTGCTTTCAGATTTCTGGGTTAAGGGAAGACAGCTTGGTCACCACGCTCACGCATGGTCACCTGGAGAATGCTGGGCCAGGGGCGTGGCAGTGCCGAAACACATGCATTCTGGTGTGAGACTTTAACAAAGAATTAATCTAATTAGAGAGGGAAAGGAGGGACGGCACCCCTGGACCAAGGCCTAATATCCTTTGGGCTGTAGCTTTTGGAACCCAGATATCTTGTGGGCGAAGTGCAGTCCTCAGTTTCTCAGCGGGCAGGAGGGGCACTGCGGTGTAAGTGACACACGTGTGCAGCTGCCTGGCGGGGGAGCCCCTCGGCCCTGACAAGTGGGAGAATGCTGTGCAAGAATGCTTGTTTTTCTACTTTATTTCTAAATTTCTCTAGACACAAACTGCACATTTTAAAAGAGCAGACAGACTGTCAGGATGTATAAAAGCACTAAGCTTCTAAATGACTGTGTTTGTGGGCCTGTGTATCCTTATTCAAAAGGACTGGAAGGCTTTCACTTAATACTATTTAATTATCATGAAAAAAATGATAAAGCTCTTTTTTCTGAAAATAAACATTTACAATTATGTTACCAGTTATCAGTGAAAAATTAAAAATTTTATATCATGGAAATCAGTGTTTATAGGCAGATCAATCACTCCTTGCAAAATGATAGCATTTTTAGTTACTGAAACTAGGAGGGAACAGCAGTATCACATGAGACAATGTGCTTTTAGAGCACTTCCAAATAAATGCAACGGAACGTGACTTAAAATGCAGCTGTTCTCTGTTTTAGCAATGAAGACCGAGACTTCGGCAAGTGAGTTTTCATCTTTTGTCAATGGTGAGTACTGAGCTATCACGATGCAATTTTCTGAATGAGAAGGTCGCACACTTTCTGTAGGTCACCGTACACATCAACTTCTAACATTTTCCTTATTAAACTCGCACACTCACACACATGCCATCGATAGACAGAAAAAGAAGACTTACCTCTTTTTCATTTCTAACAACTGATTATTGAGCACAGATCTCTCCTCTTCCACCTGGAAAAAAGCATGTACATGGAAGGTCAGTTCCCAGCGAGCCCGCAGAGAGGCGGAGTTCTCAAGCCCCAGGTTACATTCCCAGGCCCAGGGCAGTGAGAGCAGTTGGCACCATATCACAGGATGTACAGCTATTTGTTTACAAACGATGTCTGACATGACTGACCCCCTTTCCTCACAGACTTGAGAATTGAAACTATTAATCAACAGCTGGTTTTGCTCGGTGGTTAGAATGTCGGCCGCCCACAGACCAAGGGTTCGAGGGTTCGATTCCTGGTCAAGGGCACATACTGGGTTACAGGATCCCTGCCTGGGTTGGAGCGCATGCGACAGGCAAAGATTGAGTGTCTCTCTCTCATCAATGTTTCTCTCTCCTTCCCTCCCTCTTTCCCTTCCACTCACTCAAAGAAAATTGATGAAAAAAAAATATCCTCGGGTGAGGATTAACAAAACAAAAGTATTAAACAACATCTGAACAGTAAAGGGGCATACACCTTAGACATTCAATAAATGTTAACAGATGAGAGAAAACGTCATTATGAACATTCTGGTTCCTTTCCTGAAGCAACAGAGGTTGAATATCACCAACTCAGGGAGGGTTAGGAACAGGGCATTTATTATGTGGGCCTAGTTTTATGCTTGCTCTATCTCAAGCCTTTGCATCTCACCTATAAAATACAAAGGTTTCCAAAGAGTCAAGTCATAAAAAAGGAAGAAAGACAGGGGGAACCCTTTGTTGTAAAGAAGAGTGAACATCCCGGCCAGTGTTGCTCAGTGGTTGAGCATTGACCCATGAATCAGGTTAGGGTTCCATTCCTGGTCAGGGAATGGTTTTCGAGCTCAATGGGTTTAAGCTCAATCCCCAGTAGGAGGTATGCAGGAAGTAGCCAGTCAATGATTCTCTCTCATCATTGATATTTCTAGCTCTCTTTCTCCCTTCCTCTCTGAAATCAATAAAAATTCATTTAAAAATTATATTTTACAAAAAAAGAGAGACAGAGATTCCGTGGTCCAGCTTCACTCAGCCCCACTTGCCCCGAAGTCCCTGAACCCAAATGAAAATTGTGATGGTTGATGAGCACCATTTCTCCAAAATAAAACATGACAAGCTGAAAATAGCATCCCTTCCCAAGCACTCATGTTTGGTAATTCATGTTATTTAAGAGGCAGGCAATCACTAATGCATCAACTTATTTACCTATTTTTAATTTCTTACTTATTAATTTTAGAGGGAGAGAGGGGAGGGGAGGGAGGAAGGAAAGGGAAGAGGGAGATAGAAACATCAATCTTATTGATGCATTCATTGGTTGATTCTTGTATGTGCCCTGACTGAGGTTTGAACCTGCAACCTCAGCATATTGGGATGACGCTCTAACCAACTAAGCTGCCTGGCTAGAGCCCATTCATGACTCAAGTTTAGATGATAACCCTGTGTAATGTTTTTTTTATGTACCACGTGGATGAAATACTGGTATTGAGTCTCTAATCCTATCAAATAGTCACAGGCAAACTGTAACCTCATTCTGCAAATAACTGAGGAGATCAGCACGGTTCCCATGGTGACAGCCGAGTGCATCTGCAATCCTTACAAAGGAGAAGGTGTATGAGGGTTGGAAATGATAAATCAGACATTTCAGAAGTGACTGCCTAAGATGACTATTGGGACAGAACTCACAGTAAGATGGTTATTTTTAGTATTCCCCATGAAAAGAAAGAATGCTCTGAAATCTCTCCATTCCTCCTGAAACTACGTTAGCCGCCGGAATCCACAACATGTGCCTTCACTGTCCACACATAGCAAGATCAGGCTGGGAGGGAGGTGGGAGGTGGGAGACAGAGGCAGAAAACAGAACACTCTTTTTTAAAGTTTGAAAAGAAGGAAGAATTGGAGTTGTGTGAAAACGCACAGCAAGATTTAGAACTGCTTTTAAGGAAAAAAGAGATTTCTCAATCCACGGGGGATCTTAATGGAAAACTAGTGGTAGCCAACTATAGGCAGAATGCAGACATCAGGAGGACAGGTGACAAGCTGAATGGAGAAAGAAGACATAAAACACCTGAAGCAAATGGACAGATAAAATGAGGTACGTCCACCCAATAAGACTATGGAGCCATGAAAAGGGACAAAGCACTGACACCTGCTATACCCTGCATGAACCTTGAAAAGCACGATGCTGAGAAACCAGACACAAACAGACACATGCTGTATGATGACATTTATAGGAAACAACAAGAATAATAAGCCCCGGCCGATTTTGCTCAGTGGTTAGGGAGTCGGCCCTCAGACGGAAGGGCCTGGTCAAGGCCACATACTTTGGTTGCAGGTTCCCCAGGCCCGGTCAGGGCATAAGTGGCAGGCAACCAACTGATGTTTCTCTCTCTCTCCTCTTCTCTCCCCCTTCCATTAGATCTAGAAATCAATGGAAAAAAATCCTTGGGTGAGGATTAAAAATCATCATCATTTCCGGCATCATTAAATCCATAGAGAAAAAAATTCACCAAGTGGGGAGGGAGAAGAGATTGGTGTTGCCAGGGGCTGGAAGAGGAATGGGGAGTGACTGCTTAAATGGGGGCAGGGTCTCCTTCTGAGGTGATATAGCTGTCCTGGACCAGCACAACACTGTGAATGGGCTACGTGCCCCTGAAGTGCACACTATAGAACGGTTACAGCAGTAAATTTACCTCCTTTGCAAGAGACCTCACTTTTGAGCCTCCGCTTCCTCGACTACAAAGTAACCCACTGTTGCAGAGGTGTGCTGTGACGATTCTGTGAAACGTGCATAGTCCGCTCACGTGATGTGCAGGGAGTTTTGGGGCCGCTAAGTAAGGGAGCCAGGACAATCCAGATCCTACCCAATGTCAGTCTAGTCTTCACTGTATTAATTTTTAAAATGAAACATTAAATATTTTTATTAGTGCTACAATGAAAAGTTTTTTCTTTTCTTTTAAATAGGTTTTCTGCCAAACTCTGGCTTTGTAGTATATTTCTGAACATAGTTGATCAATAGTTTGGAAATGTAAGAGTGAAAATTTGTAGCTTCACATATGTAAAAGTGCTCTGGGTTCCCAGAAGTCATACAATCAGAGCAATAAGCCAGCCAATGCACCAGCCTTCTTTAGACTAAGTTTTCTTTGAAGGTATTTTAAAAATAGGTATTTGGACACTCTTCTGAAATATGTATACACACACACACACACACACACACGTCTCTATGTAATAAACTGTAGATCTATATCAAGGGAAGAGTATCTGTACTCCTTCTTGGTAATCAATGTTGTTAACAACCTTGAGCATGGAAACCTATGATGCTTTATTCACCCCCCTGGTTTCTGCTTAGGAAAACCTAAAAAACGGCAAAGGACATAGCAACCTCCGTCCTCCCAGGGAAGTCATTTTCTTAGCTATTCCTTTGCAGGTACTATTTTCTAACACCCTTTAATGTCACTGACTTTCAAATGTTTAGTCATAATACCTTTTCTTTTCTTTTAAAAAAATATATATATTATTGACTTTTTACAGAGAGGAAGGGAGAGGAATAGAGAGTTAGAAACATCGATGAGAGAGAAACATCGATCAGCTGCCTCCTGCACACCCCCAACTGGGGATGTGCCCGCAACCAAGGTACATGTCCTTTACCGGAATCGAACCTGGGACCCTTCAGTCCGCAGGCTGATGCTCTATCCACTGAGCCAAATCTTTTTCAAAATGAAGGCAGTTCAGGCCCAAACATGTGGAAGAGGAAGAGCTGGGAGGTGGAGATGAGCCCTGAAAACCTCCCCAGGCACCATGGCAGCCCCTACAGAGCCCTCTCTGGGTCTGGGTGACAGAAACAGAAATGTAATCAATGGTCCAGTTAAGGTCAGGACAAGAGATGAGAGGATGACCTCTGGGTGTTACTTCCACTTACAGAAGCCGTTTATCCCCCACGCCCACCCCCAGACAAGTTCAACAGAACAAGATGAAGGAGATGGGAACAGACGCAGCACTGAGCTGAGGGCCTTCCCTGGCCAATCTGCACAGACACACCGACCTCTGAGCTACCCAGAGCTTCTGACGCTGGGGCTGCAGAGGGAAGAAAACCTCTCCTGGGTTTCTACTTCTATGAACTCCAGCTGCTCGTGCACTGACTGAAGGAGCACGCACCACTCTATGTAAGGCAGCCCGCTCCGACCCTGGCCTGGCCCAATTCAGAAGACGACAGTTGGCCTGATACCATTAGCTGAACAAGGCTGAGCAAGTTACCATCTTCCCTGGGTTCCTGTTTCTCCTTTTACGAATGGGTTCATGACGATGCCTCCTAGAATCACTGTGCAGATGAGATGACAGCTGTCATTTATTTGTGCCTGTCACATGGTAGGACTCAACAGAGGAGAGACACCATCGCCAACAGCACCGTGGTCCTCCCAGAGGCTGGAGAGATGCGGCATCCCTTTTGTGGAAAGCTATCATGGAGACTTTAAAAGTCTGAGCTCCTCTCTCCAAAAAGTGCTTTTGACACAGACTGCACCATGTCTCCGGACACACTACACACTTACCCCAAACTACTCCACCCCGTGAGAATGAATGTTTGAAAAGCATGCTGGGAAAAATGTCCCCCTTGACGGGCAGAGCCAGAATTACTACACAGTGACGTTCCCTCCACGAGGCCACTTTGAGCTTCAGCTCTGGCGTGAGGTGTGGCTAACCACCGAGCACTTGGATCTGGCTGCTAGGGAATAAAGAGCAGAAGATGATGTTCTTTAAAGTCGGGTTGGTTTCAGTGTCTAATAAACTTGCCAGAAACTGTGGGCTTTAAACACAGGAGCAAATGGGCTGTGGCTAGAGTTCATTCTGGATGTAACACACACCCTGCACACCATGCACGGGAGTGCACACGTACACGTGGTTCCAGTAGGAAATGTCTGTTCAATGTCTTAGAATTTAAAGTGAAGCAGAGTTCTATTTAGAAACATCTGCCAAGCCTCACGCCAAAACCGTATTCTTGGAATCTGTTCCCTTAAACCAATTTTGATCAAAGAAAAAACAAAATCTTAGAGAAAACCATTTTAAAAGTGCAGTAGGAAGAAGATACCATCCTGTCCGTGTAAATGCACTGCTGTAAGATCAGCTAATAATGATCTTAATTTATAGTTGCTGGCAAGTTCCCAGTGGTGGTGTGTTGTGTTTAAGGACCTGTCAGTGACTCCGACCCTAAACCCCACAGCACAGCACACTTGGAAACGAGGAGACACGGAACACAGGCAGCGTGACATCCCGGCGGGAAGGACCCAGCCACATGGAGCGCCTCTGGGGTTGCCTCTAAGCAGCGCGCTGCCGGTGGCAGCAGCAGGCGGCGGCGTGGCCGAGGCAGGGACGCCCACCCGAGGCCCACTGACCTTCTGGTGACTCGTGACTTCGTCCCTGCTTCTCCCCAGCTCCTCGGCAAGTTTCACGTTCTCCGCTTTCAGTGCTGAAAGCTGCTGGGACTTCTGAGCGGCTGCCTGCTTCAGGGCTTCTCTGCAAGGACAGTGGGTGCAGGGTTACCATAGAAACAAGACAGGCACGGAAACTGTGGGAGCCGACCAGCTTCACAGCACCGAGGAAAATGTATCTGGGTCACGTGCCCGATAGGATCTATAATAACAGGAGGCAGCGTTATCTTCACGCAGGAGGGGCTAAATGGCTCTGACCTCTCAGGGGAGGACTGCCACCCTCGGGTATTATATTTTTTTATAAAACCTAATAAAATCTATATCCAGCCTTTCACCACCCACATTCACCTTACTTCTAAACACTCCCCGCACAAAACACAATGTCACTATCAAATAAATGACAAGTGGTCAGTTCCCCTCTTGTCTTCAGGACTATATCCATTAGAAAGTCACACTAAAGCCTACTTATGTTGACAAAGGGATTTATTCTGCCGCCAAGGTACTCTGTCCTAACTGCATTAAGTCTGTAATCATTTTTTTTATTGTTGGTGTTTTTTTTTTGTGTTTTTTTTTTGCTGGCAGAAATAAAAATCTAATGGTCTCATTTGTCCGTTTCTGTCAGAATCAAGTGCTGGCCTGAATCTCAGTATATTTTTTTGGCCAACTTGAGGTGTAACCCCAAAGGAAATGTAGTTTTCTAGTTACATAGCAGGTGTTTTTATTTGGACTATATTCTTTCCGTAATGCTAATCTGTAATCAAAGGAAATAAATTTTAAAAAATAGCCTGCTAACCTATCTTGTGAATATCAGCAAATAAAACATGAGTAGGGCCTGACTCATTGGTTGAGCATCGACCTATGAACCAGCAAGTCAGGGTTCGATTCCCGGTCAGGGCACATGGCCAGTTGCAAGCTCAATCCCCAGTAGGGGGCTTGCAGGAGGGAGTTGATCAATGATTCTCTCTCATCATTAATGTTTCTGTCTCTCTTTCCCTTTCCCTTCCTCTTTGAAATCAGTAAAAATCTATTTTAAAAAAACAACAACAACAAGAAAAAACTTGAGCTGGCTTAGTCTATTTACTAAGCATCTTTCCAAGATTAAAATTAATCCAAAATATATCTCGCAAGTTGTTAACCTCCATACATGGACATTCCAAATATTTTATTTGCTCACTACATTGTAGTTTTATGCCATCACAGGTTTTGATACAATTATGCATCTTGAGTCTGTGCTTGGCTACCCTCCCTTTAGCAAGCTGCCATACACGGCTGAATTCTGAGTCCAGTCATCTGGGTATGAATCCATCTGCTGACGCATGAACACATCTATTTTTAACTTCAATTGTCTAATGGGCGGCGGTGCTTGGCATCTCCGTTTTCTAAATTTTTAGTTCTCCATCCACCTATAACATGCATGCTGGGCCTTGTGAAGATTTAAGATAATAAATCTGCAAAGCAATTCTCTTATTAGCACATTAAATTTGGTATTTTATGGAGATATTTATTTAGCAAGTGAAGAAAAACTGAGACAGAGGAAATTTTAGCCTCAGATAATTAGTCATTCAAAACCTGGAAGGCTTGCCCTAGCCGATTTTGCTCAGTGGATAGTGTCGGCCTGTGGACTGAAGGAGTCCTGGGTTCGATTCTAGTCAAGGAGGGCACATGCCTGGGGTTGAGGGCTCAATCCCCAGTAGGGGGCGTGTAAGTGGCAGCCAATCAATGATTCTTTCTCATCGTTGATGTTTCTATCTCTCTCTCTCCCTTACTCTCCAAAATTAAAATATATTAAGAAACGAACATACATCAAAACCTGGGAGGCTTGATGTTAGCCATGGATTAAAACATACGCGCACATAGGACAGCTGAAGTCCATCTTCTAATGAATCCCTGGCCAAATAGAAGGTTTTACTCATGATGAAATCATCATAAGCCAGCCTTTCACTTCCAGGTGAGCACTGCCCTCCTCAGGGGATGTTTGGCCTGGGAGAGATATTTGTGATCCTATTCTTTCTCTAGGAAAGATCTCCATCTTTTAAAGGTTTTTCAATCCTTGGTGTCTTTTAGGAGCCCAGAGGAAGGAAAATTTTAAAAAGGGTCTAAGCCGAGACCGGTTTGGCTCAGTAGTAAAGCGTCGGCCTGCGGGCTGAAGGGTCCCGGGTTGATTCCGGGCAAGGGCATGTACCTTGGTTGCAGGCACATCCCGGGTAGAGGTTGTGCAAGAGGCAGCTGATCGATGGTTCTCTCTCATCGATGTTTCTAACTCTCTATTCCTCTCTCTCTTCCTCTCTGTAAAAAAATCAATAAAATATATTTTTAAAAAATAAAATAAAAATAAAAAATAAAATCAACAAAAATACTTTTTTCATACATTTTCTCATTGAATCCTCAAACCCTTAAGGAGACTCATGGTATTCTTTGTATTTTAAAGATGAGAAAACAGAGGCTCAGAAAACTGAAAAGATTTGCCCCAAATCGTAAAGGCAGCAGTAAGTTGTAGAATTGAGAAAACTGGACTTAAAACTGGTGGCTTGGCCAGCATAGATCAGTGGTTGAGCATCAACCTATGAACCAGTAAGTCATGCTTCGATTCCTGGTCAGGGCACATTCCTGGGTTGCGGATTCAATCCCCAGTTGGGGATGTGCAGGAGGCAGCCGATCAATGATTCTCTCTCATCACTTATGCTTCTCTCTCTCTCTCTCTCTCCTCTTCCCTTCCTCTCTGAAATAAATAACATATATATACATATATATTTTTAAAACTGGTGACATGGACCTGATTTGAAAATAGAAACACCTTTCTTCTTTTGAGCGCAGTGAGTACATGCACTTCATAGAGGCGGGCCAGGAAAAAGTTAAGAATCAAAGCAGCCTAGCCCTGGCCTAATGGCTCAGTTGGTTAGAGCAACACCAAAAGGTTTCGGGTCTGATTCCTGCATTGCAGGTTCCAGCCCCAGCTGGGGCACTTGTGGGAGGCAACCAATCGATGTTTTGTTTTTCTCTCTCCCTTCCTCTTTAAAAAGATCAATGAAAACTTACTGTTGGTTGAGGATTAAAAAAAAAAAAAAAAAAAAAAAGGCAACCTAGGCTCTGTCCGCCTTGTGGCCTGGCCCCTTGCCTGGACCATGGCCGTCAGGGATCAGGGGAGTGTGGCTCCAGGAAGGAAGATGGGCAGAGGTTAGAGGGGCAGCAGCACCATCTTCTGCTCCTGGTCCTCTGCTTCCACAGGCACGAGGCTAAGCTTGCAGTGCTTGAGGGGCTCATTCAAGGAAGGGGGTGCAAAAACAATTTACCTCTTACGAGAGGTGAAACCACCCCACACTGCGGGGGATGGGGCAGGACAGAATGATTGAGCGAGGACCTTGACCCCAACCAGCGGAGTGGCCGTGACCAGATTCAAAGTCGTCTAGCTGGGAGGAGGGATCATATTGGACTCCCAAGCTCTCTTGGCGAGGCCAAACTCTGACTCTGCCCTCCGTTTCCTAGGACGGCCCAGAGAGCTCAGAGGTGGATGCTGACAGTGGGGAGCTGGGTTGGGGTTCGGGCCACCAGCCAGCACACATTTCATTTTGATCTTTACCACACCTGTGTTTCTGACTTACGACAGTGTGCTATAGGGGCTACTTCTCAGGTGCAATAACACCTAGAGAGCAGGAGGTTGACTATTTTTACTACATGTATTTGTCAAGTTGTTTTTTTTTAAAAAAAATAATTAGCATTGTTTTTTCACGTTTGTGATTTTAGTAAGTTCCACAACATCTCTCACAGGAGATAAACTTACATTTCTTTCCTGAATTCTTCCATTTTCTGATTCTCAACAGTCAGAAGTTCTTTCGACTTGTTCAGCTCTTCCACATTTTTCAAGTTGTTTTCTTTAAGTGTATCCAACTTAAAGACCAAGAGAAAAAAAGCTCGGTGAAATTAGCTCCTTTTCCAACGACATGACTGAATAACGACAAATTATTCACAAAAATGGGCATTAAAAAAATAGCGAACTCAGTCACTTACAAAAAAAAAATCACTCTGGTGAAGAGATTGCATATGACCAAGTGTTATAAACTGTAAAACCCCCTCTTTATACCTAGTTTGATTCCTGTACATCTGGCCAAAATGTCAGACTAAACTGCTTCAAAAGTAAAACAAAAGTTTCATAAATACATTGTGTACAATTCCCGACATTTATCATTGAACTTGCTATTCAAGAATGAACCATCCTTAGAAAGAAAAAAAGAAAGAAAGAAGGAAAGAAGGAAAGGAAAGGAAAGGAAAGGAAAAGGAAAGGAAAGGAAAGGAAAGGAAAGGAAAGGAAAGGAAAGGAAAGGAAAGGAAAGGAAAGGAAAGGAAAGGAAAAGGAAAGGAAAGGAAAGGAAGAAATTGCAAAGGCTTGACCTCAGTAAGTGTTCTTTGTAATGAAAACAAACCTCTTTCCTTAAGATTAGTGATGTAGGCTATGATATTTTTCAACACCAATTTTACATAATCCTAATTTAAAAGTTACTTAAAACATGTGTAGACGGGGGATGAAAGAGTTATCCACTGGAACAAAGCCATGTAGTGATACCGAAAGGCCCTCATACTCCCTCAGCCCGCCACCCACCCGCAGGGGACCCAGCGGGAATAGGGCCTGTCTGGCCCCTGGCGGGAATCCAGACGTGGGACAGGGATAAGGGGAGATGTAACCAGCCACAGGCTCTGGCAGGGGCTGCAGTTCTAGGTGGGGAGCCCTCTAGGGGATCACCCATCACACAGGGTGAGCTCCGGGCGCCGGCTGGCTTTCTGGGATTTGTACACTTATCTCCCGTGGCCAGAGAGACTTTTGCTATTATGCCACATGTCACACTGGTCAGGAGTCCTAGAAAGGGTCTTGCTAATTTTTACATACCACCTTCCTGTTCATGCCCTCACAGAACAAGAAAAACCAAATGTCAGAAAATGAGTTGAACAGCCTTGTATTCTGGTTGCTACCAAGACACCTGGGCATAGGCTATTGAGGCACCTGATTCCAGCCTCAGAGGTGAGGGCCAGTAACTAAAACTCATTTACTTTAGCTTTTAATGTTGATGATCATCTATGATATTTTAAATGTTATTATATTTTTAGCTTAAAGTCTTCTCTGAAGACTGTCAATTCTATAAATATACTCCCTACTGTGTTGTTTTATTGACCCTATAATTACCTCAAAATGCTCATGTCTTTCAGATTCACATCCTGGATCTTCCATAATGAGAAAGTCTAGTCTTTATTGTGCTTTACTTAATGCCTTATCTGCTTGTTACATTTAAAACCACCCAAAGGCCCTAGCTGGTTTGGCTCAGTGCATAGAGCATCAGCCTGTGGACTGGAGAGTCCTGGGTTCGATTCCAGTCAAGGGCATATGTCTGGGTTGCAGGCTCGATCCCCAGTAGGGGATATGCAGGAGGCAGCCAGTCAATGCTTCTCTCTCACCATTGATGTTTCTAACTCTCTCTTCCTCTCTGAAATCAATAAAAATATATTTTAAAATATAATAAAAAAATAAAAGCACCCAAAATTCTACAGAACTTTATGTAAACTATGCCGGCGAATCACCCTGTTTAGGATTTAGGTAACATCTTTCCAAAGACAGAAAGAATTGATATGAGTTGGGAGGGTGGAGGAAGAAAATCAGAGGAGGGTATAAGAATGAGAATGCTACTTTTGGACAGAATCGAAATGATCTCGACACCACAAATGCATCCAAGACCCAGAAGTGACTAATTCGAGATGATACAGTTGGGAACCAGTACTAAATTAGGCCAAGAAAAGGCCTATGTCAAACTCAAAACTGAGGAATGAAATTTAGTGGCTCAAAGTTGGGAGAAAGTTGGAAAAAAAAAAAAAGTGTATGTGATCTAAGAGAAAAGATACAAAAACTGAGCATGTTATCAGTGCCTCCTCTCAGTGGTTCTATCAAACAATTACCATAGAAAGCCACGCTGCCGAGACCGGTTTGGCTCAATGGATAGAGTGTCGGCTTGGGGACTGAAGGGTCCCGGGTTCGATTCCGGTCAAGGGCATGTATCTTGGTTGTGGGCATGTCCCCAGTAGGGGGTGTGCAAGAGGCAGCTGATCGATGACTCTCTCTCATCGATGTTTCTGGCCCTCTATCTCTCTCTCTTCCTCTCTGTATAAAATCAATAAAATATATTAAAAAAAAAAAAAAAAAGAAAGCCACGCTGTTAGAGTTTCCCCCTTATTTTTAAAAGGTGGATCCTACTAGGTAAGCAATGAAGTAATACACTTTATTTAATATTATCATGGTTCTGGTGTACATTCGACTCCACTAACGAAGATCAAACCTCAATTGAATGAAGCCACAATTTAAAAAAAAAAAAATCCTGAGTTAGTGATCAAACATCCCATGAAGTCGATAAGCTGTCCTTTGTACAAAAAGCCATTTAAATCTGATTACTTCATTCTGCAGTTTTTCATTGGTTTGCTTGGTATCCTCCAAGGAGGCCAGAGTTTCCGTCTTCTCTTTGGTCATCTGTTCCATGATCTGCATGGCGTCTTCTGCTGTTTGAGCAGCCTAAATACAAGAAAGCACTGTGAGTACGGGGCCACACAGGGACTGGCCAGCCTGAGGTCAGCCCACGCTGACCTAGACATGAGAGGCTTTGCTCCCTTCCCAGGTCCCTCTGAGCCTGCGCCTTCCGAGCGACACTGACAGTCACACTCGCCATCCTGGCTTAGGCTTGAGAGAAACGTGCAGTGACGATCAAGAGCGATACCCTTACATGGCTGCATTTTTCTCTTAATCACATGTACCCATTCAAAGCTTAAAATACTATCCTTGCTAGTTCAAACTGGGGGGCTTTGGAAACCACTCAGAATTGAGGTGGAGAATTTTTCAAATAAAAATAAAAATTATTTGCATAATTAGAATGTAGGGTCGCCGAAACCGGTTTGGCTCAGCATCGGCCTGCAGACTGAAAGGTCCCGGGTTCGATTCTGGTCAAGGGCACGTACCTTGGTTGCGGGCACATCCCCAGTGGGGGGTGTGCAAGAGGCAGCTGGTCGATGTTTCTCTCTCATCGATGTTTCTAACTCTCTATCCCTCTCAATTTCTGTGTAAAATCAATAAAATATATTAAAAAAGAATGTAAGGGTCAAGTGCTTAAGAAGCAGCACTGAACGGGAACGTCTAGAAAAAGTGGTGGGTAAATAATATAAATATGGCTGTGAATAAAAAAGATAAGATGAATAGGGAAATAAACCCTTAGGTGGCAATCTGTTTTAAAAAAAAATCATAAAATAAATGAAAACTTTTTTAGGCAGTTGCTTGCAACTATAAGTGGTCCAATGACACGTAGGGGAATTCAGTGTTACCAGCCATGGAGGTTCCACTGGAGCCTTCCAACTCCAAATGGATGGTCACAATGAAACAGTAAAAAGCCAAACATAAGATATTATTTATTTCAATATGTGATTGGTTTTGGCCAGCTGGCTGCTCTCTTTCTGGAGGATGAAGTAGCTTTCGGCCAGCGTCTCCTTCTCCTTTCGTCCCGCTTCACCATATTTGAGCCCAACTGATGTGGCTCAGTGGGTGAGCATTGACCTATGAACCAGTCACTCGTGGCTGGGCTCCCTGTCAGGGCACATGCCTGGGTTGTGGGCTCGATCCCCAGTGTGAGGTACGCAGGAGGCAGCAAATCAATGATTCTCTCTCATCATTGATATTTCTCTCTCTCCTTTCCCTTCTTCTCTGAAATCAATAAGAACTTATTTTTTTAAAAAGGAAACCCATTTGACTTTTTCATGAAAATTTTCCCCTCAAGTTAAAAAAAAATCTATCTTTGATATTCACAGTTTACAATGATTTCTAACGGAGAGAGACTACTGCAATTAGACATTTAGTTAAAAAAAAAAAAAAAAAGGGGGGGGGGGCCCTTTCGGTGGCAACAAATAGATGGAGACATACAAACACTGGAGGAAACGGGGTGGGCTGCCCTGCAGGGAAGCGGACACAAACGCCCGGCCTCTAAGGAGTTAGTGCGGTGTTAGTAGTCCAGGCTCTCGCCTGGGACCTCCCCGTGGTACCGTGAACGAGTGAAGAGTCTCGAGCTCTCTAATTTTAAGGGTGAGCTTGCTCTTGTCCTTCCTCAAGACACGGTTTTCGCTCTGCGATTCCCGGAGGCTGGCGGAAAGGCGGCTGTTGGCCTGGGCCAGCTGGCTGCTCTCCTCCTGGAGGCGGGAGTGGCTCTCGGCCAGTGTCTCCCTCTCCTTCAGGAGCTCGTCCCGCCTCAGCGCCGCTTCCCTCTTCTCGGCCAGCAGGCTGCTGTTGTCCTGCAGCGCCTGCGCCCGATCGGCCAGGGCCGCATCGTGGCTCAGCCGCAGGTCGTCCAGGATCTTGCTGAGGCAGCTGTGCAGCTCCTGCAGCTCCAGCTTGGACTTGGACAAGGAGGCGAAGTCGCTCCGCAGTGTCTCGATGTTGGTGGCGAGCCGCGCCGTCTCTGCAGTCAGCAGCTCCTTTTCCTTTAGGATCTCCGCCACCTTCTGCTCGGAGGTGCTCTTCTCTTGGACGAGCCCTTCGTTTTCGGCCAGGAGCTCCTTGGTGGATGCTCTCAGCTCTTCCAGCTCCTGCTCCAGGCGCGCTGCCCTCCCAAGGAGCTTGCTGTTCTCGTAGGAGGCTGACTCGCTGTCCTTGGCCCGGGCCTCCTGCTCCAGGAGCAAGGACTGCTGCACCGCGCACGCCTCCTCCTTCAGCTTCCGGCACTCCTCCTGCAGGCTCAGCCTGTCCCTCAGCAGGAGGTCCTTCTCGGAGCAGCGCGTTCCCAGCTCAGCATTCAGGCTCTCCTTGGCCTGCTGGACGCAGGCGAGCTCTTTTTCCAGGTGCTCTTTGGCGCTCTGGGCCTCTTTCAGCATCACCAAGAGCTCGCACTTGGCGGCGGCCAGTTCTTGGTTTTCCTTCTTTCTCTCCTGGAGCTCTTTCCTCAGAGCATCGAGGCTACCCAGGAGCTTCATCTTCTCTTGCGTGACGAGCCTCCGGTTTGCAGACTCTTGCTCGTACTTCCTTTTAAGCTCTCCTATGCTGTTGATGGAATTCTCTCTTTCTGCAAGTAAATCTCCATTCTGCGTTTCCAGCACAGACTTTTCCTTCAGGAGGCTGTCCAGCTGCTTTTTGATCTTAGACGCTTTCTGACAAACCATCTCCTTCTCTGAAGTCAGGTACGCGATCTTCTCGTTCAGGCTCGCCTCGACTCGGACGGCCTCCCCTGAGCACTGGCCGAGTTTCTCAGCGACGAGCCTGTTTTCGTGCAGGAGTTCTTCGTTCTCGGCCAGGAGCCTCCTCTCGGACACGGCCAGGATCTCCTTCTCGTGCAGGAGCTGGATGCACTCGGAGTCCGTGATCTCCCGGCTGGTCTTGATCTCCTCCAGGAGCTTTGTGAGGCTGGTGTTTGTGGCCTGAAGCTGCATGGTCTCCAGCTCGGCCTTCCTCAGCCCTTTGCTGGCGGCGTCCAGCTGCGCCCGGAGCCCGCTGGCTTCGGCGCTGAGCAGCTGCTTGACCTGGAGCGCGGCAGCCAGGCTGGCGCTCAGCTCGTCCTGGGCCTGAAGCAGCGCGCTCTTCTCCAGCTGCAGGTCCCGGCTGCCCTGCAGGAGCTCGTCCATTTCCACCTTCAGGGCGACGCATATGCTTTCAAGGCCCGACTGCTTCTCTAATGCCGACTTTTTCTCCGCCGTGAGATCTGCCATCTCCTGCACCAAGGCCTTCTGGTCTCTGACCAGCTCCTCGTAAGAGCTCTGCAGCTTCTGAATGATCTCATCTTTATCTTTGGCCACAGCAAGGTTCTCGCTCACGAGCTTCTTGACGCGGTTCTCCAGGTGGTCTCTTTCTTCCCGGTCCTTCTGGCACTCGGCCGTCAGACTCTCTTTGCTGAACTGGAGCTCCTCCACGAGAGCCTGCAAGGTGGCTCTGGCGGCCTGCAGAGAGTCGTTTTCCGTGCGCATCTTCGAGAGCTCTGCCTGCGCGGCACTGACTTCTCCAAGCAGCTTCTCTCTCTCGACAGCCAGAGCGTCACTCTGGAGCAGCTCCTGCTGATGCAGCTTTTCTTCTAAGAGTTTCTCCTTTTCTAAGGTAAGGGCTTCGTTTATCGACCACAGCTTCCGCTGGTCTTCCTGGAGGAACGTCACTCTGGCCTCTGCCTCTAAAAGCGTGGACAAGAGCGCGCCTTTCTCTGACTTTAAAGCACTGCCCTCCTGCGCCAGAAGCTGCTTCTCTGACCTCAGACCCCTCAGCTCTTCTGACATTAGCTCAGTTTCTCTTTGGGCTGATGTTAACAAACAAGTTAGCGACTACAGGAACAAAAGGTGGGAAGAATGGAAATAAGGTGAAATCAAGCAGACACATGCAAGCCCAGATAACTTAACCTGTTAACCGAGCGGGACCTATAAATACATCAAACATAAACACTATCGGGAACGGGTAGGACATATGAATACGTCCTTGAAATATATGTTGCACCCTGAGAGGGACGGTATATATTTTTTGTAATCTTTATAATTGTTTGTAAAATTTATAATTTTTTAATTCGATGTTTCCATTTTTTTGTTGGTATTCTTTTCTATTTGTTTGTAATTTTGTATTTTCCTTTGTGTTTTATATATAAATAAATGAAAAAAATATATTTCATTTATTTTAACTAAGTATAAATTTAAAAAATAATAATATAAAATTACGTCTGCTGGGCGTGACATACTGACACGTCCTACTGCAAGAGTATGCTCCCGTTGTACGTTGCGTAATTAAAAAGGAAACTCCCCGGTTAACAGGTTAATGTAGCCTAAATCATAAACGTTAAACAACTTTAAAATAAATGTCACGAAAACGATCTGAATAATGAGGGAAAGAGTCCCAAAGAACAGAGCCCATAATAAGATGCCACAGAGTGGGACTGGCTCCACAAAGGGCTGAGACAGCTATTAGTTTCTTTTATCTTTCAGAGAATTTTTGAGATTATTCTTGACAGCTTCTTAAGGGTAAAAACAGTAGTGTGGCACAGCCGGCATGGCTCCGTGGCTGGGTGACAATCTATGAACCAGGAGGTCACAGTTTGATTCCCGGTCAGGGCTCAAGCCCAGGTTGCGGGCTCAGTCCTCAGTGTGAAGCATGCAGGAGGCAGCCAATCAATGACCCTCTCTCATCATTGATGTTTCTCTCTCTCCATCTCCCTTCCTCTCTGAAATAAATAAAAATATATAAATTAAAAAGAAAAAAACATAGTGTGGTTTTTGACATTGGGGCGTAAGATTTCTTCCCTGCCATTCTGATTATCCAACAATGTCTATGTAGAAAAGATGCACAAAAGAATCTTTAAAAATACAATCCAACAAACTATAAAAAGTGAGCATGTTTTTAAAAAATAACAGTGGGGAGGTGAGGGCAAGGGGGAAAAAAATCTGTTGCTTTCAAACTCATGTGAGGCCCTCACTTACTAAAGGAGAGTCACTGGCCTGACACGGATCTAGTCCCAATATTACATACAACATTAAAAATACAGAATAATTCGCTAAGCTCCGGCAATGAAAATAAGTGGGTTTTTAAACAAATGCATCAGTTTACAGAACACATAAATTGACCACAGTGTTCTACCAGCGCTGTCCAGAACTTTCAGCAATGGTGTAAATGTTCTCCACCTGCACCGTCCTGTATGCTAGCCACTGGCCACATGTGTGAACCCTTGAGCAAGGCGATCTTATTAAAATCTGACTTACCATGCAAAGCAAAATGAGTCAGAAAGAAAGAGCTATGAACCATATGATGTCAGTGGTATGTGGGATATAAACTGACACAAACAATAGTACGGTGGCCTCGGAGGGAAGAGGGGCAAGGAGTAGGAAAGGGTAAAGGGCCAAATGTGTGGTGGCAGAAGATGATGAGATTTTGGGTGGAGGGCACACAGTGCAATGTACAGATCAATTATCATAGAATGTGCATTTGAAACCTATATAATCTTATGAACGAATGTCAACCCAATAAATGCAATTTTATATATATATATTGGTTGACATATATGACTAATTTACATTTGAATGGCCACATGTGGCTAGTGGCTACTGTCCTGGACAGCACAGCTATAGATCCAGGGCTCTTACAATTTGGGAAGCAGAGGTCTCTTGGGCTCCATGAACCTCCTGGAATGTCACACAAAACTTGCTGGGTGTATATATTTTTTCCCAGGAAAAACACCTTAAGATTCCATCAGATTCTCAAAAAGAGCCTGTGAGCCAGTGTTGTTGACAAACACCGAAAGCCACAGACACCAAATATCCAGACACTTTGGAGGGGGAGCAATCCGGGCACGTGAAGCAAATGACCATTGTAAACAAACAAACAAACACACACACACCCAGCCAGCAAACAAGATTAATGAGACTTTTACACAAACTATTAGAATGCTGTGGTCAGGTCAGGCTGCAACATTTTTAAGGGAACCACGAAAAAACTGGAATTTGTTCAGATCAAGGAATCACAAAGACAGAACTTATACCCAGTGTTAAGTGAACAGCTCATAAAACTTTAGGTATTTTACAGGGAGAAGAAAAAGCCCTGGTGGCCAGCATGCAGGAGGGAGAAAACTTAGACATCTTTCTTATACACGGCATATATTGTGTCACAATCCACTTAATTTACAAGTTTTAAATGGGATCCATTTTAAGTTCTTTGTAGATTTTCTTTCTAGCAAACTCCTCCTCTATAAATATTTCTCTGGAACATTCAAAATAAAGACAAGTATTTACTCCCCCCCCCCCCCCCCCGGTAAGTTAAATAGCAGTAAGAAAAAGGTTAAAAACTAGTAGAAAGCCCTAGCTGGTCTGGCTCAGTGGATTGAGCATCAGCCCGGGGACTGAAGGGTCCCAGGTTCGATTTTGGTCAAGGACACATGCCTGGATTGCAGGCTTGATCCTCAGTAGGGGGCATGCAGGAAGCAGCTGATCAATGATCCTCTCTCATCACTGATGTTTCTATCACTCTCTTCTTCTCCCTTCTCTAAAATCAATAAAAATAATATTTTTTTAAAAACTAGTAGAAAGGTTGAACATTAAGTTACTAGAGTCAAAAAGTCTACTAGGGCACAGATACAATCCTGACCACAAAACGAAATGCAATACATCAAATTCTACTCTATTTAATAACAGACGTTTCCTTGTGGGCCCTGAATCCAGCTTCCTTGTCAATAAGCTCCTTGTGCCTTCCTGGGAAGCAGGCAAAAGTTCTAAGTTCTCCTCTGGGAGCTGTTCCTCCAACCAGGCTCCATTCCCTGCTCACCTCCGCACCTGGCCTCTACCTCTGGCTTTTCTGCAACAGGTCTCTCCTAGCCCCGAGCACAAGGTGGCTGCAAGATGGCCGAGGTTAGAGGAAAAAGCTTTCTCACAACAAAGAGCCTATTCCAAGAAGGCAGACCGATCTCAGGCCACATCGGACACTTTGTGACAGCGGAAGGGGCGATGGCCACATGGTATGTTCAGGGGAGGGACTTGCAGCTATGGCCTACCCCGGACAAGGACAGTGGCTAGCAGGAAATGTGATTCATCATCAGGCCATGCACTGGCAAGGCAAACATTTGTCAAGCTCAGTTCCTTAGCTGCCACTTGCTAAGTGCCCTTCCAAACAAACAAATGCAACAAAATTCCCTCTGCCACTTACTCTAGCATCCTCGGCTTGTTTTTTCAGTTCCACCACTTCCTGCATCAAGTCCTTGTTCTGCTCCTGGGTGGCCGCCAGCCTCTCCTCTGTGCCCCGCAGCAGCGTCTGCAGCTTCTGCAGGGCCTCCTCGTGCTTCGCCTTGGTCTCAGAACTGGCTTCCTCATACTTGGCTTTCAGATCTTGACACTGGTGGTGGCTCGCTTCCATCTTCTTTTCCTGCGGGAGCCCCGAGAGAAGGGACGAGTCACCTCACCACAACTGAGCTGCCCTCACCTTCCTCGCCAGCGAACAGTCCCAGGTGCTCCCTCCTTACCAGGTCCAGCAGTTTTTCCAGCAAGTCTTTCTTTTCTTCCTCGTGCTTTTTAGTTGCTTCTTTCTGGCTCTGTTCAGCTTTGAGAGTCACATCCCCAATACTTTTCTGCAGACAGCTCACATTTTCATTGGCCTTTGTAAGTTTTAGCTGTAATTCTTCCACATTTCTAGAAGTTTCAATACATCATCATGTCAGAGTTTTCAAAAGAATGCTTTCAGTTTTAGAGTTCCACTAGAAAGATACTATTAATCATAATTGTATCAACGAATATAATTATGAGTAATGAATAACATCTGAAATAAGCAACAACCAAAAAACTTGATTTGTCCTGAAGGCTAATTTTAACAACTCTCATAGCTATAAATACATTATTTAGAGTAGCATCTACTATAATTGTTAGGATTATTTTATGTCCATATACCTACGGGGAAAAATGAGTGAAAAGTAAACATATTGAGCATTTACAAAGTGTAAATCAAGCATCACTAGAATGAGTTTCTAAAAATCTAGAAACTCATTCTAGTGATGCTTGAGAATTTAAAACATAAAAATGACAATAAATAACCAGCTGGTGTGACTCAGTGGTTGAGCATTGACCTTGAATCAGGAGGTCATAGTTCGATTCCTGGTCAGGACACAGGCCCAGATTGCAGATTCCATCCCTAGGGGGTGGAAGGGTGGGTGTAGGAGGCTGCCAATTAATGATTCTCTCTCATCATTGATGTATCTATCTCTCTCTCCCTCTTCCTAGCTCTCTGTCTCTCAAAGCAATAAAAACATATCTAAAACATTTTTTAACTGACTATAAAAGATGTTACTTTTTGGAAACTAGTGAATGTGGTGTCAAAAAAGGCGCAAACTACTCACTTTGCAGCCCTTTTCCTGTCCTTGAACTTGATGTCTTTGGTGGAAGAGCTGTGTAAGTAACAGTTTATACTTTAATTTGTTTGCACGTTGTTTTGCCAGCATGAAGTGTAGAGTTTCTCATAACCAGTTTTTTGTTGTGTTTTTTTTTTGGGGGGGGGGGGTATTTATATTCTTTTTTTTTTCTTTTTTTTTTTTTAAACTAATTTTTGTTTATAAAAATAAAAATTTAAAAATACGAAAAGAAAAAGAAAAAAAGATGTTACTGCCGCCGAAACTGATTAGGCTCAGTGGATAAAGTGTTGGTCTGCGGACTGAAAGGTCCCAGGTTTGATTCCGGTCAAGGGCATGTACCTTGGTTGAGGGCACATACTGGTAAGGGGTATGCAGGTAGCAACTGGTCGATGTTTCTCTCTCATTGATGTTCCTAGCTCTCTATCCCTCTCCCTTCCTCTCTGTAAAAAATCAATAAAATATATATAAAAATGTATATTTTAAAAAAAAATGTTACTGATGTTGATAAACTACTACCTTTTCCTAACAAGTCAACGGAAGGTCTACAATATTGTATTCCTTAGAGGTTAAGCAGTAGACTCAAGTATACACTGAAGTGATAAGAGAACAGAGAGATGGAAAGAAAACATAACAAGCCTGAAGATCTGGGCTACCTCCCACCGAGGCCCCGCCTCAGAGCCTAACCTAAGCAGGCACTCTTATTAACATTCATACGTACCTTTCTTTCTGACGTAACTCATCATTCATTTTTGTCAACTGGGAAGAATTATCTCCTGACATTTTCATTATTTCTGCAATGTCGTTTTCCAGTTTTTCTTTTGCCTTTATCAACTGCCCTTCTCTTTCATCTCTCTCTCTAAATTTTGCCTCCATGCCTGAATAGACATAGAAAAAAAATAGCACTGCTATTATAATGGACAAAAATTGACTGCCTGTATCCTGTACACCAAGTCTGGCTCTAAGGATATTTGCATGTAGCAATCCCTGTGAAAATTATATTCTAGCAAAGAAGACAAGCAATAAACAAGATCAATAAAGAAAGGAAATACTATAATAGATAGTGCTAAGTACTAAGAAGAAGAAAATGCAAACAGAGAAAGGAGTAAGAAAGAATTTGGGGTGGGGGGATTAAATCTCTGACAGGTCCTCTCTGAGACGGTGACAGTTCAGTCAAGGAAAGAAGTGAAGCAAGGGGCTGCAGGCAGAGGGGAGGGTGAGTGCAAAGGCCCTGAGGCAAGAACATGCTTGACATGCAGGTGTCACCACGGAGGCCACTGTGGCTGGAGTGGAAAGGACAAAGAGAAAACTAGTACAAGGTGAAGCAGAGAGAAAGCAGAGCCTGTGGTGGTAAGGACCACAGCCTTTGGTGCTGAGTGAGATGGGAGCCAATGGGCGATCCTGAGCAGAGGAGTGGCAGGAGCTGGGTCCTGACTTGATGCTGAAGGGTCACTCTGGCTGCTGTGCTGAGGACAGACAAAAGGAACAAGGGCAGAAGCAGGCGGGAGGCCAACTCTTGGAGTAGCTCAGATGCAAGGTGGCTGGCCTGGGTCAAGGGCGGCAGTGGGAGCGGAGCGATGTGGTTGGACACTGGCTTGTTTGAAAACAGGGCCGAGAGGGTTTGCTGAAGGTTACGAACCTCAAAGTATTTTGTCCCATTATATCGCCAAAATGAGTGAAGACATTAAACCTCAATAGATATGTTATTCTAACATACTGCAATTATCTCAAATCCTAGGAAGCATACTATACTTAATGTTTAGTAACAGAGACATCTTCTTACCTGTTAGATTTTCTCTCAACTTCTCCAATTCAGAAGATAGCGCATTAAACTGCTCCTCTTTTTGATGTAACTTATTTACAGTTTCTATTTAGGAAAAAATGAAAAGTTTAATATGTTTCATATTTAACAAGCCATCGAGAGCTTGGCAAATCTTATGTGTGAGATTTGAAGTCACAGGAATACTAAAAAGTCCCATTGCAAATCAAACACTGTATAATGAACCTCAAGAATATAAGCTGTAGCCGGGACCGGTTTGGCTCAATGGATAGAGCGTCGGCTTGGGGACTGAAGGGCCCCGGGTTCGATTCCGGTCAAGGGCATGTACCTTGGTTGCGGGCATATCCCCAGTAGGGGGTGTGCAAGAGGCAGCTGATCGATGACTCTCTCTCATTGATGTTTCTAACTCTCTATCTCTCTCCCTTCCGCTCTGTACAAAAATCAATAAAATATATTAAAAAAAAAAAAAAAAAGAATATAAGTTGTAGATTAGGCAGGCACGAGGCATCCTTCCACTTAAAACTCAACAGAACTATCATAGACTAAAGCTTAGGCAAAATAATACTTTCTATAAGTACACTTACATTTTAATATGAAACAAACTAAGTCAAAAGAAGAAAATAATGCCCTCGCTGGTGTGGCTCAATTGGTTGGAACATCATCCCGTACACCAAAAGGCGGAGGGTTTAACTCTTGGTCAGGGCACAAACTCAGGCTGTGGGTTTTATGAACCCCGGTCGGGGGGTGTGCAGGAGGCAACCCATAGGTGTTTCTCTCTCTCTCTCTCTCTCTCCCTCCCTTCTTTCCTTCCTCTTTCTAAAATCAATAAAAATAAAAGAAGAAAATTACTGGGCATTTGAGGCTTTAGGGAGCCAATGGAAACAGCATCACTGGGCACTGCAGGGGCCTGGAGGATGGTGCAGTCGGACTGTGGGCAGCATGGGCTTTGTGCACGGTAGGGACCGGCTCCACTGTAAGAACAGGACATTCTCTAATGCAACTACTCTCTAACCCAATCTACTCATACACTAGAAACACAGACTTTGTAGCCCAGCCAGCATGGCTCCGTGGTTGAGTATTGACCAATGAACCAGGTCATGATTCAATTCCAGGTTGTGGGCTCGATTCCCAGTGTGGGGTGTACAGGAGGCAACCAATCAATGTTTCTCTTTCATTATTGATGTCTTTATCTTTCTCTCCCTCTCCCTTCCTCTCTGAAAGCAACAAAAATATATTTAATAGCCAAAACCAGTTTGGCTCAGTGGATAGAGCGTTGGCCTGCAGACTGAAAGGAACTGGGTTCAATTCCGGTCAAGGACATGTACCTTGGTTGCGGGCACATCCCCAGTAGGGAGTGTGCAAGAGGCAGCTGATGGATGATTCTCTCTTATCAATGTTTCTAACTCTCTATCCCTCTCTCTTCCTCTCTGTAAAAAATCAATGATATATATACATTTATACATATATACAAATATATATATACATTTAATAAAGAAAAAAGAAACACATACCTTGCATACTCCTCTGGACAGAGGCTGCCTCCTCTGAAGCACCAGCAAATTTTTCTTTCTAAATAAAAAAAAAAAGAGGGTATTCAGAATAGAGATTTCAAGTTATGAAGACTAAATGTTTCAGTTATAACTACGCTACCTAATTTTTGTGGCTAGTTTTGTTTCATTAAAACTTACACTTAAAACATGGAGGAATCAATTACTATAGTATGCATACTGTGCATGTATAAGCACGAATGAATGAGGTTTTCATGTGCATGTGTGCATGCTTGGGCATACACATGCATCTGGATATATGTGTGAGTGTGCACACATATTTAAGTATATGCATGTGTGTGCACATTGTGGTACATGCTTCCCTTACCTAGTCCTTCCATAAGTCTATGACTTTCCTTTCCTACCATGTGGGTATCACTGGCACTGCTTATGGTGATCAACCTTGGTTTAAGCTCATGTTTTTGACGCAAGAGGCAAAGTAGGAAGAACAGCTGAGAAAAGCTAAGAAAAAAAATATCATACTATTTGGGATTAGGGACCAAGGAGGATATAGGAAAGAAAAAGGAATTTCCTGATATGAATAAGCTGAGTTGTGAGAGAGAGTTGTATGAATCTGTGGAATTAGGACCTGCCTTGCTAACAAAGGGTCCAGTTTGGCTGGCTGTCACCAGGGAAATGGAGAAGGCACAGTGCATGGCCTCATCATACATGAAACCAAACGTGCTGGGTGCATAGCTAGGAACGTCCCTGTGTCTAATAAAACTAAGCACTCAATAGCACACCAAAGCAACACATCACCAGAGCAAAGGACAGATTATTTTTGAAGGAACAGAAGGTCCCCTTATTCAAGATTTCACTTTCCATGGTTTCAGTTCCACCGCCAACCAAGGTCTGAACGTATTAAATGTGGAATCCAGAAATAAACTATTTGATAAATAGTTCAAACGTTTTAAATCCTGTGCTGTTCTGAGTAGCGTGATGAAATCTTGTGCCATCCCACCCTATCCTGCCCAGATGTGCCTCATCTCTTTGTCTGGCATCTCCATGCTGGATACTCCACCTGCCCCTTAGTCCCTGGGTAGCCATCCTGGTTATCGAATTGACTGTCGAGATATCACAATGTTCATTGCAAATCACTGTATTTTATTGGATAGCAGCTTTTGAGCAGTGATGCTGATGACTCAAATAGGCAAAGATCAGCATCAAGTGCTTCCTTTTCATGGTGGGGAACCTTATTTCTGCCCAGGCCCATAGGGTTATTTATAACATTATTCACGCGCCATATAAAACTATCACCTTAAAAACTAGCATGTGGTATTTGGTCAAACCTTTAATTAACTCATTCCTAATGTCTTGGCAGGGCCAGACCAAATAGTTTCTCAGGCCATATATGGACGTTCCCCCACCCCTGCAAGTGAAAAGGGGTAAGTCCTCAACTTATTAAGGAAAGAAGAAAAACATGTATGCTGAAGTGAGAATCTTCTATCTGTGAAGTTTTGAAAGAAAAGAAATTCCTGTTAGTCTTGCACCTCAAACTCCAAAAGTTAGGGCCACGGTGCGTGGTAAGTGCTTGATGGAAAAGGCATTAAATTTGTGGGTGACCCACTGACTTGGCTGTGCTGGAATGTAAACTTATGAACCAGGAAGTCAGTTCAATTCTTCAGGGCAGATGCCCGGGTTGGGGGCTTGATTCCCAGTACGGGGCATGCAAGAGGCAGCTGATCAATGATTCTCATCATTGATGGTCCTATCTCTCCTCTCTCTCTCTCTCTCTCTCTCTCTCTCTCTCTCTCTCTCTCCCCCCTTTCCCTTCCTCTCTGAAATCAATAAAAATATATATTTTTTAATTTGTAGGTGGACAAGCAGAAAACATGTCTCAATTAATGGCAACGTTTTGAGCCAGAAAGCACTGAGCCTGTACGAGGACATCAGCAAGGGGCCCCTTGAAACGAGTGACCACATGACGTTTATTACAGTATATTGTTATCACTGCTCTGTTTTATTAGTAGTTATTGTTATTAATCCCTTACTGTGCCTAACTGATAAATTAAACTTTATCAAAGATCTGAACGGCATAGGAGAAAGCATAGTACATACAAGGTTCGGTACCCTTGAAATTTCAGGCATCCACAGGGGTCTTGGAATGTATCTCCCCCAGATAAGGGCGGACGACCAACTGTAATACCTACCTTTATTGCTAGTTTGGGTGTGATCAGATTCCCCTCAAGGTATTTAGCAGCCAATTACTAATACACTCAACTTAAGTCAATACTTTGAAAGAGAAAGAACTAGGTACAATGTTTTCTCTTTATGGAGAGTTTTGTTTGTAAACAGGAACAATTTGACTGGCCAGAGACTCAGACTCCCGGCAGGTACTTACCAACATCTGAAGCTCTTTCTCCAAAGCCTCTTTCACGTGACTGACTTCACTCACTCGCTCCTCAAGTTTGCTGAGTGTGAGCTCTTTCCCCTGCAGCTCTTTGGAAATGCTACTAGCCTACCAGACACAGTTATGTGGTGCAGAAGCAAATGAACAAAAACGAAATAATAATGAGAAACAAAAAAGTAAATAAAACAAACAAAAATTTATGAGAAACAAACACAGCCAAACACAACAGAAAGGGATAAGGGTGGGGGTAAGGAACCCTTTTGTTTTGTTTTGTTTTTACTCTAAGAAACAAATGATTTTTCACAATCAGTCCTAGATATGATTATCTAATGTCTATTTTAAGGTAATCAAAATAGAGTGGGGTTTTTTTATGCCTATATTTGGAATATCAACATAATTTAAAGCAGAAAGTACGGATGCTTATTTTCTGAGTTAGTTGAGCAATTTCATTTCTTAAAACCCTTAAGATAGAAAAGATGGGTACATGTGGTCTGGGTTATCATTTTCTATATTTTTTTATATGCCTAAGTATTCCAACATCTAACATAAAAAATGAAGTTATAGCCAAAACCTGTCTGGCTCAGTGGTAGAGCGTCAGTCTACGGACTGAAAGGTTCCAGGTTCAATTCTGGTCAAGGGCATGTACATTGGTTGCGGGCACATCCTCGGAAGGGGGTGTGCAAGAGGCAGCTGGTCAATGTTTCTCTCTCATCGACATTTCTAGCTCTCTATCCCTCTCTCCTCCTCTCTGTAAAAAATCAATAAAATATATATATATTTTTAAATGAAGTTATAAAAATGCACTAGACAAAACCAGTTTGGCTCAGTGGAGAGAGCGTCAGTCTGCAGACTGAAGGGTGCCAGGTTCGATGCTGGTCAAGGGCATGTACCTTGGTTGCGGGCACATCCCCAGTCGGGGGTGTGCAGGAGGCAACTGATTGATGTTTCTCTCTCATCGATGTTTCTAACTCTCTGTCCCTCTCCCTTCCTCTCTGTAAAAAATCAGTAAAATATATATATATATATATATATATTTTTTTTTTTTTTTAAATGCACTAGACCAGTCATCAGAAATGGGCTTTCATTAAATCCTGATTTTTTTTTTTTTTAAATAGTGCACCAACCATTAGCTGAATATTCCCCACTAACTGACTTTTGTATTTTGACTGTAATTTTTGGGATTGAGTGAGATTTGAGAAAAATTTCCTGTAAATAGTCTTCAATGAAGGTTACTTAGCAATTTTTGCCTTTTGTCCTCCACTCTCCACTTAACCCTCACAGCCCTTCCTTCTTTGCCGATAGAGCTGCTTCTCCTGCGAAAAGCTCAGGACATTCAGCATCAATGCCAGCGCCTCACTGAGTGGCAGTAGGACTGGGAAGAGCATTAGCTCCTGGAACAAGCCATGAAATGAAGACGACATTGCTGAACAAGGCTGGCTGTAGGAACGGAAGCTGGCAGATGTTTCACCTAACTTCCTGTGCTTTGACCAAAAGCACCCTCACCCAGTCTCTCCCCCCAAAGGAGGAATAGACAGTGTTCTGCTTGTGGCACAGAAACTCTCCAATGAGACCTAAGAGGCATCGCGAAGGGCTCCAGGCTCTCAACCCGAATTCTGCCGTGAGCGTTACTCATCACGGCATGTCCATGTATGACAGCCAAGTACCCGCTCGGAGCTCACATTTTGTTTTCATATATGACCTCACAGACAAGGCAGCTATGGCGCTAGGAAAGGAGATGATTATGTGAGTTTCTATCGAATTTATTCATTTACTTTAGTGCCATCAAATTAGGGAGTTCTCTATTTTGAAAAGAGATTCTAGACTGAAACCAAACTTGAACGGTAGGTCACAGAAAAGCATGGAGGTAAAGGATCACCCTGGACACCAGAACAAGTTCACGTAATGGAGCCATTATTTCCCCCAATTTCCTCAGATGAAGCCATACTCAAGACTATCAAAACAGTTTACATTCAAACCGGGAAATTGGTTAGCACCAAGCAATTTGTCTTACTTAAATTAAGAATTTGGAAGATGAGTTAATTTCAACACATAAAACAAACAAAACCATACAATGAAAAACGAAGTAAAGCAAATGGAAAAGAAAAAGATGAAGGATATCAATGCAAACCTTGTCACTTGCAGCATTCCTTTCAACCTCTAAGTGCTTAATCTGTTGCTCAGCTGCCTCAAACTGCTGTCTAAGTTTCTCGATCTCCAATTTACCTTCGGAACTGGCTTTCCGAAGGGTGTCCAGATCCAGAAGCTTTTCCTCGGCAGCCGTGAGCTGTGATGTAAAACTATCGATAACCTTGGTTTGCTCACTGCATTGGGCCTTCAGCACCTCTAGCTCCTTTACCTTTATCTCGGCTTCCTGCAGCTTGCTCATAGCATCTTCCATTTCTACCAGATGCTGGTCTTCGGCCTTCTCCAGTTTTGACTGGATGGCTTCCAGGCTGTTCTCTTTCTCCTTAATGACCTCCATCAGCTTTGCCCTGACGGCTTCTATCTCTTGAGTGTGAGCAGACCGATCGGAGTCTTGTTGATTCTGCAAGCTTTCTATTTCATGCTGGTAATCTAGTCTCATTTTCTCTATCTGCGTTTTCAATGTGGCCACCTCAGCCGTCTCTGTCCCCAACCCCTTGCTGAAGGAAGCCTTCAGCTCCTCCATGGCCTGCTGGTGGGACGCGATGGCGGTCTCCAGCTTGGACTTCCACAGGGCGATCACGTCCGAGTTCTCCTTGTTGGCGTGGTCAAGCTTGCTTTTCAGCGACTCGTTCTCCTTGGAGAGCTTCTCTGCGGCAGCCTGCAGAGCCTTCACCTCCTTCTGGTGGGTTTCCTCCTGGGCTCCAAAACGCTCCTTCAGGGAGGCGATTTCTTTTTGGTGGTCAGTATGGGCGGCTTCTAACTTCTCCTGCAAAGAGCTTATCTCTTGCAAAAGGGAAAGTGACGTGTCAACATCCCCGGCAGGTTTATTGGACTCGAGCCTTCTTCGCAGCTCAGCTACTTCCTGTACTCTCAACGCTAGGTCTTTCTCTAGCTCCATTATACGAGACTTTTCTGACACTGTAGCCACCTAGTAACAGCAGTCCAAAGAAAAAGAGATCATTTAAATAAGTCATTGACGATTTTCTTTAAGTTGGAAGACCTTAAATAAACCTAGCCCATCTCAAGACAGCAAACTACCGCCCCCCCACAATGCCTACATGATAGTCAGTCTCGAACTATGATTGTGGTTTAAGTCCAGTTCTGGTAGCTCTAATTCAAAACTATAATCTTTGTCAAACTTCCACCATCTTGACACACTAAAGGAATCTAAAATTTATATTGAGTTTAACTCCAAAAATACTTCCTTTTCCTCCAAAGAAGCTTAAAGTGAGGAAGTACATGACAAGCATGAAATTAATAAGAAGTTAACAGAAATAGTAACTTTCAAAGTTCTCGAATATATCTGCAGGCTGGTAGACAGAATCCTCCTTACTTTGCCTGTTTTTTCTCTCCGTTTCACTCAGGATGTATCAATGCTTATTGATCTGAAGGAAATGATTTTAAAGGATATTGCTGTCCAGTAGAGCAGCCATGAGCCACCTATGGCTACAGAGCATTTGAAATGGCTCGTCTGAGGTGACATGGCTGTCAGCATAAAATATTCATCAGATTTTGAAGACTTGGAGAAAAAAGAACAGAAAGTATCTTATTAATGATTTTATATTGACTGCATGATAAAATGATATTTTGGATATATTAGTTTAAATAAAATATATTAATTTCGCCTGTTATCTTTTTTAAAAAGTATGATAATGTGAGTACCAAAAAAATTAAATTATATATGTGTGTGTGTGTGTGTGTGTGTGTGTATACACACACACACACACACACACAAACATACACTCATATGTGGCTCATATATACTCCTATTGAACAGCACGAGTATCATAGGCGTAAAATTACCTATCCAATGTTTCAACTAATAGCACAGAAACTGTAGAATAAAAGCCTCAACTGGATGATGAATTAATTTACTAACTTTTTTTAAAAAAAATAATAAAGAATGACAACTTACCTGCAATCACATAAAAGAATCCTAGATAGAACCCCTCCTGGACTGTTTAATTCTGTCGCATTCTGAGGCGCATACCTTGTTCCCTTAACCCAGTGGTTCTCAGACTCCAGTGTGCATGTCAGCCACCTGGACACGTGTCTACATGCAGGTGCCCAGTCACTCCCACATATTTTGATTCTATTTCGGCTCTGGGAGGGACCCAGGTACTTGCTTCTTTTAAACACACACCCCAGGACCAAGAAAAACACTTCCAACACCTGTGGCCTTTCTTTCTTAGGAAATTATTTCCCTCTGCCACCTGTTAGGCAGTCAGATTAGTCTACAAAATGCGTGGGAAGTGGTGGCCTCACGAATAGAAGGTATTTGGCTAACCTGAGAGATAGGAGGGAGCGAATGATTAAACACACCAGCGAGTCCCAAGCTTCCTGGGTCAAACTCCTCCCCCTCACTGCGTGGACCGGGACAGAAAGGAATGGCTGTGTTGACTCTCTCTCTCTTCTGCCCACGTACAGGCTGTGATGTCAATGAAGACTAAGATGCCCACAGAAAGACAGGAAAAGAAAGTACTCGGGTGTCCAAAACTGCATAATTGAATCATTAAATACTTCAGAGCTATCTATACTTGTTGTGTTTCGGGGCAATAGCCCATTCAGATTCAAGATGTTAATTCAGCCGAGACCGGTTTGGCTCAATGGATAGAGTGTCGGCTTAGGGACTGAAGGGTCCCGGGTTCGATTCCGGTCAAGGGCATGTACCTTGGTTGCGGGCATATCCCCGGTGGGGGGTGTGCAAGAGGCAGCTGATCGATGACTCTCTCATTGATGTTTCTAGCTCTCTGTCTCTCTCCCTTCCTCTCTGTACAAAATCAATAGAATATATTTTTAAAAAAAAAAAAAAGATGCTAATTCAATAACATCTTTTCTGGGGTGTGCAGTAGGGTAGTTCCAGAGTTTGCTTTCACAAAGTAAGGTACAAAGTATTGACAGGCCCCACTGCTACAAATAAATCCAACGGGGCAATAGTTCTTCATTAGGCAGAACAAAACAGTCAAACTGAGAAAATGCCAAGTGAAGAAAATAAGTGACAATAATAAATAGTGTGGTTGTACTTTATATAGCATTTTCATAGACATCTATTTTTTTTTCTTGTTAATATTCCAAAGTCTGCCCTCAGGCAAAACTACCTATGGGTCTGCCTCGCCTGTTAAATTAAGGCCAGAAAAGTCAGGTGTCATTTCTTACTCTTGCTAAGATCTCCACAGCCCCAAGCACGCTGGTTATGAGCTGGGCTTATTGGCTTTTAGGAATTCCAAAGCGCTTCCTAAAAGGAGTCGAGGTGACATGAAACATACATACAGGGCACTGGTTGATTTGACACTTGACAAACCAAAAGTGAGGGTCAACAGAAGACACGACTTGTTACAGAAAAATGACAGCTTAAGCCCTGACCAAGTAGCTCAGTTGGTTAGAGCAACATCCCGATACATCAAGTTGCGGGTTCGATCCCCGGGTCAGGGCACATAAAAGAATCAACCAATGAATGCATTAATAAGTGAAACAACAAATTGATGTTTTGCATTAATAAGTGAAACAACAAATTGATGTTTCTCATTCTTTTTCCTTTCTCTCTCTGTCTCTGTCTCTCTTTCACTCAAGTCAATTTAAAAAAAAATTTTTTTTAACTTAGATAAAAAGAGAAATGACAGCTTGAATCAGAAATGTGTGAATATCCATGTGATGAATGAAAGTCTTCTTATCCACAGCCAAAGCATCAAAGGTGTGTGCCGGTGTTTGCTGACAAAGCAGTTTGGGAGAGGAGTTGGGAGTAAAAAACTATCCTTCCTTTGACAGCCAGCCCCACCAAGAAGCTCAGCCTTATCATCAGTCTCTTCTACTTCCCAGGCTGAGTCTTTGGCTTGTGAGCAAAGGAGAACTACCAGGGTATTTCTCTCACCTCATACACAGGAGCTAGCTTTAGTGTTGAGGCTGACTGAGAACATTTTCTTTCTTCTTAAAATAATAAAAACATGACTTAGAGAAGAAAAATCACTCAATTATGTAGATTTTTTAGATCAGTCAATGATTTGTCAGCAAGAGACATTTCTAAAAATACTAATGATTCAAAAGAAAAAAAATCAGGTTTGATCAGAGATAGAGTAATTTTTGAAATTTTGAAATTAAAGATTTGGGCAATTTAGCTATTGACAAATTCATGATACTCGTGCACACAGACACACATTTTCTTCTATATAAAAACTCATATTATTTCTTAAATGTTACATCACAAAACTATTTCCATAATAGTCAGACTCTGTGGTTAAGGGCACAGACTCTGGGGCCAAATGGCTTAGATACAAATCTTGGTTCGGCCTTACTATTACTAGCTGTGTGACCTTAGGCAAATTACTTAATCTCTCGGTGCATCAGTGTCTCATCTGTAAAATGGAGACAATATTACCTGGGGTTGTGGTGAAACTGAGCTAATACTTGTAAAGTACTCAGCACAGTGCCTGGCGTGAAGTAAGCACCGTATAGGTGTGTTAATAAATATATAAGCAAAAATATGACAAATGCAATGGCTTCAAGGGGGCTCTGAGTGGTTGGAAGCCATTCTGTTTCCAAACACACCTTTTCTTCCTGACAGCTGGAATTTTAACCACCGAGGTGACAGAAAGGAGGGAAATGCAAAGAGAAATAGCAAGGGGAAAAAACCTAGAAGATAAGTGGGGTAAAAGTCCTTAACTCTCACTTAAAAGAATCAATGCTTCTGTTCCCTTCCCCCAAGAGGCCAGGGAAGGAGGTAGAAAAAAAGAGCTAAAGTAAAAAAAATAATAACAACAAAAAAGTATCTAGAAAACCCAGTGGCTAGGAATAGGACAATAAGAGGATAATTGACTGCTTATGGCGAACTGGAGAAATGAATTTCGAGGTAGGAATACATAGAACCGCAAATGCAGCCATGTATACAAATGTATACAGTTGTCAAGTTTCTGATCTTGGTTTTGGCTTGAGTGAAACAAAGGAATGAGTCTTTTTATCTCTGACCAAAGATTTGACATAAGACTCCTATGCCTACTCATCCATCTAAGCTCATGAATAGTATTAAGACCAAACTCAGATTGAACCACTGGGTCAAGGCTTATGCCATGTGCAAGGCGTGTCACCCGAGGTGTCCAGCATTCACATACACGGGTCTGCTTCATTAAATAGTGAAAACCATTACCCTAGTGTCTTCTAACTCCCTCTGAAGTTTGTCAGCTTTGGTCTTTTCAAAGAGCAGGCTCTGTTCAAGCTCCTTAATGCGGGCATGCTCCAGTTTGGTCTGCGTCTGTTAGTAAAAAGGAAGAGGAAGAGAACACAACAGTGCCACCATGACATGCCAGCACAAGAGGCGACAGCGGCATGCAGGCTGAGCCACTAGTACCTCCGCCAGAGGATGAACAAGACGGGAGATGGAGGCGGGAAGAGGATGGAAGTGAGATGAGGAGGCTGGGGGTGAGGATGAAAACTACCAACAGAAGGATGAGGTGGGCGGGGGACATGGGCGAGGCTACTGAGAAAGGAAAAATGGAAAACACATGAGGCAGGATGAAAAATGTCAGATGCATGCAGCCAAATACAAGTTATATTGATAAGTGAGGTTTTATCAGCACAAATTAGAACAGTTAATATTCCTCTAAACTACCATTCTTCCCGCCTCCCCACAACGGCTATTTGGCATTAACGAATGTGTAACTGACTTGGTGACCTTAAAAAATAAACTGACCCTCACGATGACCACTATGACTAATATGGAGAAGGTAAGGCAGTGGGCCTTACGGTCAGTAAACCCACAGAGCAGAACCTTGCACTTTGGCACAAATTTGATATGAACAAGGGTCAAGCATGACACCTCACAGAGAAAATCTAGAAACGAAAGCTAAGGAAATCACACCAGTGGCCTCTGGTGAGATTCTCGGCAACATTCTCACATCTGACAGGAAAGAGCCATTAAAGCTCTAATTTCTTTCCAGCACTGGCTTTTCTGAGGGCTGTCACCAGGGGAAAGGGGGGGGGGGGAGAATCAGATTTACAAAAAGAAAATTCCAATAGCAGTTATGCTCCATAGCTTCCATCCCTGAAGCTCAGAGCAGGAGAAAAGTTGAAAAGTTTGGCCAAAATTGGACTCTTTATTTTGATCCCTAGATGTAGTTCTTATCTCAGAGGTAAGAAATGGTGACTCAACACAAAAGTGTGAGTTTGAACTCCATGAAAGAGCTGGTGAGATCCTACCAAGTTTCAAAATCTTTGAGCTTCTCCATCCTCCCTCACTCATACGGACCCAATGAAGAAGCCGGAGGTGACCTCTTCCAGGCAGGTTTAAGTACAACAGAATCTTCATCAAATGTCAGTCTGAATGCTTCTCTATCCCGCTCACATCTCTACCAGCTAGGTACAGCATAACCCACTGATAGAACTGTTCCCAGAAGCTTCTAGTTATAGTTACTGTAGTAACTTAACTATTTTGTGGTTCCAACCAGTCAGATCTATCAATGTGAACCATTATGGGAAATGAAAAAATGATAACTTTAAATAAAGAAACAAAAAGTAGTGTGGAGCTTAATAGAGGGTGGGATGTTTTACACTGTACAAGTCTTTACTACCTCCAGCGGAACTCTGGGGAGGCCAATGCATTCAAGAGCTCCCTTCGCTTGCAAACCAGGTATAAATCACCATGGAATGCTTAAACCGTGAACACAAAAATTAAAAACAAAACAAAGTCATCTTCACCTCCTTCAGCTCTTACACTCAGCAAAAATAACAACACTGGATAATTGTCTGGATAGTCCCCTTCCTCCGGAATGCCTCAGTCAGAAGTTGTTCTACTTACTGCTTCCACAAGAAAAGAATCTGACCCAGGACTATATAACTGTGGTCACAGCCTCAAGCACTGAAATCCAAATAGCAAAAGGCAACAAAACCTTTTTTCTCCTCTGGACACCGAGTTCAGTGTCCTGGGGTTGAAAGGTCACCACTTCAAGATAAAAAGCCCCTATCCACTGAGTGTGCTCCTCTCCCCCTTCCGGGTGACTGCAGCCAGACCTCCCTCCTGGCGGGGTGCACACCGATGACCGGAACTGCACCTCGGTCTCTGACCAGCCATCAGCATGGGGACTAGTGATCCACGCCCACGCCATGGTATGCAGTCAAAACGCTACACCCAACAGGACAACCGTCCTTGTTAACTGACTCCTTTCTCAGAAGAAGAGACGTGTCCCAGAGGGCAGTCCTGGGGCAGGCGGAGAGGGCAAGCAGCGGCTCTGCAATAAGCGCACAGAGAGGCGGGAGGGAGACCCCATGCAGACGGACACGGGGCGCAGCGGGAGCCCGTGTGGGAAGGAGAGAGGAGACCCAGATCACTGAAGTAGCTTCACAAAAAGGGAACCTTCAGAACGGAGGCTGTCGGAAAAGTTCAGTCTTGACTAATATATTCTACCTGCCAGGAGGCGGTGGAACAGTCTTTGCCTTCATTTTGTTCTCTTGTGGCGGTAAATCACCGTGAGAAGTTTTTAGGTTTCTTGCAGTTGGCATTAGAGCTGGCAAGGGGCACCAGGAAGCCAGGCTTTCGAGGTCACTTTGGTAAGATTTGAATTGGGTGTTTAATCTTAAGCAGAAGAAGGAAGGAAAAGAAAAACACCTACATGCCTAGAAGCACTGCTACCCTAAAAACCTTGCTTCAAAAATAATAACTTTAAAACACTCAGTCTCTTCACTGAAGAATTCTAGCCTCTAGGTTCAAACACTAGGGAAAATAAAGTAACAAATACCATCTTTGTATTTCTAGTCAGGTGCAATGACAGGCACTGGCCAGCAGGGGATGCTCACACACAAGGCAATCAGTCTGGGATTCACAATTCCCTTTTACCTCTCCTGGGAATAAAATTAGACAATTTGGGAAAACTTCCCCCAGAATTTCTATAACTCCTTCACCTAATATGTCTTATGCTTCTTCTCTTTTGGAATAATTCTATTAAAATTAGAAGCTATTGTGAATTAAGTGAAGGCCAGGCCCCCAGACAAAATTAATTTTGCCCGTTTTTGATAAAATTTCTTATAAACGCATGCCTCTGCACTAAAAAAATGGGTTTATAAAACTTAGTCATTACATACAATTTCTTCAGTCATTACATACAAATGTAACTGCTTTGAAAGCCACATGCACAGAAATATTAAGGTCAATGTCTCAAGATCAGATTATGTAGTTAGTATTTAAGTATATCAATAAGCATTTTAATCTGTAATCAATCTGTGTTAACATGGAAAATATCCACACAGTTAAGGGCCCTCTTACATTCTCAGGATCTTCAGAAATCTGGCTCTTTTGCTATCAGTAAAAAAATAAAAAATTAAACAACAACAAAAGAGAGATTCGACTAAAGTTTCAATGTTAGGGTTTCAAAATAACTTTGATTAATTTCAAGTAAGTTTATCAGACAGACTATAAACTAGCCTAGTGCTGATGGTAAATATTTTCATTTGTCCTTTTCCCAAACACCATAGGCTATATTTCAAATGAATTGGATGATGATATGAAACTTCTAATGAAACTTTAGGTGTTTTTAAGTGGATGTTAATAACACAGACGTAAACTAAAGAAATGTAATTGTACAATATATGAAATGAATGAAGACTTATTACTAATAATCCATTAAATCCTGGGATTTATAAAACTAAAACTCAGAAAATGTTTCCCTTTCTTTTTGTTAACTATAAGGATACATTTATTTCCAAAGAAATCAGAGTTCCTATTTGGAAGTCCCTTGAAATGTAAGCATGGTGTGGGCAGTCAACAGACCCTAAAACTGTAATGGTAGCATACATGTATATTTTGAGAGCTGCACAGAAATATGCAGTTTTTACTAAAATATTACAGATTAAAGTACCAAAAATCTGCAGAATTTGAAAATTTTAATAATTTATACCTGTCATATATCTAGCAGTGGTTTGAAAAGCAACAAGACCATTGAACTCTGATGTCCACATTTGAAAAAAAAATAATGTGAATAATTGTGACAAGATTAGAAACTTAATTGTAAAGGAAAATCCCTATTAATTTAAACTATGCCACGGAAGTAAAAGAAACTAAAATATAAATTGCTCTTGTTTTTTTCTAGTAATTACTTTTGTAAAAAGTTCAACTACTAAAACATATATTTATCCCTTTTATGGGGTTATAAAAGATTTGTCCTGCTCGGTTGAAGAAGCAAGGCTCTGTGTTGGACTATAATATTATGAGGAAGCAAAAAATGCTCCTCCCAAGGAATGCCATTTCTGGTCATCAGAGAGACATGGAGAGTCTCACTTGGGACACACTGCCAGGTGTATGACTCGATTAACTCCAATTCGAGGTTTTTAATTTCAAATCACAAGGAAAGAGTAGTAAAACTTGACTGGGCCACAGGAGGTGGGATGGCTCAGTTCCAGGCTCAGAGGCCACCTCATCACCTCCGGGAGCCATGCCCACAGCCCAGCTGGCCAGAGGCGGGGCTCCTGCCATCCCTCTGCTGCCTGTTCTGGCCACATCAGCTGGCACAATGACTTTGTCCACATTTCTGAACTTGGGGACCCATAAACGCTTTAGACAGCTGGAGGGGTTTTACCTCAAGGTCGCCTTTAGTAATTGATTCTTCCTCCACCCGGAACTGAAGATCCTCCACTTTCCTGCGGAACGAGACGGAAACAAAGCACTTAAGAAAATAACTAAGGAACAAATGTGCGCCTGTGTCTCTACAATCACATCCTGGTGAGCTTAGCACATGGCCGTGGAAAGAAATGCCTCAGAAGCATAGGAAATCAATGCATCTTTAGGCTTCTGGTGTATGCACCAGAGAGCTCTACTCTTCTTTGGGAAGCTCCTGAGTTTTATCCAGGCACGCGTTCCAGAAGGCAGGAGTAAGAGCTGAGAAAAATCAACCAGTTCCCTTGGTCACAAGCACCAGAATGGATGTGATCAAGACGAGGTCTGCCTCACGCACGGTACTCAGGAGGCGAGGAGAATGTCCTCTGTACAGTGTTTCTCTGTCCAATGTCAGAGGCTGCATTCCACCTCCACTGGTTGTCCCCTCACCACAGTGCCTATGACCAGCCTGGTCACTAGCGACTAGGAAGTCGCTGTCAGAAACGGCAGAAGGTGGCTGAGGACTAACATCCCATAACCAGAGATGTTCACATGGTTTCCAGGAAGATGTTTTTTGTAGAGATATTTTTTTAATGGCCTCAAAACCCTTCTATCACACCCAAGCTTTTTTTCTCTCAGTTTAGCACCTGATTTTTGTCCCGACCTGGAAAATTCCCTAAATGCCTCACGTGAAGACTTGTTTTCCTAATAAGGTACTGAGTTTCTCGAGGACAGGGACCTTGTATGGCCCGTCAAACATAATAGGATTTCATCAGCTACCTGGGTCCAGCACCCCTCCCCAGGAATGACTCCACAGGGGGCTGGGTCTGAGTGAACGCCACCACACAACTAAGGCTGCCCTCAAGAGGATGCTCGGCACACAGTGCGTGCTTCTCGAATGATTGTTCATTTAATCAGGCCATGTCCGGGTGACTACAAGCGAAGCAAACCCTCCTCTCACAGAATGAGGACTTCTATTTCCGCTGAGCATGACCATTCCTTTGGTTCTACAGGTGGACACCAACATGGTTGCCAATGGGAAGGAAGTTTAAAAGGAAAAGGCCACACGTGCCCCAGGGGACAGTTTAGGGTCACCTTTTTTCCTCTTCGAGTTGGTTGAGCAGTTCCACTTTCTCCCTGTCGGCAGCTTCCACCATGGCTCGCAGCTGGTCCATCTTGGCCTCCAGCTCCAGGACATGCTGGGGAGGCAAGGGTGTCAGTGAGGGGCCTCTCTCTGACCCAGGCAGGCCCAGGGACACCTCCAAAGAGCTACGGCTAAGTGGCACCATTGTGGGCTGGCGTTCCTCCAAAACCTTTAACGTTAGAATGCATTCTATAATTTTTAATAGGTTATTGTCAGCCTCATTCCCGGAGGACGAGGATGGAAACCACACCATGATGGCAGCAGAGGGCAACGTTACAACAATTCCCACCTATGGAAACTAAAACTCATGCAAAGGATCATCTACAAAACAGAAGCTGCAATCACAGGTGAAGTCCAATTAAGCCAGCTCAACTAGCACAGAGAGGCCAAAAGACCTGGACATAAAGACCAAGAGGCTAAGGTGCACTCAAGAAGAACAAAACTCCACTTTTATGATGATGCAAACTGGGACTCCGGTTCGTAGCTTTCAAACAAGCCCATCAGAGACATTCCTAGTGCTCCCAGGACTACACCCAAAACTAGCTCCAGGCACCATCTCTGCAACGTGATCAGCTTAGGACCTGTCACCATCACCACAAGGCCAGCACCAGACTTCACCTGGTCGTGTCCATCCCGGGCCAGAGCTAGCTCCTGCTCTATTTCCCCCACGTGGCTCGTGGCCTTGGCCACCTCCGCCCTCTCTAGATCCCGTTCGGCCAGCAGCTGCTCAATGTGCTGCTGCTTCTCTTTCAGGGCCTCCTGGAGGGCGGTGGTGCCGGAGATCTTCCTGGCGTACCGGGAGGAGGTTTCGGTCAACTGCAAAGGAAAGTGAAAGAAGTGAAGGGTGATGACGCTACGAGGGACACAAGCAGGGAGCGATGCATGCAGGCGGGCACCTCCTCAGCAAAGCAAAAGCGCTGCCCCAGCTCTCAGGCTTGCCAATGACTCGGAAAGGCTCTTCATCAAGAAAACAAGACAGCATGCGAGGCCTCCTGTCTGTAAATCCCACAAAGAACACATTCATGCAAAGAGGCAGTGGACCACTCAGGAAGGTGTCTAGAAGAATGAGTGGCTCAAGTGAAAGGTACTCTGAGCTCAGCCGGCAGAACCTTATAGGAATCTAGAAAAATTGCACAGAACCCATTTAACACGTTTCTCTCCACTCTATTCCGACCTAATAGCTGTCTTCACATATAGCTGTCTTCTTGTTATGACATTTTGGGCAATCTTTTGATCTTTAGACTTGAAGTTGAGACCAATAGATCTCCCTCTGCATCACGAACCTTCCTTCAATGGATTTAATAGTTGGACCGTTGCCAGGACTTTGTCTTTGTTTCAGAGTGAAAGGCAGAGGCGATCTCGCCCAGCAGCGTAGCCCTTGAGGAGCTGAATGCCAATCCCAGAGAGATTTACAAGGACAAGGTGAAGAGGACCACTGATCTGCCTTCAGGCGCATGGGAGTGGGTGAACATGCATGCATATGTCTGGGCAAGGACACACATAAGAAAAAGAAAGAAAAAAACACGAGACAAAAAGGAGGAGAAAGATATTTATGGGCAAAGAAAAGTAGGGGAGGGAAGGAGGGTAAGAAAAAAGGGGGCATGGAGAGGGAACCGGGGACAATGAGAAGTGGGGAGAGTGACTAGGAAAGGAGTGGATCAGCTCGGTCACCTGTTTCACATGCCCAAATCCTCCTTCTTGAGGCTAACGTCACATAAAAGCACAGAGCAAAGAACCTCCTACTAAATGTTAACAGATAACTGGGCAAGTCGAGTACTATTCTTCCAAGCCCAGTTTTAGAGGCCGGTGGTCGAGAAAGGGCCTCACTGCCTGGTGCTTGGCAACTGTGTGCAGGGCTGTTCCCTCAGCGACCGCTGGGTTGCAGGCCACCACAGCCCTGACTTCACCTTCTGCAGTTGGGGCCTCACCTGAGGCTTGAATGCTCTTGTCTTAGTCTGTGGACAGGGATCTGCCATCCCCTCCTGGTGAGGCAATTTGATGACTAAGAGAGGCAAGGATCCAATCAAACCCAAGTAGTCCTTTGTGGCTTCTATTTAGTGAAATTGCTTAAATTACACATACTGGGGAAGGGGGGTTCCCTGTTCTCTTTTTTACCATTTGACCTTGACTTTCTAGTTTCATTGCATGTGTGGCTAAATTATACGTTCCCATACCAACATTTCTTCCTGGAGACACTAAATCTGAGGTTCCTGCACAGAGATAGAGATACCCAGGGGACTGCAGCAAAGGGCAGTGAATTTCAAGGACAACAGCGACACCTGTGGGACACCATGCAAACGATAGCTTGAGGCAATTGCGTTTCAATAGGCTGTGGCTAGAAATAAACACTAAAGATTTATCCAAAGGTTTTAAGGTTTACAAACTGGAAACACAGGTAGAAAATACCCAGGGTGTCCCTCTGAAGAAGAAATAAAAATCTAAGAGTTCTCATAGTGCCCATTCTTGAGAAGGATCCGTTCTGCATCCTTAGCCTCTGGATGCGTCTGAGGTGGTCATCTTCCGGACGTTCCGTGGTCTGGCTAATGGGCATCAGGTGGTCTGGACACGTGTACGTTCTTTCCTAAGAAGTTTAAGTTCCTAGGCTAAGTAATGAATTGTTTCCCCGTGCCTCGGCCGATGCGATCTTAGTAGTTTAGCCACTTGACCACAGTGACTCCATTTTATTTCTTCACGCCTCAGGTGGTCGTACATATTCCTTTAGATGATGTCATGTCTTTTCAAAGCTGGGTTTGGGCTACTGCCATGACAGAAAGCAAGGACTATGCCAACAAAAATCTGTGGCACCGAAAATGAGGGCAATGGTGCTGAGGGAGATTCCAAGATTTGACAGGTGCCCCACAGCAGCATACAACCTGGTAGTGATGAGTTATGGTTATTTAAGAATGAATTGAAAATGGTGTCCTTTTAATTAGTAGGTATCATTTTTTTTTTAAACAGCCACCAACTCCTGAGACATAAATATTAAGTTATTTAAACCTAATTACTTAATAGCCAGGACCGGTTTGGCTCAGTGGATAGAACGTCGGCTTGGGGACTGAAGGGTCCCAGGTTCGATTCCGGTCAAGGACATGTACCTTAGTTGCGGGCATATCCCCAGTAGGGGGTGTGCAAGAGGCAGCTGATCGATGACTCTCTCATCGATGTTTCTAACTCTCTATCTCTTTCTCTTCCTCTCTGTATAAAATCAATAAAAATATATTTTAAAAAAATAATAAAATAAAAATAAATAAATAAACCTAATTACTTAATAAACAGAACTGGCAGCTACTTCTCTTGACCTAGGTCCACCATGAAAAAATAACTGAGACACTAAAGGGGCTGTGACCCCAGGAGGCCTGGGAATCTCTGTGCCCAACACTTCCAGATCATTTTGCAGGAAAGTCTTTAGGCTTTTTTATATACATGAGTAGGATTATGTTGCTGAGATACATTTCTAGGAAGTCACATTTCAAATTTTCTATATTCTTGCAATATTCTCCTATTGTGATTTTTGACTTAGAAACCATAGCTACCCTATATAAAAACATTTTTTAAAATAAGCTGTTTTGCAAGGCGAGAGGACCCCTTTTTCTTCTGTTGGAATCCTTCCCTGAATGAGTTGTCAGAATTGGTCTGAGAGGGGAGGCTGGGGGGTGGCGAGGAGAGGTTGGCTATTTTCCAAGGAAATGGACTCATGATTACAACGTTAAGAAAGAATTCCTAACCCAGACCTGACACCTCTGTGGAATCGCCCAGGATTGACAAAGCAGACGAGACATCCACGTTGGAGTTTGCAGATCTCTGGAACAGGGTGTTGTGGGCACTGAGGTTTTTAGCCTCCACTTCGTTGCTCCTGGCAACCTTTTCCATAAAGTCCATTTGTAACCCTTCAAATGCAAAACGAAATAGTCCAAGCGGGTTTTTCCTGAACTGATGAGAAGTGCACCTGGGCTGGCGGGCAGAGCAGCACAGCCCCCTCTTAAGAGCAGATGCCTCTGCCTTGCCTTTCCCTGCCTGACATCGCCTGAAAGAAGGCAAACCAAAATCACACCACTCAGCATCCTAATTCCTGTCCGGAGTTCACCATCATTATGCAGAGATCCCAACTCAGCATGGAGGACAACAGTGCCGTTGCAAACTTCAACGGTATTTGCCTCTCTTCAAGTAGGTAAGTGTAATGGCAGGGGTGGAAGCCAAAAAGGCATTGTTTTGACCCTGATGAAGCGCAAGCGTTATCAACCAGAATGAGACGCCGTTGTTTTATTTTAATTCTGATGACTCTATGTTTAGTGATCTAAATGGGGAAAGGAGGAAGAGGGGAGGAGGTGGGAGGAGGACAGAGAGAGAGAGAAGACAAAACGAAACATAGCTCTTCCGAGCATCCTTTCAAGTTCTACAAGTTCCCTTCTGTGTCCTCTGGCCCAGGTCGGCAACACTCCACACATTATCTGCTTTCAGAGGGTTAGACTGTATTCATGTCAAAATTCCAAGACCATGGCTTTGCTCAAAATACGTTAGTTCCTAAAACTGTTTGAAATAAGAAAGAAACCTACGTCCTCAAGGAAAAGGATCCCCTCCTAACCCAGTTTTCCAGTCTTTCTTGTGCCCAAAATAATTTCTGAGAAAAGCAGTCATCTCATCGGTAGTGGCTAGGTTCACCCAGAACTGCTCCATCATGAAGCCTTAGGAATCGGAAAGGGGTTGTTAAAAATTATTTTAAAACGTGTATTCTTGCTAGAGTTTTATTCTGTGACTCTGGCAAGGACATTCATGAGCTATAGCTGATGTTTAGCACAGGGTGAGGGGCGACTTCGTATTTCTAGAAGCAGAGTGGATGCACTGGCTGCGAGCGCTGGGAGGCAGACACGTGCAGGGAGGAGGGGGAGGCTTACTAATCCTGTGCGACTGGGCTTGCTGCTCACGGAGGAGGCCACCGAGCTCAGGGAGCTGAGAGAGGACGCGGATGGGCTGCGCTTCAGGCTGGCGGGCGTGGAGGTCATCACTCGCCTCACGGCGGCGGCCTTGGCTTTGGCCGGCGTAGTGGACGGGAAGCCGATCTTGGTCACTTTGTGGACGGGAGCAAACAGGCCATATTTGGGTTGACACTGAAAATACCTTGAGAGAATAATAACAAGGACAGTAAACAAAAAACTTCGTTAAGAGAAACTGTAAGGAGATAACGCTCCTAACTCCTAAGTCGTAACTGGTTTGCTGTCAATTCTTACCCGATCAGCTGGGGGAGAGGTGGATGGACAAGGGGCGTGCATAGCAGGCAGCGTTCACATGGATGAAAGCTGCTAAATAACCTCAGCCATGTTTCAGAAAACACACTCATAAATAATAATGTGATGCAAGAGGCAGAATTGCTCATTGGTACTAAAGTAATAAAGGGAATGAATATTTCTACCATCAGATAAACATACAGAGAGGAGTTCAGCATATAGTTATCCGATTCATAAAACCTTGCCAGATGGAAGGGAGAAGGAAGCCCAACAAGTGTCTAACGCTGGCAGCTCTTCAAGACATCCATTTCCATGTTATTATACTCAATGGGTGAGATCTGCTCGGGCACCTTTTCGTGCAAGATGGTGCCCAATTCCAAACAAACCTTGTGCCAGCAACAGCCCCGTCATTCTTCCCGAGAGGCTCATCTAACTCCACACCACACCACTCGCCCTTGGCAAAATCCGTCTCCCCGAGAAACCGGACGACACCAGCTTTAGTGCCACCGACCTGGAAGTAGAGAGAGTTAAAATGAGGAGATGAGCATCATACCAAGACTTCATTCATCTTCTGCAGTTCCCACCAATGACGGCGCACTGCGCACCCTTATTTCTATCAGCAGGCTTCCTTCTCTTCTCTACTTCCTTTGGTTTATTGTTCTTTTTCTTCCTAATTTCTTCTTCTTTTTTTGTTAATTCTTACCCAAGGATATTTTCCCATTGATTTTAAAGAGAGTAAAAGGGAAGGAGAGAGAGAGAAACATGGATGTGAGAGAGACACATCAATTGGTTGCCTCCCACATACACCCCAGGCATGTGCCCTTAACCAGGAATCAAACCCTTGACCCTTCAGTGCACAGGCCGATGCTCTTAACCACTGAGAAACAATGGACAGGGCTCCTTCCTAATTTTTTAAGACATATACTGTTTATTTTTTGTCTTGCTTTTTAATACTAAAGGCATTTATTTCTACTTTTTTCTGTGAATATAACTTTTTTATGAGTTTGGGATGACACATATTTTCTCCCAACTCTGTTTAATCCTTTTTTAATAAAAGTTTAGAAACATTTTGCCCGGCTGGTGTTGCTCAGTGGTTAAGCATTAACATATGAACAACCAAGAGATCAGTTTAATTCCCGGTAAAGTCACATGCCTGGGTTGCAGACCTGATCCCCAGTAGGGGGTGTGCAGGAGCCAGCTGCTGGATGTTCTTCTCTCATCGACGTTTCTCTCTATCCCTCTCTCATCCTCTCTTAAAAAAAAAAAAATCAGCCCTGGCCAATTTGGCTCAGTGAATAGAGCGTTGGCCTGTGGACTCAAGGGTCCCAGGTTTGATTCCAATCAAGGGCATGTACCTTGGTTGCGGGCACATCCCCTGTAGGGGGTGTGCAGGAGGCAGCTGATTAGTGTTTCTCTCTCATTGATGTTTCTAACTCTCTATCCCTCTCTCTTTCTCTCTGTAAAAAAAATCAATTATATATATATATATATATATATATATATATATACATATATATATATATATATATTTTAATCAATACAAACATGTATTTAAAAAACTGTTTTAACAGCATAGAAGTCTACTATATGTTAGCAGCTAGCTTGCTCTTGCCAATGAGACTCCAGCACTAGATTTGGCACATTTGACCTTCTAACACCCTTAAGGCATTCGTGGAGTCTACAAGCAATCACCTCTGTAAAACTGACCTCAGTTTCTTTCCCACTCCTACACCACAGCATCCAGAGCAGGTCAAACCAACATCATGAACTCAGCACATTAGCTAAAGATGATGCAATCTCCCCAGCTAATCTGCTGAATTCTTTGGGGGTGAGTCTAAGCCACTGTCATGAGGACTGTTTTTCCAAGAGGCATCTAACAGGCTTGTGGGCAATAAAATCTCCAAGCAAACCATGGGCTTCATTCAAATCTGACGCTTTATAAAAATCACCACAAAACAGACTGGCCACACTTCTCTAGATGCAGTAGTATACACACTTACCCTGGGGGGGAAATGCCATGCCAATATGTTTGTTTACTTCCTAGAATTGGCAGTTTTCTTATACTTTTTCCCCCACCAAACCTAAAATTCCTTTTTTTATATGTATGTGTGTGGTGTTTTTATTATTATTATTATTATTGATTTCAGAGAGAGAAATATCACTGATGAGATAATCATTGACCAGCTGTCTCATGCACACCCCTTACTGGGGATCAAATCCATAACCCAGGCATGTGCCTTGACCAGGAAGCAAACACCCTTCTCATAAAATCTTGTGAGAAGAGCAGGGATCAATTCTGCAAGGCTAATGAGTGGGTCTGCAAACAGGAAATAGGAAACAGTGAATTCTTTTTGAACTCTCCAATCTATTCATTATCAAGTCCCAAACAAGCCATCTAATCTCACTGGCCTGGGTTTATAAAGCTATAAAAAAAAGTCCAATGAGTGGTTCTGTAGATCTCTCTCTCCTCCTTGTTCCCCAAGAGCAGGACCGGCTTCTCTCAGCCTTTCGCAGAGTCTGAGTTTGGGATGACACATCCATCCCTAGAGGCGGTGGTTCCAGGTCCAATGAGTGGTAATAGGGCTTGTTTCACAGGAATTTTGTGAGCAACAAGAGTTTGTAAGACCGGGACCAGTTTGGCTCAATGGATATAGCATCGGCTTGGGGACTGAAGGGCCCCGGGTTCGATTCTAGTCAAGGGCATGTACCTTGGTTTCGGGCATATCCCCCGTAGGTGGTGTGCAAGAGGCAGCTGATCGATGACTCTCTCTCATTGATGTTTCTAACTCTCTACCTCTCTCCCTTCCTCTCTGTACAAAAATCAATAAAATATATTTAAAAAAAAAGAGTTTGTAAGGTGGCATCTTGATGACATCTTTTTGAGCCTCCCATCTATAACATCTGATGTTAAGTAAGCCCCCTTAAAAAAGTAATGTGACAAGAGCCGATGATGTATAGCAGATATTCTCTTAAGAACTCTATTTGAGTAGCACTTGAATTATTATTTTTTTTTACTTTAGTTGGTGGAGAAATAAGAGCTTCTTATGCATCATTAAAGCAAGAAAAAATGTTTTTAAAACTTATAAAGACATCTAAGTCCACTTCTGAGGCTATTTTGTCAAATAAAATTACCTTATCTATACTAATAAAAGGGAATATGCTAATTAGAGCAGATGTTTTCTGGATGGCCTTCCAGACAAAGCCGCAACAGCTGCGAAGGGCCCACGCTCAGGCCAGTAGTGGCAACAGCAGCAGAGTAACGGGGGCAGCACCTTCCCCTGATCTGCCAGGTCGCCTCCCTCAGAGGGAGGCCAGGCTGCAGCTTAGGCCGGGGCAAAGGCAGTTAGGGGTCGATCAGACTGGCAGGGGAGCAAGTTAGGGTCAATCAGGCCGCCAGGGGGGCAAGTTAGGGGCCATCAGGCTGGCAGGCAGAGACAGTTAGCCGAAACCGGCAGTCAGACATCCCTGAGGGGTCCCAGATTGGAGAGTGTGCAGGCCAGGCTGAGGGACCCCCCCTTCTTAGGCACAAATTTCGTGCATTGGGCCTCTAGTTATTTATAAGTTATAAACTCATTCTTTTGGCTAAATTGGGAGATAAACTAGAATCACTGCAAACTTATATTCACAACTCTTTTCAAACTACATGGCAAGGTTCTAATTTGCAGCATGTTTATACATAAACTGAACCACTAGAAAAGCTGATTCATTTCTCTGTTAGTGAGTGGTCATTCCTCCAGAACAGACACTGAGCCTGTATTTCTAACCACTCATCAGTGATTACATCTTAGTTCAACACGACCACTTTGGAAGGTTCTGGACTCACCAGTACTCTGTCTCCAATTTTGAGTTCTCTCTCTCCTTTCTTGACCGAGCCAGCCTCGGAAAGGTTGGAGATGGATTCACTGGCAGTTCTTGTGAGGTTGCTGATCGGAGGTATAGCAGAGGGTTCCTTTGCTGTTGGCTGGGACGACTTCTGAGGAATATGTGAGGGGGTGGCTGGGGAGGAGGCTGCCATGCTGGCTGCAGAAGCGGACAGAGGCGAGGTTGTTCTGGAAGCCTGAGTCGTCTGCAGGCCACTGGCTTCATCTTCAGCCTGCACCGTCCTCGTCAACTTGGAAGGCCGGGTGAATATGCCCTTTAAAGGTTCGCACTGGAAATACCGGACTCCTGCCACTGAGCCATCATTCTTGCCTATGGGTTCATCTAGAACAATTCCGGCCCACTGGCCTGGTGCGAACTGAGTTTCACCCAGAAACTGTATAAATCCAGGCTTATTTCCATTCACCCAAACTCGCTCCCCAACTCGGAAGTCGTCCACAAATTCCTCTTGTGCCTCAGGGGAAGAGGCGCCTGATGCTTTTTCACTGGATGTTGCTTTTTCTACTGGAGCTGCAACTGAAAACACATGAAAGGATCAGAAGAGATTCGGTTCCACACTCAAGCAGACCTAAAGGGAAATACACTAGCGAAAGTCAAAGTGCCCTGTTTTTCTTCCTTTCCTTCTTTCTTTAGCAAGGAGGCAATAATTACTGGATCCATCACTACCATATTCAATGCTGTTGAAATTCAGTGAGCTGATGAGATTTAATCCTTACTTGCAATTAAGTTCGGATGATGTTAAACCAGAAAGAAAAAAAAATGTAATCTTTGCCCAGCCGGTGTAGCATAATAGTTAAGTATCGACCTATCAAAAGGAGGCCATGGTTTGATTTCCGGTCAAGGCGCATGCCTGGGTTTTGGGCTCGATCCCCAGTAGGGCAAGTGCAAGAGGCAGCTGATCAATAGTTCTCTCTCATCATTGATGTCTTCTTCTCTCCCTCTTCCTTCCTCTTTGAAGTCAATTTAAAAAAATTTTTTTTTTTTTTTTTTAGCCGGGACCGGTTTGGCTCAGTGGTAGAGCATTGGCCTGTGGACTAAAAGGTCCCGGGTTCGATTCCGGTCAAAGGCATGTACCTTGGTTGCGGGCACATCCCCAGTGGGGGGTGTGCAAGAGGCAGCTGGTCAATGTTTCTCTCTCATCGACGTTTCTAACTCTCTGTCCCTCTCAATTTCTCTCTGTATAAAATCAATAAAATATATTTTTTTTAAAAAATTTAATATATATTTTAATTTATTTCAGAGAGGAAGGGAGAAGGAGACAGAAATAGAAATATCAGTGATGACAGGGAATCACTGATTGGCTGCCTCTTGCACGTCTACCACTGGGGATCCAGCCCACAACCTGGGCATATTTCCTGGACTGGAACCAAATCCGGGACCCATCAGCCTGCAGGCCAACGCTCTATCCATTGAACCAAACCAGCTAGGGCAAAAAAAAAATTTTAAATAGTCCTTTTCCAAAGTCCATAATGCAGGTCTGATTTCATTCTTTCCTTCACCCCCAACCCTGAACGTCATGAACAAATACCCACTCAGATTCACTAAGATGGGCTTCCTTCCCACATTTGAGCAGTCAACAAACAGCTGACAAGATTCGGGCCATTTGACTAGCGACTGGCATTCGCTTGGGTGAAGGAGGGGTTTGTGTTGTGGTCCCTATCATCATTACTCCAAGACAACCAAAGAGACCCATTCCCTTGCTGGCGGAGATGGCGGTCACAGCGAGGCAAGAGAGACAGCATCTGACCCCATTAAGGCAAGACGACCTTGTGCAATCTCTACTTTGTGGTAAAGACAGAAGTTACATTTTGCCAGAAATGTGATGTTTACACTGGAAATGCATTCACACACTCACCCAGCAAGCATTTAATCAGTATTTGGTGTGAAATGAACATTCTTCATCATTCTACCATTTCCTAGGCACACTGTGATCTTAAGATGTCACACAATCCCTCTGAGCTCAATTTCTTCATTGGTAAGGGGGAAGTAATATCTATCTTGAGGGTTTTTTTTTTAAATATCTTGAGGATTAAATGAGAAAATGTATTTAGTCATGCTGTACGTTTTTTGAGCTTCTGCCACCCTGGGACAAGTCCTAGGCAAGGTTCTTCACGGGGGGACAGAGCAAGACAACAAAATCCATGCCTCATAGGGCTCAGGCTGGAGATGAGGGGACAGGCAGTAAATAAAGGACACAACAGCTCGTTTCAGGTAATAGGGGCTGTGGAGGAGACAGCAACCTGGGGCAGAGCAGTCAGGAAAGGCCTCCTGGAGAAGGTGACATCTGGCCCAAGACTTGATGAATAGGAGTCAATTGTGCAAAGACTGGGGACGAGAGAGGCCTGGCCGGCCTAGAGCAGATGCCAAACACCTCTTTACACTATACTAAGGGAGTCCACAGAGTTTCGATTTGTAAGGATCAAACACTCAAGGTACTTAATTTGACTACTCTTTTATCACTGACACTAAATCAAGTAAAGATAACCTACAACAAGGAAACTCTTCACTGATCCAGACTCTTCGCCATAAGATGCTCTTCTGTTCATCAAAACATTTTCAAATATTTTTTTAAGTATGTGAAGTTTTATAAGATTGTCTTTTTTTTTCAATATTGTTTTATTGAATTTTTTATGGAAAGGAAGTGAGAGAGAGAGAGAGCTAGAAACGTCGATGAGAGAGAAACATCGACCAGCTGCCTCTTGCACACCCCCTACCGGGGATGTGCCCGCAACCAATGTACATGCCCTTGACCGGAATCGAACCTGGGACATTTCAGTCCACAGACCGACGCTCTACCACTGAGCCAAACCAGCTTCGGCTAAAATTGTCTTTTTAAAATCTTCACACCAAAGCCTTTATGCGGGGCTATAATTTGTTTGCTCTGGAGGAAAACATAAGGCATTACCAGCAGTGCGAGTCTTCAAGGCTGTGCTGCCAGGCTTAAGGATCTTGGTGGGGACCTTGAGCCCGCTTGGTTTGAGCACACTCATTGTCCCCAGTACAGCAGAGCTGCTGCCACTACCTTTCCCCGACCATGGAAATAGCTGTGGGTGCTTCTAGAGGGAAGTCGGTCTCTGTGTTAAATCTGCAAAGAGAAAAACACAAAAAGAACTTAGAATCGATAGGAGAAAAAAGGTAGATACAACAGTTGTTATTATTAAAGCAGCTTTCGCAGCCTCAACTATTTCTTATCTATGATAATAAACCATCGCTTCACTGAACCTAGGAACCTAGAAAATTCTAGATACTAAAAACACAAATGCTAATGAGATGAATTTAAAGCAATTTACTATACTGAAGGTAAGTAGCTAATGGTAGCAATATATTACACATGCAAAAGGGAAAAGAGAAAAAGGCGGTCGTTTGGCTCAGTGGACAGAGTATCAGCCTGCAGACGGAAGGGCACGTACCTTGGTTGTGGGCTTCTCCTCGGCCTAAGCACTGGTCAGGGCTCATGCAGGAGGCAACCAATCGATGTGTTTCTCTCACATCGATATTTCTCTCTGTCTTACCCTCTTGTTTCCACTATCTCTAAAAAAAATCAATAAAAAATATCCTCAAGTGAGGATTTAAAAAAAAAAAAAAAGGTGTTCCCGCCCCACTAACAAACTGAACATAATTTAATATTTGATACCTATGCTCACTGAATCAAGAGTTTTGGACCTAAAATAAGACAAATATCCTTCTTCCCTACCTTTCTAAACATGTAAGGACCATAACACCCAGAACATTATAATTTAGAAATAATTTTTACATGTATTATTATTCCATAACACATAGAATATAATTTAGAAATATTTTTTACATGTATTATCCCATTTGAGCCTTATGACATTGTGGATTGACTACTATTCTAATCCTTTCTTAAATGTAGGAGCACCTCAGATTAACACATGCTATTTTTCTTTCATTTGGCTAAAAAGCAGATGTGAACTTGAGTGTGATTTTTAGTCCTTACAAGAGACCATACACAATTAAAAATACAAGTACCAGCATTATTAAAACGATCTACATGTGTAAAGCACCAAGAATTCACAAAGCACACATATAAGTTACATTATATTATAATCTTGCTTTCCAAACTATAAGATGGTAATATCTATATATAAAGGCCTAAACGACTATTAAACCGGTAACTATGATGTGCACTGACCACCAGGGGGCAGACATTCAATGCACAGGCATTAAAACATGGAACAGCTAATGAATCTCAGAGGGAAGGGCGAAAGGGAGAGGGTGGAGAAAGATTAACCAAAGCCAAAACCGGTTTGGCTCAGTGGATAGAGTGTCGGCCTGTGGACTGAAAGGTCCTAGGTTCGATTCCAGTCAAGGGCATGTACCTTGGTTGCAGGCACATCCCCAGTTGGAGATGTGCAAGTTTCAGCTGATCGATGATTCTCTCTCATCAATGTTTCTGACTGTCTATCACTCTGTGTGTGTGTGTGTGTGTGTGTGTAAAAAAATCAATAAAATACAAAATTAAAAAAAAAAAAGATTAACCAAAGATCTTATATGCATACTAGAGGTCTAATGTACAGAGGTGCATGGCCTGGGGGAATTGGGCTGAAACCAGCAGCCCGACATCCCTTAAGGGGTCCTGGATTGCAAGAGGGCCCAGGCCAGGCCGAGGGACCCCACCAGTGCACAAATTCATACCCGGGGCCTCTAGTCTATATATATAAAAACCTAAGCAACCATCCAACTGACAGTTTGCCTGGTGACTATGACACCCAATGACCACCAGGGGTCAGATGCTCCGACCAGTAGAGGAGGGAATCCAATTCCTTGCAGAATCGGCAGTGGGTTAGGCTGTTGCTGGGGCAATGTTGGCCCCAAATCTGCTTCACCCGTACCCTGGACCCAGTTTCGGCCCAATCCCCACAGGCGAGGCCAAGGGATTCCACTGGTGCACAAATCTGTGCACCAGGCCTCTAGTATAATATACACACCACCCCAGAATCCTGTATTTACACCTCTGATGCCACAGTTCTAATATTTCTTTCAAGCTAAGAACCACTTATAAAAAAAATGCTTATCTCTAGAACTTGACTCACTTTTAAACAGTCAAAAACAGCTACTATTTTGCTTGCTATTCTCAAAAGGGAGAAGCAGGAAGAGCAATCTACTTCCAAGCACTGACTACGGGTGAGGGAAAGGGATTCAGGACGCAGGTGGCTTAGCTGCACAGCCCCTCTGGCTGTCTTCCTTCTCATGAAAAGGTTTCCAGTTCCATCTAAAAACAGGGAAGCTTTGTTGCTAAACATCAACACTAGGCGAACGATGTTGTTTTTTCTGTGTAATGTACAAGTTTATTTTAAGATACAAAAAAAAAAGCCAGGCCTGAAATAAGCAAAAATCTTGAACTAGATATAATATCCTGGTTTGTGATTTAACTCTGAGATCTGATCTAAATAACAAATTTAAAAGGGCAAGATAATTTATTTCAGGGAACCAAATAACCTCAGAAGACCTATCCTTTTTGGTAGTTCAAAAAAAAAAAAAAAAATATATATATATATATATATATATACTTTTTATATGTCTTGAGAATGTACTTTACTCAAACTTAAATTCCAGAGAGCAGGACTGTTCTCCTCCCATGCTCCCCCAGCCCAACCAAAAAAAAAAGTGTCCTACCCTCTAGAAGTCAAAGTTTGGTACACGTGTGTCTAGCATGTTAGAGGTTAGAAAGCACTAGCATCTGGCTGAAACCAGTTTGGCTCAGTGGATAGAGCATCGGCCTGAGGACTGAAAGGTCCCAAGTTCTATCCCTGTCAAGGGCATGTACCTTGGTTGCAGGTACATCCCCGATAGGAGGTATACAGGAGGCAGCTGATTGATGTTTCTCTCACATTGATGTTTCTAACTCTCTATCCCTCTCTCTTCCTCTCTGTAAAAAAGCAATGAAATATATTTTTTAAAAGAAAATATTAGTATCTGGGGAGATTTCAAGTGATCAGAACAATGCTAGAACATAGCAAACACCATGAATGTTAGCTATTATTGTTTCCAAGAATCCAAGCACCCCGCTTTCCTCTCAGATACAGCCTCTCTCACTACACATTATTTGAACAGGAAAGCACATAAAGTCTGTCTTCTGTTCTAAACAAATTTTCAGATGTTGGGGATATAGTTCAAGACCACAGCCTTCTCAAGACATGATACATATGCTTATTGCACTTACTCCTTTTAATAAGCAGCCACTTCAAATATGCCTCATAAAGGTAAGAATACTAATAATATCCAAATAAGGAATAAATTCACTTGTAGTGAAAGAAAACAAAACAAAAACACAATGGGTTAGTTACCAGGACCCTGAAGGAGGGGGAGGGAAAAAATCCCATGATTTGAGGAATGAATCCCAAGTTTGGAGGTGAAGCTGGGGCGACCTAGCACTTGATGCAAGGCACACAGAGAGGTTCCCGTTCCAGCTGACCCAGGAGACAAACGGTATCTGTTCAAGATGCCTCTGGGATCAGCCCCCTTTGCACCACTCACTACCGTTCACACACCATCAATAAGCCATTTTATTGTGGCTTAAAAAAATCATTAAATTTTTTTCCTGCTTATGGAAATTTCCATGAAAGAGATCTTGCAAAGGGAATAGAAATTCAAAAGTTAAAGTTTCAGCTCCATTCTTCCTGTAAAAGAATAAATGCTAAAAGCACATAATTGTTTTTGATAATGAAAACTGATCTAAAGCAGTCACATACTGTCCTTGTAACTAGGCGTTACTAGAAAAGCAGCAATTTCGTTTCTACAACCTCTGTGGACAGGATGGCTCATTTCGAAAGAGCTTTGTTTCAGATGCATTGGAAAGGGAACACACCTAGTGAATCCATAAAGGGCTTCTCGTCTCAAAGAGAGTAAATATTTTAAGACTATAGGTCTTATAGGTTTAAGAAAATTGGAACATGTGACTGTTACAGAGGGGGGCAGGATAGGAACACAGAGGACGATGCTCAAAAAGTGGGATGTTGGGATGCAGGCACATCCCCAGTAGGGGGTGTACAAGAGGCAGCTGATGGATGTTTCTCTCTCATCGATGTTTCTAACTCTCTATTCTTCTCTCTTCCTCTCAATAAAACATATTAAAAAAAAAAAAAAGTGAGATGTTGAGTCTAATATTGACATGCTATATGCAGGAAGAAAAAGATGTAATAAAACAAAAAAATTTAAGAGTGGGAGCACATAATCTCCCAACTTAAACTCACAGAATCAATTTGGAAGTATCCAAGCACCCCATGGTCCAATATCTACTTAAATAAAGGGTGGGAGTAGATAATTGATCAAGTGCTTGTACAATCCTTAAGAAAATTATATGTATTAACCCTCAGAGACCAGGTTTCTGGGTATTTGTATAAACCAACACCTTTTCTTCCAACTCCAACTAAAACTGGTACAAAGAGCAAAGCAATATGTATTAAAAGCAAAAGGGTGTAACTCTCAATTGCCATGCTTGTGAATTTAGGTATCTGAGTCACAAATAACTGGTACCACTGATAGCCAAGTCTCATCATTTCACATGTTTACTTGCCTGGTGCTATAGATGTGTTTGCATTGAACAAAAAATGTTATGTTTATTTGCAGGGAACAGGAAAACTGATAGCAAGTTTCATAGCAAATAGAGCCATGGTCATTGGCAATAGCAATGCCATTGCCACAGCAAATGGTTTACCACATACTCATTCACACAGTAAAATACCCCAGCGCTACTGGTGAGTTTTCTGTTTTTAAATGTCCTGTCAGAGGATGTTTTAAAACAGTGATTTTCATTATACAATCTTTTTCAGTAAACTATGGAGGGCCTAACATCAATATCTTTGCTTTTTATCTATAGGAAGTCACAGAAAAGTCAACACAAGTCTGGCATATGGGACAAAGCAGTACCTCATGGTGTCTGGAGAATCGGGCCAGGCCTCAGCTCAAACCCTTCCAGAAGCTGGGCAAACATTTTGAGCAGCCCTGGCTGTGAGGTCATGATGCTGAC